CATTGAAATATGCTTTAAACTTTGCTTTACAACCAGGTAAAAAAACTGCCTTGAACCTGTTCATTAAAAACGCAGCACCAGAAAACAGAACACTTCTACAAATGACTAAACATCCTCCTCCTCTTCCTACTTCTTCATTTCCTGTGTAATTTTTCATTAGATGAAGACCTTCAAAGTCTCAGCATCACCTTCACATTTTTTAGTGGTGTGGAGCATCGACTGCTTTAACATGTAGCCACCAAGAGCCTGAAAACACGTTAAGCAAAAGTGTTGGCAGGTATGCATCCTGCTAATGTGCCCTTGAGCAAACCACCTCCAGAGTCCCTTACAGACAGACAGCCCCCAGGCTGCTGCACTAGCTTCCTGCACTTACTCTCTCCTGTGGTGTGGGTGGACAACTCTATGACCTTGGTGACTCCCTCAGCCAATTTGCAGCAGGGTGCGGCCTGCAGCAGAGCAGAGCGGAGCTTAGGAAGGGGCCAAAAGTTCCTGGGTGAGGTAACTTTGGACACCTCTGCCCTGTCTGGAAAAGTCTGCCGGCTCTGATAACAGAAGCCAGGAGGGAAGAGGCTTCTTGAAGGCAGAGGAAACATACACACACTCCCACAGTGGTGAGTAATTACTGTGGCTGCAGAGTGTAAACCCAGATAGGGGATCCCTCTCCTGCATAACTAGCTGGACTGGAGATAGATGACTCTGTGTTTTGCTCTGTCAGTCTGTTGTACTCGTTTATTCATTTGAGCTGTCACACCAACACAGACTCGGACTCTGTCAACTTGGCACACATTGCACCACATAGGGATATGATATCTGCTATCTGGCTTTGGAAGATAGAGGCTGATTTTGGTCCGGAGGCTTTAGGAGGCCTAATCAATAGCTTTAATCAATTAAGAATGCAGCAACTGAGAGGCTGCAGAAACAGGCCAAGTCTCACACTAAAAGGAGCTCATTCCATTTATCACACCACCCCTGTATCGATCCCAGAAAAGGTATATAGAAGGAGGTTTCTGATTAATTAATTTCAGTCCTATGGAAGCATGACAACAATTTCCTATGCTCTTCTCCGAATGCCAACCCTGTTGATGCTTCAAAGGAGAGAATTTCATGTGTAGATATACTCTGCCATGGCACCGGGGGCTTTATTTGTCTGAGTGAACGTGAAGAACAAAAGGTAAGAGAGCTGTGCACTGCAGATTTTCAGCTGTCGCACTCCAAGAATCCAGTCTGCACAAAAGGGTGAGTGCTTGAATCCCGAGAGCTGCGGTGCCACACTGACCTCTAATGGTCATACATGGTACTGACACTACAGATCCACAGGCGGTGGGGCTTTTAATGGCAACAGGAGAACAATATGAGCTGTGGTAATGAACCACTTGTCTTTAATATAACCAAAACTAATTAAAACTACTCCTTACAAGGTAAATTATGCATTGATGTTTGACATCTTTAGCTTGTGTTTAGAACAGGAGACCTCTAATTTTCCCTCCTGTCATATCAAAGCCGAGTTACAAGATAAAGCTCAACCCCCATCATCACCTGTATAATTGACTTTCTAACAGCAGGGAATTCCTACCTCAACCACAGCAAAAGCCATACCACCTGGACATGAAGAGCAGGGTATTATCATTTCATGCCACTGTGGTTTATGAGCTCTCATTAGCTCCCTGTACTGGGGTTATCCTGAATTACAGGTCAGGCCATCTTTGCCTCACTCTGCAGGCTTTTATGGTGTCTAACATGGCAGTGGAGTGCAAGGTACTCGGCATAGAATTAGGACTCAGACAGTTGGGACTGTGTCTGTCAGTAAAACTGGCTCTGTTTAATAGGAACCAGACAAAGATAAATTCACCCTGATTCCTAATTAGAACAACCTGCATTGGTGAACATACTCTTTGTTTTACAGCAGATGAATAGCTAAAGGGCACTGAGTCTCCTTGAAGTGTGAATTTATTGTTATTCTTGTCCTAAAGAGAGTAAGCTAACTGCTGTGTGCATGTAAATCTGTTTGAGGGGAGGTAGTGGTTGATTCTTAGTCAGAGCCTGTCAGATCTTTCTGTAAGGGCGTTGACTTGATGCTGGACCCTGCTGACCTCCCTTTGAGAGCCAGGTGGGAGCGAGAAATTTATGGACTGAGTCACACTAGGAGCTGTGAGTGGATATTTTCAACTTGACTCTAACCCCACTCAAAGCTAAATCCAGAGCCAAACTTCATGGAATTTTTCCGGTGTATTAATGTTTGGATTAGCAGAGTAAGCTCATGTGTAATTGCAGGTAAAGGCATTATGCAGCTCAATGAGCTGCTCTACTCTACTTTTCTGTTCTCTACAAAAATAAAAGCGCTGAAACAGCGTTAGTACCCTGATGTACATGATTCTTCGAATAAATCCCGTAGCTTGTGTTTTCTGACACTAGCTGGGTCATAAATGAGCACAGAGAGGAGCTTTGTGCCAGCATGTGCTGAGTCAGCACCTCCTCTGGCTGTAGCAGCCTGGTCTCTGACAGTACTGAAGGGGGGTTAAGTGGCAGCAACCATCCTCCTCTACCTCTCAAATATCTTGGTTATTTGAATATCCCCTTCTTCGCACTTTTGGTCTGTTGCTAGTTTACAGCCCGAGATAAAAATAAATAAAAAAGTCAGACTATCTTGGGAGTTAGCACCTGATTTGATGTGGATAGCAAAAAAAATGTGGTAGATATCTACACCTTTATAGCGAGGTGTGAAATACAACAAATTACACTATTTAGAACTTGTGAATCTGACCTTTGTGGAGCATCCTGGGTTTAACAAAGTTCTCCAGAAAAATGTGTGATCCATATTTTAATATAAAGCCTTGATAATCAGAACCTTAAAGACCCACTCCAAAGAAAATCATGTTTTTCTTGTTGTCTACGTGTTCATATGGCATTTTTCTGATACTAGAGGAAATAACATGAGAAAAACAAGTGCGAAATTGCATTTCTGAGTACTTCTACATTCAAATCGCTGTGAATCTCTGGCAGACCTAAATGGCAGGTTCAGATACAGTGAGATTTCCTATGTAAACAATCCAAGCTCCGCCCCCAGAGCCCCACTATGCAGGCCAGGCTTGGAGAAATAAAGGACGATTGCGGAACAATCGCCTGAAGTGCTTGTAAGAAAGCTAATTATGATATTATCTTTCATCATGCCCCTAAAGACAATAGTGTCAGAGAGCTGAATAGCTTCTATGTTACCTGTTTCTTCTACATCACCAGTAATGTGAGGCTACAAGCTAACTCGAGAAGAAGTGTGCAGAGCAGCGCTGTCTCCGCCCACGACTCAGAGGCGAATTGCTAATGAGCTACTCAAGCTCTGCAGAAGAAAAGCTCTTGAAAATGACACAAGTAACGTGATTTGGGTTAAAAACTTCATAATCACAGTTTAAAGACCACTGAGAACACTTTTAGTAGTAAAAAAAACAATCAGAGTGGGACTTTAAAACCTCCTCATGTTTCTAACTAAATAAATATTGTTGGGAAAAGATCCAGTGTGTATGAGTGCAAACGTTCATCTGACTGGGTGAGCCAGGATTCATGACAATAAGAGGGGTAAAAATCTGATGCACCTTCAACTTTTATTCAACATCACAACTTCTGTAGTAGACATTTGGTCTGAGAGAACAGCAGACTATGGATTTCTAGCAATATGTCGCAACAGAAAAGCACTACAAGTATGAAATGAAAAAGAGAGACAGGAAGGTTAAAACATGGCTACAGGCCTGCATGCACAGAACAATGGAGTAAATAGATGTGTTCTCCTCTCTTCTAAGTGAGTGCTGTACAAACTACCCAGCTACTAATCCAACTGTAGGCCAGTCAATTCTGTGCAGGTAGAGTTGTGTTCATAGAGCTATCAGATACTGAGTTTCAAGCACAGTCTGGTGTAAATCACACAGAAGTGTTGGGTGGCATCATAAACATCAAATCCATTCAGAAAAGGCACAATCCCGTCCTCAACAGTCACCCAGCAAAAGCTTAGGGAAACATACAGGCGGAAGTCAGAAACTTTAAAAAAAATAAAATAAAACTACAAATCCCACTGTTGCATCCAACAAAGTGCTCTGTGGATGGATGGTAGAGCAGCAACTTGAGTTACAAGAACATCAAATCGACTGAAGTGACAGCACACAATGTGTACGAGTTTGTGTAGCTGTCTGAGTTTCCACTGGACCTGGGTCAGAAAACAGTCCTAAAGCATGTTTTTCTTTTAAAACAGATCAATCATGTTTATTTCAAACTAAAACAATATGTACCCAACATAAAAACATCCCCTGTTGATTTTCTTTTTTTTTTTTTCCCCTGGCATGTTATTCTTTTTTGTTTGCTCACTGTTTAACTGAAAATAGATTACAGACATTTATTAGGGGGACACATTAAATGTTTGCAGTTCAAGAAATGATATTTATTCCAATAATAGCAGCCGTACTGGTCTCACTGTATGCAGGCTATATGTTAAGCTCAGAAACAGAAAGCATTGTAGGTCACCACAAAAGCAGTCATTGAAATCTTTGCAGCATTTTTTTTTTTAAAAAGGAGACAAAAATGGTGCCAGCAGCTGCTGTTTTTCAAGTACTGTGTGTATTCAACCCCTATTGTCAAACAGCCAGGATTTCTTACGCTCTTCCATAGGAAGGTCAAAGCTTATTTTCCCCAAAAACAATTGAAACATTTTGGTGGGCAATTCAATAAAAAGTTCGCCAAGCTTAAGATTAATTAAAATGGGTGGGTGGCGTTACAACTTAAAAAAGGAAAAGGTAAAAACAAATAAAATTTTCTATCGATAAATCAGCTAGAGGCTTCTATTTCAGTACACTGGTATTTGAGAGATAAAATCATTTGTTATTGGTTATCAGACAATAACTGTTGTGAGTCTGTATTCACCACGTCCCATGTGGTGGTGGTAGTGGTGGTGGTTTTGCTGACATGAGTACAGAGAAGAAGAGACAACTTTACAAAATGATCTTTTACCTACTGAGTGATGATTATGTCCCCTCAGTGTCTGTGACAGTGTCTACCACAGGCTGACTCGCAGCTTCCTCCATGGGCTCACTCTGTTCATTGTCTACGTCCTTAGGAGAGCCGAGCTGCGCCTGTTCCTGCTCCTCTGCCTCATTTTCAGGGAGCACAGAATCAGAGGAGGGCTCCTTATCGAGCTCAGGAGAGGGTTCAGGGGAGGGCTCGGGGGAGGCCTCGGGTGTGGGTTCAGCTGCAGTACTATTGTCCGTCCCAGATCCATTGACCCACTGAGGCTGAGGTGAGGAGGCTCTCTCTTGTGATTCCTCCTCCTCATCATCATCATCATCATTCTGTGAGCTTTCCTGCTCCTCCAGAGAGTGAGTTGTCTCTTCGGGAGGGCTGGCAGCTTCAGTCAAGGCCACAGATGAGTCCTGGGATGAGGCCTCAACAGGTGGTGAGGCTGGGCACTGGGTCTCGGTGTTAGGAGAGACTGACATTTTGGAGGGGGACTGGAGCTGGGCTGGGGATTCTGTTTCTGAGGGGATCATGGATGGTGGTGAAGGCTCGGCCTGGGTGAGAGCCCCAGTCACCGGGCTCTGATCTTTACTGTCTGATGAAGGGCTGGGTGATCGGGTGGGGGTCGATGACTGTGTTGTAGGTGTCTTGGATGGGACTGGGGTCTCGGACTCTGGCTCAGCTTCAGCTGCTGGGCTCTGTGACAGAGGTGGAGACTTGACCTGAGCCTGGGGCGGCGGCTGATTCAGGCCCAAGAGGGAAGGCATTGCCTGAGCTTGGGGCAGGAGTGGGGACTGAAATCGAGCCTGAATTTGGGGGCTCAATTTGAGTGGTGCAAGCAGTTTGCCTTGATTTATGGACAGGTTGGGATTGAGAGGTGGAGTTGGAAGCAGTGGTGTGGGTAGTGGGAGAAGAGGAGCCCCACGTTCACGGTCCCTCTCACGGTCTCTCTCTTTATCACGATCTCTGTCACGGTCATGCTCTCTGGTGCGGTCCCGGCCTCGCTCCCTGTCTCTGTCCCTCTCACGCTCCCTCTCTCTCTCACGGCTGTGGCGATTACCGTTCATTTCTCGCCTGAAGTCAAAATCTCTTTCATCTCTGTCCCTCTGCCTGTCCCAGGGGCGCCTTCGGTCATCCAGGTCTTGGTGTAGTTCACTGTTAAAAGCTCCTGCTGCTGCACCACCACTACGGTTCCAGGCCTGTGGTACACCAACAGCCCCAGCATTTGGAGCCCCAGCTGATCCTCCTGCTGTCCCAGGGCGGCTGTCAAAGCGGCTGGCGAAGTTCTGCCCAGGTGTGGGACGCTCCTCTTGAAAGCCTTTTGGACCCCCTTGGGCCTGGATACCTCCTCGCATACCATCCCGCTCATCAAAGTCTCCTCTGGTCTGGTTCCACCGGTTATCAGGAGTGAAACCTGCAAGAGCCTGTAGACGCCCCACTAGGCTGGTTCTGGCTGGTTGAGTCCCTGGGGTCTGAAGCAAGGGAGGTCTTCCACCTCCTGCTCCACCACCGCCTCCAAGGGGATCCCTTTGCTCAGGAGGAGGAGTCCTCAGCAGACCGGTGCTCTGTTTTTCCATCGGAGGGAAGCGATAGTCCTGATCTTTGCCTTCATCAGCTCCAGACGTCTCCTCTTCTGTTTTGGACAAACTTTCACTGGCTAGGTTGGGAACCCTGTTAAAGGGGTCCAGCTGAGCGAAAGGGGCCCTGACACGGGCCTGAGCCTGCAGGGAGCTATCAAGAAGGCCAGCAGCCTGCTGGGCAGGACTTTGCTGCATGAGAAGTGGGAAGCGGGCAGCAGCCCCTGGTTGGAGGAGGTTCGGTCGCACATCCAGTGGCAGCAGGCCAGGCATCCGCTGTCCAACTAGACCAGACTGATGGAGAGAGTGTGTCAGGGATGAAGGGTGCATGCCAAGGAGACCCATCCCACTGCGCGCTGCATTCTGCATGCCTGTGGACAAACAAGAGTCCTCTTTATAATGCAGTATTAAAAATTAATACAATTAAAAACAAGTGAATGGTATTAAAGAATGTATTTTCCCCTTTGAAGTCAGTGCCTGTCATGAGTTCTTCACCTTGCAGTGTTAGCTCTGCAGCAGCATCCATGCCCTCCACAGACTGGGCGGTCTTGTCATTAGCGGTTTGCTGAGTTTGGATTCCCACTGGGTTAAACACACCAGCTCCAGGGATGGCTGACGCCATGAAGCTACCCGGGATAGTGCTGGTTGGTGGAATCATGGCGCCGAATGGTGAATCCTTGATAGACTCTTGGCTGGTTGCCACCGTAGGCTGTACAAGAGCTGGAGGTGGGAACAGGGGATGAGCATATTCAGTACAGGCTCATTAACTCCACCAAATTACATCTTTGGAAATGCTCATTTTAAAAAAACACATAGATCTATAAATAACAAGTGTAAGAGGTCATAAAGACTCACAAGTAGACGCCGAGGCTAGTCCTGCTGTCTGTGCAGCCTGCATGAAACCTGCACAACATCAAAACAAAGCATGTTGAATCAGCTGTTTAATATTTGAAAGCCTGGTGTTGTAGGACTGCTCGTGTAAGCTACCTGGTGGAGGCTGTGAGGCATTGAAGCCCGCCCTTATGAAGGGTGGTGGTGGTCCATAGCCTGGTGGAGGTAAACCCATGGCGACAGGGAAGGTTGGAGGAACCAAACCCACTGCACTGGGCACAGCCTGTGCCACTGGCAGCTGGATAGGAGAGACATAGAAGAGGAGAGACCATGGATGAGGTATGGGTTTAAAGAGACTTTAACTTCCTAAACATGCTGTGAGACTATCACATCTTTCCGTTTATTTTAAAACATCAAGACTCTCCTGATTATTGTCAGTTAATACACAATGTGACAATTATGATTGACAGTTAACAGGAAACAAAGATTTTCTGCATTCTGTCCATAACTTCAGTTTGTTCTCTCTGCAGCACCTGCACAGGCATCATGGTGACCTGCTGGTTGTAGGTCTCAGTCTGGGTGTTAGAGGCGGCTGTCGTTTCAGAGCTAACAGGTAGACTACTAATTTCCTTGGCTGGCTCAGCATTCTTGGCAGCTTCCCACTCTGCAGATGACAGACAAGAAAAAGGTATTAACAGCAATCCAATTCTTCTTCTTAGATTAAGTTTATTTCTCACGTCTATAGCTTCTGTACACAGTTGCACAATTTAACTTAAGCCTCTTATCTACTGAGTTTTATCAATAGAAGTTCTTGATTGTGCCAAAGGAAGATGACACATTCATATGATTCTCTTACCATCGTTTACCGTCTCCTGGTCGATGATTCCTCCTTCAGCAAAGCCATCCAAGTCATCTAGCTTCACCTTCTCCCATGGGATGTAGGTGACGCCGAGATCCACGTCCCAAAACTGCTTGTATTCTTGCTTTACCCCTTTGTTAAGAGCCCACGCAATCTGGTGCAAAAACACACATATACCAAAGTCAAGTCATTTCAGGGAGTGTGCGAGGATTCATGCGCTTTGAAAGCTAGACTGTCTTTGAGGTTTCACTGTTTGAGGTCGAGAGAAAATTACATTAAAGGAACCTACAAGGAGAATGAGAGCATAGTCAATCACATTATAAAGGAAACGCATACCTTGATGATTTTAGAGCCAATCTTAAAGGAGCCAGTGCTGAGCTTCTGGCGTGCGCGGTACGCATCCTGTCTATGGACCATGCAGATGTACGCACAGCCTCTGGGAGGAATCATCTGCACACACAAACATACATTAAATTACATAGCACATGAGATGGTTACACAATACTATGTGGCCATACAGTGAATAACAAAAAAGACTTAAAGGTTTGGTTTATTTAAACAAGAAGAAATAAGAAAAGCAAGATAACAGGAATAAGATTATGAGTATGGCACTTTCCAAAAACAAGTTACAAAGTGCTTAACAATTAAACGAGTATTATAAAATATTACATAAACAAACAAATAAGAAAATGTAGCCTGTGATATGAAAATAATGTAGTCTAGACCAGTGGTTCTCAAGTCCAGTCTTGGATGTTTCTCTGCTCCAACACACCTGATTCAAATGATCAGCTCGTTATCAAGCTCTGTAATGGCTTAATAACGAGCTACTCATTTGAATCAGGTGTGTTGGAGCAGGGAAACATCCAAAACATGCAGGACAGTGGGCCTCGAGGACTGGACTTGAGAACCACTGGTCTAGAGGAATGAAACAAATAAAAAAGATTTGAGGCTAATTGTAAAGAAAAGTAGCTGAGTGTCAGGTCACAGCATAATCATGACAAACAATATATATGATTTTGGAAATCAAAGAAATGGTTAACCTGCTGTGACTACATTACAGAGTCAGGAGAGAGTAAGGCTACTTACATTGATTGACTCAATCTGGCCAAACTCTTCAAACAGGTTGGTGAGGTCCTGCTGAGTGGCCTTTTTGTCAACCTGGCCCACCCACAGAGTTGTACTGCACACTGTGTGAGTATAGACAGGGAAAGTTTATTATGATTATTCATGAGAGCAGCAGGAATAACAATTATTCAAATGATAATGACTTCCAAATGACTTTCCACTGACCACTTAAAGTTTTAGATCTTATGGGAGGCAGTCCTTTCTTCTGCCTCTCCTTCTCCCGCTCCCTGGCACGTCTCTCGCTGGAGTAAGACCGTGATGACTTTCTCTTGCGGTCCCTGGAGCGTGACCGTGATCTCTTGCGGTGTTTACGTTTGCGTGAGCCGGAGCGTGACCTGGACCTTCTCCTTTTAGGAGACCTACCGGGGAAAAGTGCATTTGAGAACCTTTTCCAGTTTGACTTTTTGTCATGTTTACAGTAGCAACACACTTGGCCAGCCTGACTTTCTCCCAGTCCACAACAAACTTTAAACCTGACACAATAAATTTTAACACTATCACTTCCTAATATGCTTATACGACACATAAAAACACTTCCAAGTCAGGTTGTAATTTCATGTAAAAACCAGGCTTATCCTATGCGCCTAAAAAATCTGAAACACAAGTATTTCAGTCCCCAAAAGCAGGTTGGTATAAATCAAAATGTAGAATAGGGTCCTTATTAAACATTAACTCTTCCAGCCAGAACCAGTTCCAGTCTCTGGCCGTCAAGGCAACAGTCAGCACTTTTGAAACAAGAGTAAAAGGATGGAGGCCCCTTCAATTCAAATCAGTAGACAACTCAGCAATAATCCAGCCAAATTTGAAAAAATCCATTACAAAAATGACATCACTGATCTGTAGGACTGACCTAGAGCGTGATCTGGATCGGGTTCTGGAACGTGTGCTCGCCATTTTTTTCTCATCGGCGTCAAACATCTCCTCCTCCATCCCATCAGGGCCCTCGTCTAGATCCATGTCCTAAAATAAGTAGATCCATCAACAGAAGGTTAAATTATACGAAGGACTATGATGTTTCAGTGTCAGCTGATGGCTCACTGGCCAAACTTACCTGCTGTTGGTTGTCTATGGAATCGTCCACCTTGCTCTCTTGCTCAGGAAGCTGTGGCTGACTGCTACTCTGACCGGTTGCAACTGAGTTCTCCTGCCCAAAGATGGAGTCCTGCCCCTCCAAGCTTAGTGCCTATTGAATTCAAAATGAGGAGTTAACTTATTAAATGTCTTTCGTCCAAAATGCAATGCAGGTAGCAATGCCAACACATAACCATGATAATAGATTGTTTTTTTGGATTTTCTTATTTGAGGTATTTCTGAGGAGCTTGCAGGATGTTGGGATATCCTCTGCTGTGTGGAGATGAAGAGTAACTCATTCTAAGCTATTGGGGTTATACAGTACGCACTGAGCCTACGGGTTGGATGTAAAGCCTACAGGATGGAATGAGAAGTACATTTTACAGCACATTTTTCACAACTGTTTTTACACTAAAATATAACACTTAATTTAAGACAGTCTATTGATTTTCCAATGTGGTTAACACTACAGTATGAGAAGCAAACTTTTAGCTAATAAATCATGGCAACCTGAAAAAAAAGCCTCAGAAAAAAATTGAGGGAATGAGTGACCTGTGTGTGAATCTACCTTCTGCTGGTGCTGCTGGTGCTCTAAAAGCTGCTTCTGAAACTGCTCCAGGTTCTGCTGCTGTAGCTGCTCAGCCAGCTGATGGAAGAGGGAGCTGTTGATGGGCTCTGAAACCATGGGCCTGAGAGAAACCAGTAGCATGATTCATTCAGTTAAAGTAACCAATCCCACCAGCATACTCTAGATCAATATTGAGTTTTAACAAAGATGTAGTAACAGCTACATCAAAAATAAAAAAGACTCTGAACTAACAGTTGAGATGATGACGTGTCCTTCTTAGATTCTTCGCCGCGTTCAGAATCGTTCCCAAAATCAAAAGGGCCCAAGAGTTTCTATAAGAAATAAACATCAGATAAATACTGGGAAGCATCAGGGGAAACAATGAAAATACTTTTTTTTGCAGCCGAGTGAAGCATTACCTTATTAAAAGAGGACACCCTCTGTTCCAGTGGGTTGAGGCTGTTTGCTGTAGCAGCAGCAGTGAGTTGAGCTGTCAGAGCTTGTAACTGCACCACCAGGCCAGCATCCAAGGCCTGTAATAGGGACGGTTGAGGCTTTTGCTGCTGCATCTGTAGACTCTGCACCAGCTGCTGGAGCTACAACAGATCAAAAAACAGTGTTTGACACACCGCTGACAAAAACAGCCAACTACAGAGTCTACTTTTGTTATCAGTATTCTTGTTACATCAAGGAAAAAAATCTTGAGAATTACCATCATTAAAAAAACAAGTATTTCCTTTTTTTTTTGCTGTGCTACAACATTGTGTATACATGATGACAAACCTGCTGTCCCTGGGGACTTTGCAGGATCTGCGCCACAGCAGCCACAGTGTCTGTGTTGGTAATCTGGGAGGCCCAATCAGGCAGGCCCTGGACTATATTAGCAGGAGTAGCAGGAGTAGCTGGGGTACCTAAACACAGACAGACAGAGCTCTTAAAGTAAATGCACTTCATACATGTCCAAAACAAGCAATCTGATCACATTTAAAGCATGTGTGGTGTAAGTTCTCTAAAGTTTCCATCCTCAAGAGTTGGTATCAGAATTACTTGTTAGTTGATTGAGTTAATAATTTTTGTCGCTCTAAAACTACCACACAGTTTATAAAACACAAAAAAATGTCTTCGTTCACACCACTCAATGTGAGCTTTGAAGCCAAAAAAATGGCCACACTGTAATCTTTTGACTCTCTAAACAGGCACTTGTTTCCTAAATGTAGCTCTCTAGATTAACCTGTGTAGTTAACCACACTCAGCAGAGAAATTTGATGTTTACCTGCAGACTTTGTGATGTTTCATTTAGCCATGTTAAAAAGAAACGTGTGCATTTTTTAATTTCTTCATGTTTTCTTCTTATCTTTGGACTTATCAGTCAGTTGAAATATGAATCAACTTTTAATCTATTTTTTATTGGGTTTTTTTTTGTGGTGGTGCTATTTTTGTCACTTACCAGGTGTAGTGTTGTTGACGGGAGCAGCACTGGTGGGCATGACAGGAGTGACACTTGGAGGGGGGATACCCGCAGCCATGTCCAGCAGGGGTTGGATGATGTCACTTTTGAAGACCGCATTCTTTTGCCAAAGGTTCAGTACACGCACTATCTTGCTCTGGAGACACCAACAAGGACAACAAAAGCCCACTGTTACCGAGGAGTAATACAGGTAGAGACCATGCTGTGGACCATCCCACCTGTAAATGTACTGATTCAGGAGCAACATCTGTTGTGAACCCTTTCAAACCTGTTTTCAAGTTCTGGTCAGCTGTTTGCTACCATTGTAATTCTGCACTTTCCTGATTTTGGATCTTTGAGAAACATGACTTTACCGAGGCTTTTACCCGCAGATCACCCTCTGTGATAGTTGAGCATCAAGTGAAATCTTTCAAAGGCTGAGTTGTGTTATTTGGGTGTCTTTATAAAATGTCTGATGATCAAAGGATTGGACACAAAAAAAAGATATGGTGGGGGTGGGTTGGGGGGCACAGCTGTGTGTGTAAACACTTGAAATCAAAGCAAATTAACCCTAAACTGACAACAGTAGTAAAAAATGATACAACCTCAAAGAAACATCCTTGGTAGGGTCATGAATTTAATACTTTCCAAAAAGCAGCTGACGAGACATTACAGTGTCCTGTGCATCATTATTCGTGAATGAGTGAGGTCAATTTAACATGTTATCATTATGTATTGAATTCAGGCTATTTCCTATTGAATTATTTAAAGTTAGACATCAACTGGACACTCCTCTAGTGATGGAAGAGTGAAAGAAAATCTGATACAGGTTTCATAGGACCTCACAAAACCATAACCAGCAAGAAAAATCCTATGACAAAATGTCTGACCTTATCATCTGAAGGGCAGCGGTAGAGGTGCTGAAACGTTGCAATGATATTCTTGCTGAAGCGTGGAGCAAACACATCCTTCTCTGTCCCAAACTGGTGTCGTGACTGCCTGACAATGGAGTCAATGACATACAGCCCTGGGACCTTGTATTCTGGTTTGCACTGTAGATAAAGAAAAAATGAAGTTAGGGTATTTTGCAAAAAGGAAAACAGTTATTGCAGCAGCGCAAACAGTGAAAATTTGCTTTTATTCACATATTCTTAAGACTTTTTTTTTTACCTCACAATCATACTTTTATATCCAAGCACCCATAAACATTTACTAGATTTAGTGCCCACCTTCTGTATGAACTTCTCCACGCTCTGGACAACGTGCTTGTAGAACTGGAAGACACAAAGGAAAGACAGCATTTTGAGTCACTTGTACAGCAGTGCTCTGGAGAAGACTGAGATAATACATACAAGCTACTTGGTTCAGCAGGCAAGTCTGAAACTCATGTTCCCAGAAGTCATCTGGGCTGGGCAAAATATGTGGAAATGTCAAACTTCTAACAGTGTTGCATGATGTAGCTGTTGCTAACAGTGAGTTCCAGGACTTTACCAAGAGGTTACACTTTACTAGTGGGTTTCATCGTGAACAATATACTTTAAGGTAACAACAAATGTAACCTGAAGTAATAACAGCTGGTAAAGCAAACACGCACCCATGCAAAAAAAACAAAAACATTACAACACCCTGGTTTTAGCTGTTTGTCTGTTTTAGGCTCTGTTACAATAACAGAGTCAGAAAAGAGTAGTAAGAAGCATAACTTTAGTGTGGGCCTACTCTCCATGGTTTGGTTACACATTTTTGACTAGCTTTTAAAAGCTGATGCACATTTATTATGATGACTGCTGTTTGTGGTGCATGGGCTCATATGGACAGTTTAGCACGACATTACTTGAAGTTTCTGATTTGCGATGGTGAGAACCTACCCAAAAAAAGTGCTTTTCAATGGCATTGTATTAACTTTGATTATTTCCCGTCAAACGTCCATTCCCAGAGGAATGACTGTGTTTTTGATTCTGTGGAAACACTACAAATTTAATCTTCAGCTTTACTTTTCTAATGGTAATCTACAGTCATGTCATTTGGGAGAAATATGATCTTTTAAAAACTAATTTTGGAGTCCAATCTTTTTTTACACTCGGTGTGAAGTTCACTGTATAACCAAAATAATCAGACTTGGTCAATTTAGGCCAGTGATTTTTGATCAAATGGCCTTTACAGCATCAAAACATGTATTAACATTTAAAATGCATTCACTCTGCAGGTCGGGCTTCAAATTTGTCGTTTTTACTATTTCCCATAGGTGCCACCATTCAAGCTAAAAACAAGCTAATAGTTTTCCTAATTATCACTAGGGACACGACAACTGTCAAGACAAACGCAACTCAAATAATAAGCTTAACTTCTAAATATAAACATTTTTTTTTTCTTTTATTAATTAATGGGACTAAATTAGGTGAAAAATAAGGTGGGACTTTTTGTTTGACTGCCATGGAGAAGTAATGGTAGCTGAGCTAGCATCAGAGAAAATAACAAAGGTGTTACAGGATCACTGACTAACTGGCACAGCATAACAGCAGCATACATGTGCAAACGACTACAAATGGTAGCAGTTGTTTGCATGTTGTATCTGTCACACCTCTGAACAACTATAACTTTTCTAAAACCACACACTGGTAAACAGAACAGGGCATTTGTCCACTTACAATTACGACTATGGCTCTAATGATCATGAAATTATAATAAGTGAGACTCAGAAGTTGCAGATGCCACCAAAGTCCACCTTGCTGAAAAATTACCAATAGGTTGTGCAGTGATATAAACAATCATACAGCTGCTGAGATGGGAATATAAGCAGTGAAGCAGGAGGCAGGGGGATTAAGGAGCCAAAAGATGGAGAAAAAGCATGTTGAAAAACAGGCTGTAGTGATCCCAACCATTTATAAGCTAACAACTGCCAAGCTTAAAAGTGAGGTGTTACCACAGAGCATTACACATATTACAACATCTGAGAGAAAACCTATAGAGCAGGTTTTAAATTACAAGTACTTGGGCTTTATCCTAGATCAGGGGCTTTCCTTTAAAGCACATTTTAAAAATCTGCTCACTAAACTTCAGGTAAAGCCTGGGTTCTTTTTCTGAAACAGAACCTGCCTTTCTCTTGTGGTCAGAAATAAAATAACTAACAGCAACTTTCATGTCCATTCTTCACTACAGGGATGTGCTTTCTTTGAGTGCAACATCCGAATGTAGTTGATGACAACAAACATTGTAAAGTGCCTCAGAGGGGCAAAAAAAAAAAAACACTATCCAGTTTTTTTTTTTTTTACGGAGATATTTTTTCCCCTCTGCTTTACATTAAACAGTATGATGGACTTTCTTATCGTGACAATACCCTAAAGCAGCGCTGTTTCATTATATTATTCACAGCCACCCACAGTAAAGTCACAGGACCCTGCTGCCCTTTATATTCATATGGCAAGCTATGCATTAAGATAAGAGGAATACATATTTTATCAAGCTGTACCACTATCTGCCCAGGAGGAAAAAAAGAGATGATGCTGACCCTCGCAATGGCATTCCACTGACTCTCTTTCCAGCTCCAAGCATTCACTCAGCCCCAAACACCAGCAGGAAAAACTGATACTGTTGTCCACCCCAGACAGCCCAGGACCTTTGAGTGTTTGAAATGATATAGTGCAAGCTCACACAGCATTCATTACTGGGTGTCACAGTACCTATGGTACCCTCAGTGCTGGTTAAGATAAGTATTATAAGCATTTCAGATGCATCAAGACTGCTAAATAGCTTAACCTCCGTCTTGCTGTGGTTTTACTTAAATGGTTCAGGAGACTCTTTTTTAGAGGAAGTGTTACAGCATTACCCATTATGTTTTGCAAGAGTTTGCTGCATTTTCTTTTCTGATTAAAAAAAGAAGCGGAAGTTTACAAAATTGCCAGTAGATGGAGTCAAAGAACAGGAGAATGGGCCAAGATTAATACATTAACCCCACAGGTCTATCATTGTCATTTTAACTGGATGCAGTCCAAACAAACAGCTGTTGGTACCCTAACAATATATTATTGAAGCCCACTTTCCCTTAAAAGACAGTAAGGAGTCAAGCTATTTTTCAGATTTACCAGCAGTGTACAGGAGTTACAGGAGTTAGGATGACCTGATGCCTTTCAGCTGGTTGTTTAAAACCTGTCTTAATAATAAAAAGTAAGCTGCAATCAAATTGTTCTCGCAGTCTTCACCTTATAAAACAAAATCATCACGTTAAATTAGAGCTTTTAACAACAGTAAAAAGTACAACTGTCATGAGAACAGATTTTTTAACTTCAATGAAGAACTTTAAAAAAATATCTATATCTTTTTTCACATATCGCAGATTATCTTTAAGATTTACCCTAAAAATTATCCAGATCAATAGAATGATCTTTCTTTGGGAGTGTCAATCATAATCCAGAGGATATATGAGGTGGTGTGTAGTCTTCTTCATCTATATTTACAAATTTAATTTTAGGAACCAATTGTTGTGCCATGCTTGGAACTCTCTGTCAGCAGTCTGAAGATTGGGACTGTTGACTCTGAAGGTCCATATGTGATGATTACACTGTGATAGTGTTTTTTGTGATGGCAGCACCTATTTCTAAAGACAGAGTTCAGCTGGAGGCAAAAAATCCTCTGCACACATAAACAAGCACAAGCTAGTGAGTCGTTTCTGACAACTGCAGAGGATAATACAGGAGTCTTTGAATATGTAAGGTCACTTCCTGTCCAGGACAGACAATCTTAAGCAGGGCACACACTACAAGGTAATTGTGTGATTTTGGTCCTGATTCTCTACCCCCAACAGACGTCAGCAAAGGCCCAGTTTTCAAATAATAAAGACAATTAAAGGGCATGCAAGTCCTTAAATGCCAACACATCTGTGCCAGTTTATTAGAGTGACCATACAAAAGTGGACAACACAAATGTTTTCCTCTGTTTTCTTTTCAACCAAAGCTAACATTTGACTATTTGTTATTGTTGACTTTACAGAAAACTCCATATTTCTTTTGCTGCCTCTCCAGTTCTGGATAAGGTCATGATAACACATATCCTCCATCAAAACAACAGTAATTATTTGCTTTATCAAGTCCAGACTGCTCGTGCATGTATTTTACGAGACTCTCTGTCCAGTCTTTTGTGTTATAACCTCGAAAAATAGTTTTTGAGGCAGTACGATTACTCCCTCTTGTTATAATTGTCTTTTACTTTGCTAAGGTTAGACTTTCACTTTTTCACTGAACTAATGAGACTTATTGAATGTTTTCATTTAACTCACAGGTTGTTCTCATTTAATCAGAACAGTGTGACATCTAGCTTGATGAGGAGGAACCTGATGAGCCACAGGCTCTCTTTGTTCTGTCGGACAGGTTGGCTACAGTAGTTACACACCTCAAGGTCAACAAAACACACACATATTTCATAGCACATTTTAGTAAGACCTTGTGAACAGCGGTTGGCCTGTTCACATCGGACATAACTGGCCAGTGATACTCGGTTGGGTTTAATTCCAACCTGTGTTCAGGGCAATCCCTGCCAAAGAAGATAAGTGTGAATGATACCCGGAAATGGGCACTTGTTCTGATGGTGATCCTAGAAGCTCTGTCATTGCGAGTCCAGCGCTGTATTACTCTACCTGTGACCATAATAAAAGGTTTATCTGAAACCTGGAGACTTCTCTGGTTGTCTTTGAGCAGTTCACTAAAGAACCAATTCTTTAATTCTCTTCTGGCATCCAACAACATTACCAGAAAACATTTTAAGGCTGCTTTTAAACTTAATATCCCACGGGGACAATTAGTATGTTGTTTTAAATTTGCTCTGTTTTGCTCCTTGCAAATATCAATATTTGACATAGATGCTAAAGCAGTATTTGCCAGGCTTTGATTGGGGCAAACTGGCAGCGTAGTGGAAAGCAGAGCAGAGACAGTGAGGAAAAACATTGGCTACAAGGAAATCTGTCACTATCCTGTGCATATGTGCAGAGGTGTGGACATGCTTAGATGTCCTTTGCAGAGTTAACTGCTGTGACAAAATTCAAGGGCAGCATTTCAAATTGTCATTGACTGCTTTGTTTTCTTTAGTGTCAATTTCTCTCTGAACTTAATGTATTCCTATTTTTGATTCGCTCTAAATAATTTATGTTTGAAAATATGAGCCCAAGTTTTTGTTTGCAATTTGTTATGTTGTTGTATTTAGATACTATCTTAAATAAAAGTACCATATATTGTATAATTTTAGAGCCCACTGCATGGTAAAGAATCTCAATATTGAAAGTTAAACTAGTAAAACTGGTTTAAAAAAACATGCATGTTCGTGATAGATAATGATGACTGATGAGAAAAATGCAACAAGTATTTAACTATAATAGCTAAAAGTAGTCTGTATACTGACAAACAACCAGAGAGTGGCAACATTTCAAATATACACAGAGATATAAGGTTTTTAAAATTGTGCAATGCCAATAAAGCTACAGTATATCATAATTTATTGTCTTAACTTTATTTTAATGGGGTTGTATAAGTCTGCTATTTAATTTATTTAATTCTAAGGGATCTCGACTTCAGCTCTCATTTTTGTGTCAGCTGTACACTCTACTATAAGTCTTTCAGGCACTTTGCCATCAGAAAGCCCATCCTTTTGCACTATTTGGGGTCTCAATACAGGAATGATTTTTTGCCAGCAATGCTCTGAGCGCATGAGGGTCAGCGGGCTTTAAAAGAGACAAAATCCTTTGCATGAATAAAATCTGAATATTTCAATAGATCATGATTACTTTTTTTATTCATTTTGCCTGACAGTTTTTTTTTTCTGACTGGACCTTGAACACCTCATAACTACATGTCATTTTGTTTAGTAGGCTATCTTTTATCCTGCCAATTCTCACACAGATGTCAACACTGAGTATTATTTTCAAGTCTTGGGCACTTTAAAAATGTTTGGATGTGATAACCAGGAGGTAACTGTTCTGTATCATTATCCACCAAACGTTATCAGAAAGTTTTAATGTATTAGATAGATAATGGATGTCTGATTGTGAAAATATGACATTACTTTGAATATTATTTTTCATTAACATTTTCTCTAACACAATATCAGGTGCAAACAAATTGCCTCACACCCCCCTCCCACCTCTGCAATCAATGGCTCAAGCTTTTCTTTCCAATAAAAGTGGTCAGAACATCTGACCAATAAGATTTTGGTTAGATGAGAGAGACCAACTAATTCACCATGACTGGAGGGTGCCAGCCCTTGTTACTCCTACAATCTGATTAATGCATAGAGGCATAATAGTCAGGCAAAGTTGTTCCCCCTCTGATCTTTAGTCTTTGCATTAAAAACACTTTAGACAAAGATGTCACCGCTCTACTTGTAAAGAAGAGTTCTGCAGCCTCACAGCAACCGTCCCCATATTGGTAATGCTGACTCAACCTAACTTTCAGTTGAACTCTCAGAGCCTTCTTGTAAGGTTTTGGTGTCCCCGCAGCCAGTTTGAGGGGGTTTAATGTTGTTCTAATTTACTTTAGTTTAGATGTGCCCCATTGAAGGGCACATCTAAACTGGGGGTTGCCACTTTGTTAAAATGCAGTATTTCAGAAAAAAGGGAAGGTGTGCTTTTATGCTTTAATTTAGTCAGTGAGGGAGACAGCTAAGTTTCTTTTTAATGGGACTATGTTGTGCACAAGACAGAAGACACATTAGTTGTGATTGAGTTTTTAGTGTCCTGTTAACAGGAAGAAACTATCAGATGTGTCCGGTGAGAGCTTTCTGTATTTTAGAACATATTCTGATATACGGTACCTCCTATCCCTGTTTATTAATTAAGCACAATATGGTCGAATTATGGTCAAGCACTCGTATCTGCAGGGAAGTGATTTTAATTTACTGACAAACCACTGGACTGTAAAAACACACAAGTCTTACTGTATTTAGCATTGACTCTGTGATCCCACTCTGCTGTGCTGCTTTTACAGTGAGTGAAAAAGAGAAAGCAACCTTCACCGTGTCAACAAAAAGCTTATTCATCAATTAATGATTCGTAAAGTTGAATTCAAGTGCATGGAGCTCTGCATTGGTTTGGATTTGAAGTGGGAACAAATAGCTGAAAACGCTCATGTCACAGCTAATATTTCAATAGAGTAAGTTTATACACCGCTCAGCCATAATTGTATTATCAAGTGTATTATTAAAGACATTATGGATGAGCATGGTGTAGTGGGGTATGTTGGTGTTCCTAATACTCCACTCCATTAAAACTATGGAGTGAGGGGGAATGGGGGAGAGGGGGAGAGGGTGGTACAGCTTGATAACATATCATGTGTATTTGATTTGCTGAACATGTATATTTTTGAGGGTGCTGAAACTTCTGGTTATGAACTCCTATTCTGATGACATGAATCTGAGATTGAATATCAGATTACTGATATAGCCAATGGGGAGCTCTCCAATGACAACTATAAATAATTTTGATCCCACTTATCAGGTCATTTATTTAATTAAGTCATCTCTGAGCTAGGTTGATATCTACTAAATGGGTAAATGATCAACTTTCTAAGTGTGTGTCATTGCACATTTTTTTGCACTTATTTTTTCAAGCAAAACTTCATATTAAATTCCATGAGACTAATTGCAAATGAAAGCAGGGAAGAAACAGAGGGCAGCATGGTGAAAGGAGACAGGGTAGCACAACTACAGACTTTTTCTGGCGATCAGCTGATTTAGGTGAGTCAATTTGTCCAAATGTTTCTTAACCAAGAGCTGGCTACATTAAACTACAATCTTATCTGCCGCTATGTAAGAATAATTGACTCTAGGTTTTTTTCTCCAGCTTATTAAAAGTGGATGAGACTTTGACTTTTTCCACTGGGTTGACATTTTTTACAATAAACAGATAAATAGAAAAAAGAAGGCATCATTTTTAAATGAATCAAAAAATATATATATATCTATATATATATAGGCAGATCATTTTGCTGGCGTTAAAAAGGATTGATCTATTTGCATTAAAGGGACTTTAATGTAATTCCTACCAACACAGTTTAATCCTGATTTTACCAACTATGTCTATTCTTTAACCAGAAATCCAAAAGGTTTGTCTCATTTCATTACTAACACTGCTTTTTTTCATTTCAGCAAACACTTGACAAAACTTCGGCAGCCTAACTTCAAAATCAAAGCACTGACAGTCAGAAACTTCATCGATCAGCTGCTGTTTGCAGTTTTCACTTACAGGACATGCATCACTACAACTAGTGCTGCAACTAACGATTATTTTTTTTGTCGACTAATCTATCGACTAGTCGTCCGATTAATCAGGATTAACCACTATCTTCTTTATTTATAAACACCTATTTCCGGGGTGTCGGCGTTTCGGGTGCTCATGCATCGCCGTGGTGCTGCCATGGTAGGAAAGCTGAGCTTTGATCAACGTGTTTTTTTTGGTTTGTTCTCCGTAAAATGCTCCCAAACTTTTGAAGTTTTGGGTCGGAGTTTTGTAGCGTCTTTTTCAGTTTGTGCTGCCATAATGTGTGCACTCTTCTTCTGTGTTTGCTTGCGGGATGTAAACAGTGAGCGCTACTGCCCCCAGCACATCCTGCAGTGCACTGCAGTTATAGATGAGCATGAGGCGCCGGCATGTGATTCTTAACAACAATAACACAACGCGTCGACGCTTCGTTTTCGTGTCGATGAATTTGTCGTGTCGACGTAATCGATTACGTCGACTAATCGTTGCAGCCCTAACTACAACAGACTTTTCTTTTTTGAGCCCCCCACAGAGTCATAATAGTACTAAAGCTAGTCAGAACATAATATCAGAGCTCTGTAAACGAAGCATCCCAATATAGTTCAGCTAAGACTTTTTCTATGATTTACAACTCTACAGCAAGCACATCACAGTCTGAATGTTGAAAAAAGGGGCTGTGAATATTTCTTGAATGGAAACATCGAACACAAGAGAACCCTGACACAAAACAAGTCCAAGTTCAATCAGACTGAACCTGGTTCCAGGTGAGAGCAGGGAAATTTATGATACAGCATATTTCTCGTCTTGCCACAGAGAGTCAGAAAAGTTTCCATGTTAATTCAGCTGTAAATACTCAGTTCTTCAATGGGGCACATCTAAACTAAAGTAAATTAGAACAACGATAAATGTGCAGCAGTGTTAAATACTTTCACAAGCAAGGGCTATACCCTAAAATTGGGAGACTGTGTGAAAGGTTTTTGATCATTTTCAAATTATTTTAACCCTGTGTCAAATTAAATTAAATTTTTACAGGATTTGCAAACCATTTAAAACTGCTAACGAGCATCCTTTATAGAGTTGTGGTCACAATTACTTTAAGGGTGTTTATTTTAAGGACATTCCAACAAATATTATTACCCTAGTTTTGACTATGAAAAGTTTTTAGCTGGCTACAATTTACTGTTGTTGTTTGTTTTTTTGACAAGGACAAGAGTTATTTAGTTCATGATCACTTAAGTCATTTCTTAAACCATTTTTTTCCCCGTTGTCATGCTAGTTCACCCCGTTATCTTGGACATACCCCTCAGAGACATGGACCGACAAACTTTACAATATTTACAAAGCTCATAATCAGTCCTAGGGATGCTCCATCCCGATACTCAGCATCAGTATAAAAATCTGTCTGATACCAGCCAGAATGACTGGGTTGGAAATAAGAAAATGAAATATAAACTGTCCAGCCTTTCGACCCCAGGTTACTGAGCGCAACATGCCATTCAGAGGCTGGTTCCTCAGGGCAGCAGTGAACTGCTACTGCAGCAGGTGTCATGTAAACACAAGCTGGAATATTGGAGGGGCTGTAGCTGCATCAGCATTAGCAACATGAAGCTTGATGGAGGCGCAACAAGCACTAAATGAGTCCTCTCTGAAACAGGTCAGTATTGCTGTCTAATGTCAGCTGTGCATACTCAGCTTAGCTGTGTTTACAGCAACCACATGCGAGTTCCATACAAGTGCATCTAAATGTCTGTGCATTTTCTTAAAGCTGAGAGTCAATGCAGTATGGAGAGAACTTACTACACACAGAGGTTCAGCAGTTCGGAGATATGCAATTCTTGCTTTGCACACAACTCTACCAAAACTTGAAATATGCCAAAACTCAGCTGACATCACTGTCAGCTGAGTTGTTCAGACATGAAAAACTTGCCAGTGACGTTTTGCAAGCGTGAGAAGTAAGACAAAATTCGTGGATGATTGTTTTGGTTGACAAACACCTCCTGTTAGTTGAAAATAGCAGATTCAGCTGTCAGATTGAAATCCAATTTAGATACAGGATTTTCAGATCTCACTTTGACTGAACCCTCTGAGACACGGTGCAAGCAATCATCTACATCTAGTGAAAAGATTTTTTACAGCAATGAGCTTCACCTCTGATATCTCGTCTTCACTTGTTCGACACAAGTTACACACCAGTTTGCTGTGCTACAAGCTACAACTACCACAGACCACCCAGTGACTCTATTCCGACTGCTATTAAGAAAATGCTTTATGAGTTGATTAAAGTGCAAGTCAGTTTGTTTGCACGTACACACGACTTAATGTTGAATGTTTTATTTGCTTGTTTACTGCAGTTTTTTCTGCATTTTGTGGTTTATAGCTGAATAGTAATTCCTGCTAGATTGATGACTTCATCGTTATATATTGAAATTTGACATCTCTATTTTACTTTTGTAAATGAAGTTGAAAAGCCTGAATAATTTACCTGCTTATTTATATAATACTGGAGTTAGATATCAGTAGTAAACCTAAAAAAAACCTAATCACCCCATCCCTTTTCAGACTCAATGGAAACCGTAAAATACAAAACACACTGCTGTTGCTGCAAAATAATAACCAAGATTTGAGGAGAACAGCTGACAAAATCATTATCATTAGAGAAAAACAGTAAGGACACTTATAATATGGGAAAAACAAACAAACAAACAAAAAAAACAAAAAAACAGAGAGGACAAACACAACTCTGAAAGACACAGCCACCTTAAGCTGTAAGGTAGCTGAAGAGCACTGCATCTATGGTCACATATTTAGAAAAGTTGTTTGAGTTTAATCTGAAGCAAGTGTATGATAAAAACCCAGCAGAGCCTCTTGGATCACACACTGTACAGTGTCTGGGTGATGATGCAGGGAAGATCACCCAGTAATCTTATCAGACAGCAGGAGTATTGCTAACCCTAAAAGCGGCAAGGTGGATAATAGCAAAATAACAACTAGTATCTTTGAAATCATTTTGTTTCAGTTCCATGGATGTAGAAATGAAGCAAAGTTTTTGTTGCTTTCCTCTTGATCATTTTCAACAAATTAGACTGCACTGGGGTTGCACAATATTGTAACAACAAAAGATTGCAATCATCTTCCTTTCTGAAATTACACATTGTAGGGCCCTACCGATTTATCGGCCAGCGGATTTAATTGGCCAATTTTTGCCCGTTTTGAGACTAATTGAGACTGGTTTCACTTCTAAAATGTTCCGCCATTTGAAAAGTTCCCCGACTTATTCTGTAGATGGCGCAGCAACCTCATGACAATCTTTATCCACTAACTACCTCACAGCACAGCAGAGTGACGGATCTGAAGCAGGCAGCTCGCACGGAGGAGAGTGGTCCACCTCAACGATAAATAAACCAGTTTGTGAAAAACACAATAAGTCAACAAGTTTCAGTTCAACCCACTTCACGATGTTCCCCGCTGTGCTGGTCTCAGTCACGCCGAGTTAACGGTGAAGCACCATGTAATATGCAAGCTGAAGTTAGAGTTAGCCATTTGCTATTAGCCTTGCTACACTGTTACCTGTGCCAGTAACGGTAGAATAAACAACAGTAAACATTTCGTGATCGAGCTTCTTCTTTAACTGAGGCAGCTGCATGTCTCCAGATAAGACTGGACCGGAAATGAGTAACGTGAGTTAAGACGCGGAGGCACCGATCGTCGGGGGGGGTAGTTGACAACGAGGTCCGAGTTTGATCAGTCAGTCTTCCCTCTAAAAATCAGCCGATTAATCGGTAATCTGACCCCCCCCCCATAATCGGTATCGGCATCAGCCCCAGATAATCCATATTGGTCGGGCCCTAATATATTGCAATATTAAGAATCAAAAAATTTATACCAGACATATGCAGTGTCTTTTAATGCACTAAAATATAGTAATATACAACTTTAAGCAATATGATTAGTCTTTTCATTGGGATTTGTCTTTAGTTTTCTGCTTCAAAATTAAATCCCCTTTCCTACTTTTCCCACACTGCGCCCAGCCCTCTAACAGTAGCCCTGAAACCTGCACAGAAAAGCTGAGAGACAAGAGGAGGAGAGAGCTACAGGTGGACTAACTAGTCATGTCATCAACGCCATGAATAAATGCAAAGGACTTGCACATAATCAGGAATTTCTGATGGTATTTTGATTTTTGATTTGCGTCACCAGCTCTGTAATACCAACTTCCAACCCATGTTAGCAGCAGTGTTGTGTGTGCCTGTCAACGGTCATGGGATTCAGACTCCTTATGCTCAGCAGTCAACTACCTGTGTGTTCAGTGAAGGGCTGCAGTATAGTTATACAGGCAGACTTCAACTGTTGCTCAAATCATGAAAAAACAAAAAGTGGTGACAACTGCTGTTTCACAGTAACACCGCACATTCTGCCCATGCCCACAATGCAATTGTGATCTCCAGCCCTGTATTTCACTGTCAAGATTCCTGAGGTCATCTGAGCAGACACTCATTGATGGAAAGAAAACTATATCAATTATCTAATATTCTGTAGGATCTGCAACAGAGATAATGCTTGAACGATTTCTAACAACTACACGAGCTGTCAGTATTTCATATTTCAGTAAACTTGTAAAAACAAGCACCTGAACTCAGTCACAGTGTGTTTAGAAAAGACATGATACCCTGTCAATTTGTCAGAGCAAACATCAAAGATTTCTGCGCTGCACTCAGTGTTGTACAAAGTTACCATGTTTACCAGCATTTTTATCTGTACCGGAAATAACTTCTACCGTTGACAATCACAGACAACTCTGATCATGGCACTGTTTTCAACACGCCCCTAGATATCCTTTAGAAACCTCATCAGCATCACCAAACTAAGCCCTATGATGTCTGCCTGCGCTGCTGCACTATTGACTCTGTGCTTTAAGTCTTACACATTTGGCTGTCTTTGAGCCTCTTAATCCATAAAGTCCAGAATCCAAAGTCTAGTACAACGAGTGTGTGTTCATGCTCCACAAATGCCTCTTAACAACACTTAAAAAAAAAAAAAGAAAAACAAGAAAGAAAGGTGTAGCAACTTTAAAGCACTGATATCGGACAACTCAAAAAACGTAAACAAGATACACCTCTAAATTTTCAACACAATCCAGAGCTCAAGACCAACATCAGCCAACTGATGACAACCAGAGGAGGAGGTGTAAAAAATGTGCCAACAGCAAATCCCCAATTCTCTGGGTGTGTGGGAGCAGTTTTAGTTGAATAGAATTTAGTCTTCTTCCATCTTCCTCTTGAAACAACCCATACTCCTACCTAAGCTGGTTAGGGATTCTCTTTATCTCTTTGTAACTCTCTCCACCCCATCCTCCTGCTTCATTTTCAGTGCTTTGGGGGAGCTGGGAGAGCTGCTGAGGGAAGGGGAAACAGGTGTTATTCACAAGAAAAATGAGGCAAAAACAGAACCTAAAGCAACAAGAGTACAAGCAGGAAGAGAAAACATTCCAGTCATCATCGATCAGACCTAAAAGTCTTTATCGATGAAATGTAAACCTTGGCAACAAGAAGTTAGGGAACAAAAGTTCATTGAGGTCCCTATGTGAGAATCCAGTGTGAGAAAGTTATTACCACAAATAAACAGAAGGACTTAATCAGTGTTTGTTGGTAAAAACCTTTTCTGGTAGCACAGTTTTAGTTTTTAAGATTAACTTGGCCAATGCGTCTTTTAAAACCAAAGATTTTTTTAAGATACAGGGGTAAGAATAACCAAAGGTAAAAGTTTTATTGAAGGGAGTGCAGAGAACAAGTCCAAAATAAAAACAAAAGCTTGTTTTTTCCCTTGTTATATTTACTGTTTGTTATATTCACTTTAAGAGGTCCTGACTTATTTGGAAAGCATTGTCTCTTTATTGCATCTCTCTCTACATAATTCTGCTATTATTGCTATTGATTTTTTAAACACCACAAAATATAACGCAAAAGGGAAAGTATCCCAATATCAGTTTTTTTTCCCAATATTGTGCAGCATAACGTAAACAGCGGCAAACACACAGCACTATCCATTCTTACTGGTTGCAAAATGTACAGTTGGGTCACGTTGTTTCGCCTAATCACTAATCACAATGCCGGGTGAACGCAGAGGTGCAACAGTAACACCATAAACAGACAATCTCAAGGGGAACAGTTTGCAGTTGAAGCATTGTAAGGTTTGTGATTTATCCCCTTTCACTGCATGTGTCAATATTGAGAAGTGAACATACCACATAATACTATTGCCACATAGATATTTCCAGCCACTTAGCTTGGGGATGGAGATTGATTTTTGATACTGTATGCATACTCTACTTTGATACCATATAATATTTAATGGGTTTATGATAGAGTTGTCAATTTTTTTTAAAGTTGTGCTTTGAACAATTGCATGTTTTCATGTTCAATAGCATCAAAACTAGAGCTGCAGCTATCGAATATTTTAGTAATCGAGTACTCTACCGAATATTCTACCGATTACTCGAGTAATTGGACCCAAACGGCAGACTCACATAAAGCTAGATTTCCTATAGCTCCGCAATGAAAGCCAGACTCGGAGAAATAGAGGACAATCGTGGAACAAGCGTGTGCGTTAGCGGATTGCAATGCTTGTAAGAAAGCTAATTATGATATTGACTTCAATCATGCCCCTTAAGACATTAGTGTCCGAGAGCTGAATAGCTCCTATGTTACCTGCTTCTGCTATGACACCAGAAATGTTAGGCTACAAGCTAGTGTGAAGAGAAGTGTGCAGAGTCGCTAGGTTGGCAACACTGCAAGAAAAGCCCCTCTCATCATGTATTTTTTCCGCTCCACAAAACCTAAACAGCGCTTACTCCTCCTTCTACCTTGGCGACGTGAGTGCACTGTCACCTTCAAAAGAAACTCTAATGCATCAGACTTTTATCGCACTTTATCAGAGACCCTTAAAGTGTTTTACATTGGATGCATCATTCATTCGCTCACACAGTCACATCGTGGTGGTAGTAAACTACCTTAGTAGTCACAGCTGCCCTGGGGCAGACTGATCGAAATGTGGCTGCTAATTTGTGCCAATGGCATCATAATTCCCGAGATATTCCCGGTTTTTCAACCAATTTGTCCCATTAGAAATGCATTACAGAATGTTCAAAATGGTCCCTTTTCTCATATTTTTTCACACAACTTCAAAAACCTTCAAACTCCTCTATACTTTCACGTAGAAATGTCATTTAGAAACCAAAATATTCACAAACATTTCAGCATTATTCCACATCTTCAACATTTTTTAATCCCATTAATACTTTTAAAACTATTCAGGTCTGTTTCAAACTTTGTTATAATAGGAGTCAATAGGAAAGGGCTTCAGACATAGTCAACTTCTACCTCTTCTCATTCATTCATTCTTTCATCTAGAAACTCCATTCAAACTTTTAAAAAAAAGTGTAAAGGGTAGAAAGGAAAAAAATAAAGCCATGATCCCTGAAGGAGTGGAATAGTATAAAGTTTGAACGGTTGAAATATCACAAAGTATGAAGGAGAAGAAAGAGGACAAAATACAGCGGAAGAATAATAATGATGAAGAAAAATGACTGACAGGAACAACAATAAGTGGAATGCTTAATCAGCATTTCCACTTAATCAGAGGAAAAATGTAATCACTTTTGCAATTTCCATGAAAACAAGTGTTTCAATACCGATGTAGACCTGTGATGGTGCAAAATGCACCATCACAGGTCTACATTGCAGGAAAAAAAGCAGCAATGAAGCTAAACAAAAAAGAGTGGAGACATGAGATTACTGTCCCATGCATGCCCATCACCTATTGTACTTTGTTCACTGCGTCAGATGTAGAAAAACTAAAATGCCAGATACCTGAATTTTGACTAGGAACAAAGATATGACTTAAGATTATTGATGCTCCAGCTGCTTTTAAGCCACAGGTGTGGAAGCATTTGTTTCCCCGTGTCAGGAATTAAAAAAAAAAAAAAAATGTGAACACTGCCAAACTGCAGCGACCTTTGCCCGATTGGGCAATGAGTACTATGAGAACTCACTTAGTAAATTGTCACCCCAAAAGATCTGAGAGGATGTGGGAATAAACCCACCAAACCAAAAGATTGTAAAGGGAGTATCTACGGCCTTATTTCCCACTGTAACTGTGTGAGAGTAAGGGAGATCACAGATGTATCACTGATTATATAACCAAAGGACTAGAGCTGGTGGCAAAGTATTAAACCCCAACACAGCCAAATACTATTATATAGACAACGGTCAGGTTACACAGAGCTCCAAATAGGCAGACTGCCTCTTACTGACCACAGATGTGAGGACTTCATGAGCTACTTAAAACTTCATAAGTGACATTACCCCCCAAAGTCTTCACTCCTCTGTTTTATTTCCTAACTATGATGATAAATACTGTACAGTACACTTGTTATTGCAATATAAGCGTGTCATTGTGATTATGATACCATTACATTCCTGCTCACTGCTAATTTTACTTGTTGAGTTTATGTCTTTGTTTTCGACTTATATTCATAATTCAGGTCCTCTTTTTAGGTCAAAAGATTGGGAAATTCATATATATCTGAAAGAATAACATCCCCCTTAGATCTGTTCATATTACCCTGTTAAAGTCCTACTATTCTGCCTGTCTATCCTTCTTCTGCTCTGTATGAGGCACTACATACACTTGGAAGCAACAGTTGCTTAATAGTTTTAAACAAATACCAACTAGCATTGTGATAGGCAACTAAAACCACTTCAAAGGATTGGTCTGAGACATAGTTACCACACATCTTTGCTGCATATACACTTATTTGTCAAGGTTTAAAAGCACTGTTTGTGAGTTATCATCCTGCACTCAGGGTGCTGAAACAAGTGGTCAAATTCTGGACTTGACAAGTAACAGAGTGACTTGATAACTTACTTAGAGACCCTTCACTGCTTCAAATTGAAAGTTTGAACACTCTCCGAAAAAAGTAAATTGCAAAAATTGGCCTCACATACTGTTCCTACTGATCCCGGTCCAGTACCCATAATAACCTGTCCCAAAGGATCTCCCTCCTGATTCATATCATTCTCCTACCATCCAGATACTTGTGTGAAGCCTCTGGGCTTTATAGGACATAAAAAGATAGCCTTAATAACAGATACTTTCCAGCAGTCAGCTTATTATCGCGACTTAAGGTATTGTTGTGAAACTGAATATTTTAGTCCGATATCTTGTAAACAAGGGTTATTATGATGACAGGGAACTAGGTTGTCTGATGATGTGAGGGAGCTTGGCAATTATCATTTCTATGTCCAAAGAAGGAGAACTTTTTGCAAGGCACAAAAGCATCCAGCTTCCCACAACTCAGATTGAGTGATGTAGTTCCTTTAGCATCAGCCAATAATGTATATTTGCACTTCTTTTAAAGTTGCTATTTTTCCATGTAAAAGTCTGAAATGTTTGACCACATAATTGTTTGATAAACATTTCTGATGTTAATCAAGGTCTGAAATAGTTACCCAAGAATTATTTAAACGGAACAACATCTATTGTTTTTTATCTTGGGCTCGACGTCGTAATTGTACATGTAGGTAAAAGAAAGAGATTTATCTTGATAGGTGGTGTAAATATTGAGACTTCGCAATGTAAACTAAAGACTTTGCTATTTAGTCTGATCTGTAGAAGAAATGTATATTTTCTTTGTGTAATGTTTTATATTGATTTTAATATTTATTTTCATCATTTACCATTTTTTGTTTCAATTCTCTTTCATTGCTGTTTATCTTAGATGGATACATCTGTCACTTACTCATTTTCTCATTTTTAATAACTTGTTTTTTTTTTACTTTTAGTATCTACATCTTGATGTCTTTTATGATGCTTTAACTTGTATAAATCTTTTCCTTTTCTCGTTCTCATTACGTATATTGTATCGCTACTTGTGCATTAGTACATACCTCCAAATTCATTTCTGTTTTCTGTGTCCCATGATTTGTCATCATATTTTGCATTTTCTAACTTTCAAAGCCCTTTGAACTGCATTTGATTTGCATGAAAGATGCTCTTTAAGTAAATCTTGACTGATCAACCTGAGAACTACAGAGCATGTGTCTTCCATTGCCATACACTTCTTATTCCCTTTACCTGCCTTATCCTTCAGTACCAAATACTTACTTTTATAGCCTTGATTCCTGACTTGGTGATCTGTGTCATCTTGGCCTTGGAGATGGGCGGCTTGTACTCATTCAATGAGTACAGCTGAAAAAAGGAGACAATACGAAAAATCTTTAATAACACTGTGTAACTACCAAATCAGAACTCAGAGAATCAACTGTGAGCTTAAGTTTACAACAAATGAGAGAGCAGCAGTGCAAAACCTGGACCTCTTCAGCCTGAGAGCATTGCCAGTTAGATGGACCATAATAATAGATATGCTTGCGGTCAGGAAGTCACCAATTAAAGACGATAAATAGAGTGCTTGGCTCTGAATAAGGTTATAGATACAATAGGATTTCAAAACAAGTAAACCCACAATTAAACTGGTACCAAATGTCTGTCTACTTTTTAAGGGCTGCTCATTATGCATGCAAATTTTGTTCAGCATTTCCACTTATGATGCCAAAGGACTGATTTAGGCGTCAATGCAGACAAACAGTTACGCTGTTAGCTCTAAGCCCCCCTGACGGCTAATGGCTACCCAAGCTATTGAGCCAAGTTATTTCAAGTCTTGAGTTCAACCATATACCGATAAAAAGATGTCAAACTAATCAATATTTTACAGCAGTGATACAGCGACCACTTGGCGGTGGATGCTAAATATTTGAGTCACGTCAATAACAGATGGCTGGCTGGCCAAGTTACCACGCATCTGAGGCGGGTTTGCTATTTTGTAGCTAGCTTGTTACCATTTGTACCGGTCTGGCGAAAATACTAACTGATAGGTTGGTCACCTAGTACTGTATGCCTTAATAGATACATTCAAAATGCATCTTAAGTATGTGCATTTGCACTTAATTAGACAGTGAAATGTTCACATTATCGTTGTATGAGTGTGCACATACAGCGGCCTTGTAAAAGTACCCCATTCTCCCTCTTTGCTACTTGCTAATGCTAGTGTTAGCCAACTCGCCACCGCGAATATGAGTAAGACCTATTCTTCTCTGATAAATGTTCACATTGTGTAGGGGTTTCCAACAAACCTCATTGTTGAATGCCTTGACGGCCTCCATAGTGTTGTTTAGCAGCTTGCAGGTTACTGTAAATATTTACAGATATCTCCTCAATAACCGGTTTGAGACATGCATGCTCGACGTTTGGTGAGATGGAGGAGACTGCCAATATGGCGCATAACCTCTGTGGGAAATCTACAGAGACCGGTGACTCCTAGCGTCATTATCGGAGCATTACAACTTGGAGCACGCTCCAGTCCGTTTTTCTATTAGTAAGTACGCCACAGCAAGTTATAGCAACAGATATTGCCTGTGTTAACTCAAACTTTGTCAATAACTCCAAAATCACTGTGAAAATACTTAGCTTTATATGCAAGATTTTGTTATCCTGCTGGGTACTCAAAAAAGCACAGTAATTTCTCGTTTATGTCTCTATTATTAATTTCCACCAATAACGGAATCAGGTCAAATAAGAGGTAGCCTATGAAACTTTGTGCCCAGGACTTGGTTAGGCGTCTGCCAGGTAAATATTGTAACCCAAGGCCTCCTGGTTGGTGCAAATGTACTTTGGAACTGTTGTTTACAGACACTTAAAGCTTGGAGTCTGTATCACAACTTGTTTATTAGCATTGAGTTTGAGTTTACATACTTATAAAAGACCAGGAGGCCCTTGGTTAAAAAAAATATGTTTCTCAACATATGCAATGTATTATATGTTAATGTGGTAAAAACACACAAACAGCACCTCAGTGATGAGATTAAAATTCTTCATTAATTTGGCTCTGTCCAGTACAATTCACAGTTTAAGCATTCCTGTTGAAACAAGGGGAAACAAGGCAAACTGTTCTGTATGACATGGAATTACACTGCACTGAAATTGATCTGACGCCTGAAAATCAAAATCAAATTAAAATATCATGATCTGTAGCCAACATTCAGTTAGTGCAGCTGCTGCTGTTCTGCCTGTAAAATCTTGATGTTGGGTAAATGACAATATAATTTCAAAGGACATAATACACATATTCAAACAAGTTATTGAAAGCACATGTAACAGACAGTGAAGGTGCATGGCACCAATAATTGAATAAAAAATGTTAAAACTTGTTAACTTTGAAAAGTACACAAGTAGACAAAACATACTGTTAAAACAAGTGTTTTAATGCAGGGAAATGAAATCCATCATTTAAATGTACTCCAAAAATTAAAATATAAAACAATATACACAGGTTCACAATTACAAAAAAAAAAAAAAAAAAAAAACGGTAGAAGTGTAAAACTGGCTATTCTTACATCTACGTCGACTGAAAAAATACTACAGTTCATTTCACATTTTTATGTGATCTGCTTATCACAGTATGTGTTGGCCATACTCTCTAAGAAACCTTATACACTTCATTGATCCAGATACTTGATGAACCGAAATTTAAAACCACTGATTCATAACAGTAGTCTTAACTCTGTGTGTGTGTGTGTGTGTGTGTGTGTGTGTGTGTGTGTGTGTGTGTGTGTGTGTGTGTGTGTGTGTGTGTGTGTGTGTGTGTGTGTGTGTGTGTGTGTGTGTGTGTGTGTTCAAAATATGAAAGGTTGATGTTATTTAAGTCCAGATCACATGAGAAACAGCATTAAAGAGTTTTTATAAACTGGTCTCTGCCACTGGAGCAGCAATGTCTGGTGCTGCAGCTTTTGTGACTTCTGATGCCCCCTGCTGGTCCTGTTTGACACAAATCTCCTGCACCAGAGGTGCGTTGGCCTCCTTCCATTCTCTGAACTTGCCTGAGGTCAGCTCCGGGTCTGACAGCACCTGCTCTATCGCCTGTAGGTCTGCCTCTTTTGACTGTGACAGAGAAAGACAAGGAAAATGGGGAAAATTAGTAAAAACATTCTAACTACGCAGGAATTTTTTGAGATCAGTCAAAGGTAAGAACAGTATAAAAAGTTGAAAATGGTCTGTGTGATCTGGAAAATGTACCTTTAAAGTGCTGTTGAGAGTCCTGATAAGGTGCAGTCTGTCATTGACAGTTTGGTTTTTACAGCGTTTAATAAACGAGGCTCTGAACTCCCTTTTCGTGGATGGTTTACGATCCCCTATTGGTGAAAGGCTGGCCTCTTTTAGATGAATATACAGCTTCTCCATTTCATCTCTGCTGTTCCCATCATGCACTGCAACACAGGTATCGCACCATAAACACCAAAATCACAAAAAGTACTCAGACTAAAGTTTCCTCAAAAATCAACCTGATCGAACACCTTTCATATTTGGGGATAAGGCAAGATAGTTATTGAAGAAGTACAAAAGTCACAAAACAAAGTGTCACCTTCTTCCTCGGCCCCTGGAATGACCCCCTGTGCTTCCTCCCTCTCCACAGTTAGACCTTCATCCTGGTGGGATGAGCTCTCCAATGCCTCAGAATTATCCTCTTCTTCTGTCTCTTCTTGTGAAGGCTGATGTGTGTGTACTTGAACTGAGCACACCACTGCTGTTTCTCCTGCGGGAGGTGACGCCTGCGAGACCAGGTCCATCCAAGACTGTCTGTGTTTGGCTAGCGAGGAGGAGGAGCTCTGTGAGGTCATGGTGCTGACAGGGGAGGAGAGGGAACCGTTTGCTTCGCTGGGGACTGCGGAGGAGTAAGGGGGAGGAAGGGTTCCCTGAAAGACAAATACAACACTGACAACTTTAATGTTGTTTTATTTTATTCATGTGGAAAAAAAGTCAACCATGTTTTTATTTTCTCTTTTATTTCTTTATTTTCTCACATTGGCTGGCACTCACTTACTACATATACTTAAGTAATCACAACACTGGATGAATGTTGGCCTCTGGTATTGTAGTGACTTCTGGAGCAGTGTAACATGTCTGGAGCTAGAGACAAGACTAACCTGATGTGTGCTACCAGGTGGATCAGATGTATCCACAGAGGCCCGCAGGGTTTGTTCTGAGTATGGTGGTGGGGGAATCTCTGTGCTTTCTGCCTCTTCATGGTCACTGGCTTCACTGTAACACTCTGCAGAGGCACGAACACAAAAACACAAAAATCAGAATCCATCAAATCCCCAGATACCCGCAGTGTTTTTTCCAATTCCATAACCAGTAACAAAAAAAAAACATGTCTGATTTTCAAAAGGAGCTCACCAGCTGTAGTGTTTGGGTCTGTTGGCTCATACTGAATGGAGGCCAGTCCAAGCTTATTCAACCATCTAAAATAAAGAGTTTTCAACTTGAAACACGACAAAAAAGGCAAAACATTTAAAAAATTCTTTGAGAAATAGACACTATTTTATACTGTTATGTGACTTACAAATTCATCTCTTCATGACTCTCAGCAGCAAAATAAAACATCATGACGTGTGGGTGGCAGGCTTTGAACGCACTGGGTAAGAGAGAAAAAAATGAGCACACAAAAAAAGCAACACAGTAATTTACACTTTAATTGAAACTTTTTCAGGTCTCATGACAGTGCCTTTTAAAATTTGGTAGTACGTGCTACCTGATGAGGTTTCACTTCAAAGTGAGATGAGTGTTACTATAAACTTACTGTTTCTTCTTGCACTCTATGGCTCTGTCAATCATGAAGTTGGTGAGGTCAATGTAGCCTTCAGCCTTTTCTGCCTGCAACACACACATTGAACGCTTAACAAACTGATCCTTTCAAACCACTTCCTGACAATGACACCTGCAGCTGAATTGCAGCATGCTACTTCTGCTATTTCCTCATGCAGTGGTGACATACAGTAGACATGATTGAAGTCATCATGCCAGTAAATCGAGCATGACAGTTCCAATGTGTGTTAAAATATGACGGGCCGTCACTGACACTGGCACATTCAGGAAACACAGTGACGCTGCTTGGTGGTTGCTGGAGAGACAGACTGGCAGGGAGACAGCTGTGGCAGAGACGAGAATGACTCATCTGCAGCCTGCAGTCACACTGCATCAGTGTCAGAGACTCAATAAGTACATTTGTGATAAGTAACAAAGGGCATTCTTGTCAAAGCTTTTATTAGGTTCGCTTCAAGCTAGCAAAAGAGACACTGAACCCCAAACTGAAAGCATAGTAATCAGGGAATGAAAATATGAACTTATTTTGAGAGACCTGGTTAGGCAGATGAAACTAGAACTGCAAACTCTGCCATTAGAGTGTGAACAAATGTGTGAAAGTGTAAATGTGATAGGCAATGAGATGAGAAGATGTGATGAGAATTCCACTCCATTTCACATTGATATTCAGCTATTGTACAGATAAAAAAACAAATCAACCCAAATAAAAATCAATGTAATCTGAAAGCAACTGGATTTAAACCACAAGTGAACTGAGTCATAATCAGTAGCATACCAATACAGTGAATGGGTCTGACTTGGTGAGCAATTTTTGTTTGAAGAAAATGCAACAGAAGTTTTGCTATTTGATCTTTGAAATTAATCATACAGCTCAAAAGAAACTTTAAGATATGGTCTTTTTCCAGACTGTATAAAAACAAAAACAAATACTCAAAACCAACATGTTCCTTAAACACCCTTCAGCGCGGTGTATTAAAATGAATCACTAAACATACAGAGCCATAACTGCGCAGTGTAACATATTCCTTCACTACCAAGCTCTGGAGCAGCTGTAGTTAAATCAAAGCTATAAATATATCTGCTGCACAGGATATTTGAAATTACTTCTGTTTGTCCTGAAATTGCATTACATTTTTACACAGTATCTCAGCAATCATTAACTTGGTTGATATAAAATGTTGCCCCAAAATAACACACTACCAAACTTGCTTGTAGTTATAAAAACAAACCTGTGTGAAGATAAGAAAAATACAGGAACTGAACCTAATTCGGTGTTTGTTTAATAAATCTTTGTGATTCATGGTTCGTGAAGCTAGAGCTTTGAGTCCACCATCTAAACATGTGTCCTTTGCAAAGAAAGAGAGTATTCACTCACCAGTTGGTTGGCGTACCAGTACAGAGCTGTCTTCTTCAGCACAAACCAGTACTTCTTCCATTTGATACCGAGGAAGCCTTTTCCCTCTTTCTTCCTGTAAAGCCAACCCTGGTGGTCTGGCTGGCCCAGCTCTTTGACAGAGATCCTTCTCCTGCTCATTGTACCATTGCCTGCATGTAGAAAACACGCGTAAATGAAGTCACAGCTAAGTGCTAGAGGAAGCAAAAAGTTGCAGAGGCTAAAATACTGAAGTGAATGACCAAAACATTTCCATTAGAGTACAAAGCGGGCCACTGCATTCAGTCAATAACTTATTGAACTTTCAAAATAACGCTGACATGACAGTCATTTCCAGTGTGCCACAGCCATTTTCAGCCCACCTATTCCAATAGTAAACCAGCCAGAGGTCACAACACAAATTTTTCCACTGATCTAAAGAGAGGAATAAGAAGAATCCGTGACACGTGTACAGAGAACTAAAATAGACAAACTGAAGTGAAAGTGGCTGAGCGATGTCTGAAAGCCCTCTGCCCACACCAATTGCCCTGACTCTTTGCACACGCCTACAAAAGGTCCAAATTACAGCTGAGGGCACCCAAGGAGAAAAAGAGATGAAGGCTCATGGGCAACATCTTACCTCCTCGGCTCTTCTTCTTGGACTTGTGTCGCAGGGAGACCTTTGTGAGGAAAGCAAATGGCGCAAATGTTAAATCAGAGAATCACGAGACACATTTGTAGGCTGAAACGCCACAACTGCAAATATGCGTCTGTGTGTAGCATCCTGTTTCACACACGTGTCGCATGCATTTTGTCTGCCCCCCAACCCCACCCACATAAATCAATACACCCACTCTCTCTAAAATCTCCATCTATGACCTGGCTCTCAGTTTTACAGGTTGTCCTTTCTTTTAATCACTTTGGCAGTTTTCAGTCCTTCATAGACTAAAATGAATTGCTGATAGAAAAACAAACTTACCCCCTGATATAGCATAAGCCTTTGTCGCTATAAATATTCAACATTGATATAAAAAATACTAAAAGAAGGAGTTCAAAGATTAAATAAGTGGGGATTTCATTAGTTGCGAAAAACAAGGCAAGGTCAGCCTGAGTAAATGTCACAATCAAAAAGGGAAGGAGACTTACAGGGTTGTAGTCATCAGCAGCCATAGAAGGGGGCACAGATATGGGGAAGGCAGCCTGTTAAGAGAGAACAGAAGATAGGGATACCTTAAGATATAAAGGTAAACATTTGTATGCTACTAACCAGGAGATAGATATGCAAAACAGAAATAAAAACAAACAAACAAAATACTTTTTTTGCTCCAGTACAAGGGAAAGTGACGTCATGGGCAAACAACACAGAAAGTAGAACTTTTTTTTCTTTTTTTGTTGGGTAGAACAATAACACAAACAAGTAGAGAGCATGAAGATTTTCCTTTCGATGGAGAAGGAAGCTGGGACAGGAAATTATGTCAAATGACTAAAAAGTGGTTCCTATCACAAGTTTGACTGACTGTTCACAATAGTCAGCATTTCTATATATGACACATGCCCAACAAACTCGACCTCAAACTACTAAAAACAGAAAAAGACCTCACTGAAGTATCACATCTCAAGGGAAAACTTTAAGTAGTGTTAAGCAAAAGGACAAAAATGTGTTTTGCAATTATTTAGGCTAGCATATATGAGCAATGACAAAGAAGATTTTGAGACATCCAAGCCAGCATGATTGACCAACTTCCCCTGCTCAGTTCCTTTTTTGTAAAGGGACGAAACCACCACAGAGAAACCGTGAAAATAGCATTGACAATTAGACATTTCTAGATTTTTATCACTGGAAGCCTTTTGAGGTCTAAATATTGAAAATAACTTAACAGAGAATCTAAAACAACCTTGTGGATTTTTATCAACCCCACAGTGTTTTCATTAGCCTACATAAACTTGACATCATACAACCTTAAATGTGTCATGACAAACACCCCACAAATAACAGGTGGCTGTGTGGTCAAAGGGTCTTAGGGTCGTATCCTGCTACTGCTGTATGCACTTTACCACTCCCCCCAAACTCAACCTAGAAAAGTCTGCGGCCAACAACTACAAAAAGCGAGAAGAAGACTCATACCTGATTCTGTAAAACTCCACACGTTTACCTCAAGTCCAAACTCCTTAGCTTGATTTGAGCGTCTTCTTTTAAACCTCACACAATGACAGCAACCATCTAAAATGCTACTGTTTGTGTGCGCGCTTAAGTGTCTGTCTTGCATAACAGAAACTGTATCATTTCGTGTTTTCCGGATGAATTGTATGTGTGTGAGGATGTATGATGAGCACCACAGAAACCACAGAGCAAGCCTGGCTGTAGGGGTGTGTGTTAACTAAGTTCCTGTATTTTTTTTTCATCAGGACTAAAAGGTTAAGCGTGGTCATAAGAAATGACATTTATACAAAACATAAACATTTGCTGACTTACAGAACATGTTTGAATGTTCTTTTGAACCACATTAAATCCACACAGGGCTTTTATTTTTATAAGGCTAATACCAAATCAGCTCATACTACCTTTTTCCATTAGTACCTTTAAGGAAACAAAAACTATATAGGGTCAGGAGTTAGTAGTTTTGCTTTAGGGTATTACTTTAGGGACAAATTTTGGTTTCTGCACAAAGTATGATAAAGTCTGATCTTGTTAAAAAACAAAACAAAAAAAGGATACAAATGAGCAGATACTTATCCTAACAGTGAAAGCTTCAACTATTTTTACTGAATTTGAACACGCATGAAGGCCTGTGTTGACGTTTGAGACATAAAAAGTTAAAAGTGAAGTCCAACCCTCAAACGTCCTGGGTGATTTTAAAATGCAAGTTAAAAATCTTGTTTATCTTAAGATGTCTATTAAACAGATCAATTAAAATAAAAAAACTTTGAGAGATTATGTTTCAGTCCTTCCTGGGTAGAAATAATAATGTCAAACGCTCTGAGTTGTGTTTTGCTCCAAAATCACCGCCTACTACAAAACTGATTTGAATTTTAGATAACCAAGGAGGTTGTTAATAAAGATACTACTGACATTTGACTGTCGCCTACCTTCCACCACAACTTCACTGAAAGCAAGTGAACTCGACATTTCTGCTCCAAGTCTGACCAAACCGTGGCGCACATGTCAGAAAAAGACAAAGGAGAAATTCAGAGAGAGGACGGTCGAGTTCAGGCGAGTAGATACAGATCATGTTTGGGAGTAGTAACCCTTTTTCTCCATATCTAAAACTATAAACCAGCGTGAGGTGAAGAAAATGGGACAGGCATTGTAATTTTGTCTCTTTCAAATGCTGCAACAATTTAGGAGTCATTGTTGCCTCGTTTCGGTTGCAGTTTCACCGTATGACCACTGGGCGTCGCTATGTTTTCACTATATAACAACCCTAAACGCCACCATACAAATGACACAACAGCTTTCAGGAAGAGAGGAATTATTCCAGTGCATTTTTTTAAACTCACTGTCTTTAAGCAGCCTGTTATAGTTGTGCTCAAACAACTTACTTATGGCTAATACCATTCAGTCACTTAGAGGCAATTTTGACAAGACAAGGCTCCTGTGTTAAAATAAGTTGTAAATTAGCTCAAAGTTTTATCACAGACCAACCCAAACTAGTGCAGCTGAATAAGTATAATTTTATTTAAAAATAAAAAATGGGAAAAGTGTTATTGTCCGGCCAAACTAGATGAGCGCTTCAGAATATCCTCCCCTTGATGCTTTCAGACAAATTCACAAATTACATTATGATATTTTCCTGGCAGAAGGACAAATATAAGGGTTTCATGTAACCCAGTCCTGCAACCTTGCTATCAACAACCTTCACTGTCTCCCTGAGAAGCAAATTTTGTAGCCATAACATCACAGCCTGAGCTGTATCTCTGCAGACACTTGGGTGTTCTGGTCTTTGTTGGCCTGTATAGGGATGGTGGCAAACCAGCAGACACATTCCTAAGTCCTGCGTTATTATAGTCTCCATTTCATTTCTGCTTTAATAGGCAGGGGCCTCTTCTCTCTCCACTTGCTATTGTCTTAAGCGAGTGGAATGAAGGGACTATGAAGAACCCTCTTTCTTATATCTCCCACATTCTCACACTGTAGTTTCCTCCTGCCCCCATTGCATTTGTAAACGTAACTTTGTCATCCATATCAAATAACTTTCGCAGGTTACTCCCAGACTCGGTTAATGTTTCAATTAGTCGCATTGACTTCGATAAAGGTTTCAACACAGCTCACACTCTTCTCATTGCTATATTGAGAGAAATGGTCTCAGCATGCCACTTTGGGGTAATTTAAAGGGACACTTTGCCGAAGCTATGTTTGGGTGGAAGTGAGGTAATCTAGCCTGCAACTCGTGTCAAAGGCCTGAAGGATTCACTGGAATGCAGATTGGTCACACCATTGTAACACTCAATCTCCCATCATGATCCATGCTGAGAATTGCCACGGCACTTAGTTCATGCCACCCCCCCCCAACTCAGAAACTGTGTGTGTGTCTGTGTGTGAGGGGGACACATGAGAGAGGGAGCAAACAGAGTGGCTATTATTCGACAGGGGAATCTCACACAGAGTGAAGGGGGGAAGGGTGCAGGGCTGGAAATGATATCAAATTTTAGCTTGCTCTGTTTGATTGCACTGCATGCCCTTTTGCTTACCAGCAGCAGTGACTGCTTAGCTGCTTCTGGCACTTAATTCAGAGCCTGCTGCATGTGCCTGTTAAATTTATTTACTTGTGTGCAGCAGATATTGAACAAGTCAAATTTCAGCCACCAACCAAAACAAAAAGCAGTAAAATACCAAATGTGTCCTTGTATTACTCCTTCTATCCTATGTGTTTACAGTATCTTTACAGCAGGGTCAAGGTTTTCTTGTGTGGTGCAACAACAAGTCACAATGGACCATAAATCTGAACAAATGTGATTTGTTCCAATGCCAATACTGACTGTGGACCTAATCTATCTGACCCCTGTGGAGGTGTATGTGCTGATAAAGGACTGACTGTAACTCATGGCCCTGCAGTTCCTTTATGTGTTAGTGTGGGTGTGTGTGCATACAAACACAGCAAAGAGTCCTGGGTTTACCCCTCTAGTCATTTAATTTCCACCTCTGCTTTAGCTAAGAGATCATAAATCCACTCAATGAAGAATCAGAGTTTATAGGAAATGCTTCAGCCGGAAGCTAATACTAAAGTGAAGATCTGTGGCTTTTTAGCATTTTTTTTTTTTGTTCATGATCCTTGACATTGTAGTTTAATGATTAATAATGCTAACATCTGAAGTAAAAGCTAGGCCTGCAGTACAAGATACCAAAAGAATTATCAACCTGGTGACATTGTGAGAGGAAAGCTATGACATAACCAAATCAGCACATTTATTCTAAGGGATGAATTTCAACATCTTCTCCAAATTTTAAGGCCATTCATTTTATGCGGATGAAGTGGTGACTTACTAACTAGCAGCTAGTATTAGTAAAAGAAATTCATTTTTGAGTCAGGAGACCCTACCTAGGTACCTGTTGTCTTGTCATTGTGTAAAATGACATAAGTCTGTAAATAATGTTTTATATTCAAACGCCTCCTGCCAACCACAGCTCAACTGCAATCCTTACATGCAGTGAAGTCACTTACTTGTCTCCAAATACCAGTGGATATATTGTGTGTGTGTGACCGCATGCTGCACCTGCACATATCATTCTTTCTTTTTGCTCTGTATTAGTAGGATTTATATCATTTTATCTTTTTTTTCTTAATATACAAACCCAACACATTATACTTACTGCTTGAGAAAAGGACCAGGATCTTATTTGTGGTTGATTATACCTGTAAGAAACAAGGACATTAAACACTTAATAGCTGGAAAGAAATCAGTAAAGCTCAAGTCCTTTGTTGTAAAATCAGCTTGTACACCAACGAGTCATTTCTAATCCTCATACTTCAGGTCAGTCAACAGTATCCCTTAAAAAAATCCCAAAACCTACTCATTGCCTCTTAGCTCATTCACAATCTTTATCTATATTCAAATCCAGCCAACTTTAATACAGTCTGCACAAAGCAGCCTCTGTTTTAGGGTTGGCATTAAGTCAGAGGCAGCAGTTCTGATAATACATTTGGCTACCAGTCACAGTAACATGGTTAGACAAGACAGTTCCCAAAGCTTAAAATACTCAATTTACCTCAGCCAGGCCTCACCCTGCAATTTCATGGGCCCAAACTGTCTCTGGCTAGTTTTTCCTGCCTTTTTTCCTGTCATCCATAAATTTTCACATCTTTGTCTCCTCCTTGAAGTACCACTTTGCGTAAGAAGTTTCTGTTCTAGTTAAAATGCTTCCTACATAGAATGGACTCAATCCTTCAGAGTAGGATTGTTGTTAAAAAATGAAAGTAAAAACAGAATTGGTCCAGCTTTAAATTTTATGGATTGAAAAAGTATGACACTCAATTGTATTCACTGTCATGCTTTATTACCTGTCACGTTTTCTTAATCTCCACTGGCTGTGAGTCTCCTGCTTAGCTGAATTACTAAAGCATCTCCTTATACATCCTAACTGGGAGTGATGTGTTATGATTAAGCGTGCAACAAACCGGATGCAGAGTGCTTCTGTGTGGTTCCTAGAATAGAACTGCCACAGAGGGTGGTGGTATTGTGCCAAGCATTTAGTCACCGATCCCACTGCTAATGTGTGGAGTCACACCCCCCCAAGGCCCTGAATCCAAGACCAGTAGAGACACAGGGGCCATGGATGACGAGACAGATGAAGAGAAATTCTCAGAAGTCGTCACATTTTACAGTGGGAAGTGGTTATTTATGGTTCGAAGTGAAGAAGAATCAAGATTCGTCATAACTGTGACATTTCTAAAGATGCTTCAGTATGTGAAGGTGTCTTGGAGGTGGATGGCGAAGAATACACTCTGGTGGTGTGTGGGCAGCGTTCAAACTCAAAGATAGCAGAGAGATGAGTCAAAACCAGAGAAACTTATTGAGGCATTTTACAATAAGGTTTAAATTCATTTGCCTTTTCGGTGAAATAGCCGGTGTGCTCTGTTTCCATAGAAAGGTATTGTGGGAGTTTTATGAAACTGCAATGATTCGGTCTGAAAACTTCAAGTGATATATTTAGGCCTAAAAGCAAGGATGTTTTAAGTGTTTTCTAACTCTGCCCCACACATATTAAAGATTCTTTGTTGTATTTAGATTGAATATTATAATATATTTATTATTTTATTTTTATTTCTTTTGTGAGACAGAGTTGTCAGACGCAAAATTCAACTGTAACTTCACATCCTGAAATTAAAGAACTCTTGTACCACCATGCTTCAAAGCTAACTCTGCTTTTTATGCTTCAACTGTCAGCATCCGTTTGACTCTCTCTGTGTCTAAAGCTTGACAACTCTGACATATTTCAACTAATCAGGAAAACAACCCACTCATGGACCTACTGTGCTAAAAAGATTCCATGTCCAGCTAGCTGGCACTCCCTGTAGGAAAACTGGACCCGCCCCGGTCTTAAGTTACTGTTCTGGCCTATGGACTATGTAACACTGTGTATGTGTTGGTAACTTATGTGTTGGTAACTTTATGTACACATTTGTGTGAAGGGAAAAGACACTCACCGGTTGAGGAAGTCACTGCTAGAGTGCCAGTCAGGTCCCTGTGATACATAAAAACCCATGTGTTAACATGTTTTAGACAGAATCAACTACTCTGATGGAGTTGCTCTGACAGCCTGGGGTTTGATTACCACAGGTTTACAGAGCCCAAAATCCAACTCTTCATCTTTACAGCTCATCATTATTACTTTGTACTTGTTCCAGAATATTATCTTAAATTTGTTCAATAAAGAATGCAAAACTTCAGCATCTTTTCTTGCAGAGAACTCAGTCCAAATCTTATTACTGCTGATCCCAAATTACGTTGTTTTAAAACTCCATATGTCATCTTTTATTTGCTTATTTTGTAAAGTGGCAAAATGGGGCTCTTCCTCAGACAGGGATCAGAAAAACTGAGAGGTAAACATTCCAGGTTAATATTTGTCTATTTGTGACTGGTTAATATTAAACAACATGCATAATTTACCAATAAATCAGACTATCATTCTTAACCAACCTTTGTGATATGCAGGCACAACTTGTTAGTGGTTAGCAAACTTTGCAGCGGGTAAACAGGGAGCAGGTAGTATTTAAGAAGACCACAGGTTTTCAGAAAGTGCAAATTAGTGACGACCGCAGGCGACTACAGTTTGGCAAGCTGGGGCAGAGCAAAACAGAAAAGGAGAGATAAGAAAAGAAGCCCAAGTCCATTATTGAAGTCATGCATAGAGAGAATAAAGGCAGGAAGGAAGGAGGTGATATTCAGTCCCATGGTGAAAGGTGCTGCTGACCCATCCAAGGCATTCACTTCTTCAGATCAATAAAAACGGCAAAAGCTGTCAGGCAAAGTAATCCTAGCCTCTCATTTAAATGTTTAATAGATAACATATGTGCAAGAATAAGAGCCCCTGATGGACAACCTGCTTTGACCATATGGTCCCCCAGCTGGGATTTAAAAATCATCAAAGAGGGACTTCGTTACATAAGCATCACCATCTGAGACGCAGAGAAAAGGTAAGCTGACATGAGCTATCCTGTTTCACCACATGCTGAAAAAAAACAGAAGCAGTGTTCACCTCAAAGGTCAAAGCAGGTTAGCAAGCCAGCAGTTAAAAGTGACTACAGCTGTCCTTCACTGAAAATGTGTGCTAAACACGTTTTTAAGAATGTAAACTGGTACTCGAACACTTTTTAGCAATGTAGTTTTCAAGACCAAAAACCAGCACTTCGACAGTTATTCAACACCTCAAAGCAAAATGAAGACAACACAAAGATGACTGAAATAAACTGCAGTTTTTAATAAAACACTATTCAAAACGTACAAAAAGGCAGATAAAGCAACAGTAGACACTACTTCCCTGTATTTTCTCTTAAATAATACTGTCATTCTGTCTCTTGATCTGTCCCTCCCCACAGCATCAGCTGGCCATTTAACCCATGAGTCTTAAAAGATAGGTTCAAACCCTGGCTCCCAATGACCATGTATAATTGTCAGCCAGCTGTTTGTATAGGCCATTTAGGTGGGAAATTGCAGAGTAAACTGAAACACAGGATATAAAAGTTTACCGACTTGAGTGCATAGCCTTTAATCCCGCACAAATATTTGCTAGTGATAAGACACAAGACATAAACATCCTTTTGCCAACCAAAGCAGCATTGTCATCTTAAGTGACTATAAAACTCTTTCTGCGGTATATGCATAGCTTACAGGAGGCATCCTTTGGCAGAGGGAAATGTAACCAACTGATCACAATAGAAGAAAGTAACATGTAGAAGCACAGTTTCACTGGTTAAGTATGCTCTTTGTTTCACTTAGTTGTACTTCAATAACTTAAAAACACAAATAAAATCAAAGAGAGTGAATAGCTGAAGTAACAGGCAAGTTTAAATAATAAACAGCATAAATTATAGTACCAGAGGTCATTCAACTGAAACATAGCATCACTCAATTTGTACAGAAGAGTCCTTAGACACCACACAAGGCCAAAGTGTATCCTCTTGAGGCAGAGATGGTTCTTGTAGTCAGAGATGAGGGGAGGTTGTAGGCAGTGTTAAAGGGATAATGACACGATGTAGTGAGTACTACAAGAGCAAGTTTGGTGGAGTAGTAGTTGGTAGTAGTAGTAACACCAGGGAAATATGGAGGTTGGGGAGAGAGGAGTGTGAGAAAGCCCGAGCTGCCCAAAAAACAGCTGGACGTTAAAAATCAAAGGCACTGAGGAAGGACACAAGACAGGAACAGGAAGCCCCAGACAGGAAGCGCATCATCAGTGAGTCAATAGCTTAAGCCGCGTGATCCAACTGACCAGTAGCGAGCGTTCTGCTGTTGTGCGCTTGGAGACGGGGGCAACGGGGGCCTTTCTCAAGTCCTCCTGGTAGGGGATGGTAGCGCTGTTGTGGAGGTCTGAGTTGGAGTAGTAGCGGCTGCCCCTGATGTGGTCCACTCTGACCAGTTGGCGTTCTCCTGCTGGCCTGTAGGGAGGAGACACTGAGGGGACCTCCTCTGCAATGGTAGGGATCCTCTCATTGCTCAGGTATCTGTACAGGAGGTCCTCACCTACAACACAGAGACAATGAAAGGTCATCTTGTTAACAGCTTTTAAAGGGATATTCCGGCATAAAATTAATTTAGGCTCAAACACACCGTAACACAGAGTTAGACACCCCGTCGAGAGATGAATGTTGCCGACCGCTTGCTTCTCTAGTTATATCAACTTTAGTAAAGACCGCACGATAGCAATACACAGCAGTCTGAGGAGCCATAAACAAACCTCAACCAAAAAGCCACTCTATAGCTACAAATAATGCTCAGAGCAGCACCTAACTTCATCAAAAGTACATGTAGGGTCCTAGCCATAGCACTTCGGGCTAGTCCATCATTGACTGCTGTGGGTTGATGCAGCTCAAGTAAGAACATTTACGATCATTATTTTATCATTTCCTTGAAGTAATAATCACGATGTTAATCAATTTGCACTTCAGACGCGGTAGTTCTTCTGCCTTAAGAGTCTCGGTCTGATTGCATTTCCATGAAGAAATAATCACAAATGTTCTTCCTTGAGCTGCATCACCCCTTAGCAGTCTGTGACGAACTGTCCTGAGGTCTCGCTACAAACAAGCGGCTGCTGGGAGAGAGTAGGTGCACTTTTTCATATCAGTTTTTCGCATAAACATGTTAAAAGAGCGTGACAATAATATTGAAGTCAAGAAGAAAAGGTTTTTAAAAAAAGTTTGATGTTTGACACATCAGTCATATAAACACAGTCAGTAAAAATTTAATGTCAGAGCCAGCAGCAGCTTAGCCTAGCTTATCAAAGCTAATGGGCTTAGCTAGCTCTGACAAAAAATCAAACTGCAAAAAAAGTCCTAAAGCTCATCAACTTATTTTTTGTACTTTGGTTGTTTAGTCTATAAAAACTGTAGTAAAACCTCAAATTGTGTCATTGACAGGCACAAGTGATAGTCTTGTACCTTCTATATGGGAACCTTCTTAAAAGAACTCCTGTACAGGTTTTTGGATGAGTTAGGGTTATTTGAGTCACACCCTGAAGTGCTCTGTATCATCATTTGAATGAATAAACCAGAGAAATATTGCAAAGTGAACTTGTTGCAGGAAGTATTATTTCTAATTTGTATGTATTAAAACATGGTCAAATCCAGATATAATATTAAGATATATTACTTTTGTTCTGATATCTGAAAATCAAACAGCAGATTCATCTGGAAGTGAAAGATGGTTGCTCTTACCTTTTCTCCCCTGTGCCCAGGGCTTAGCATAAGGATCCACGATTCCCACGCAGGTGTCAGCTGGCATTGAGAGGGGCCGAGGCTTCCCTAGAAAGAAGAGTCCAGTGTTTAATGGCTGCAATATTTCAACATACTTTATTTTTTTTTACAAGATTTTCTGAATGAGAAAAAACTAACCACGTGAGGACTTGTGCTCCCTCATCCTTGGCTGAATCACATTGGCCTCGATGGGACAGCCAACACTTAGCTTGTCATAATCTGGGATAGTGCAGCGCCGTCTGCTCTCCTGGTCCAGGAAGGAGTTTGGTGACTCAGAGCCCTTTGGTCTTTTACTAATGCTGGAGAAGGACTCTGTCCTCTCCTCCCTGTGTGGAGAAACAAATGTTCATTACTCATTAGAAAACAATGAGTGAACAAGTGCAGTGATCTTCTGAAGATGGAGGATGAAACGTCTGTTGCATAAGGTCTTTGGTGGGAGCTTAGTGGGCAGAAGAAAAGCAGAACAGAATGTGCAATATACTGGAAGGAAGGCTGGGCGACCTTGTTTCCAGGATTCAGTCATTATGAAGAGAAAATATGGCAAAGATGAACTGGAGTACGTGGATTGTTCAGTGATGTGTTATAATCCCTCTTTCAGATCTTAAATTGTTGAACAAGCTATAGCTCATAAAATCTGAGTTTGGCAGATGAAATGAGGTGGCTCACCGTGGAGTGTAAGGCATTGGAGGAGGAGGGGGGATGTACAGGTCCAGGATAGCAGGCTTCTCCTTTTTGGTTGGTCCATTAGCTGTGCTGCAGGGGGACTGGGCTCTGATCAAAGAAGAATTGTTCTGAAAGAGAAAACCCAACTTTAAGTTTGAAACTATCACCTTCACACACAGTTATTAATACCCTTTAGCTCTGTTTCCACACATGTGCCTCTCATCTATGCATTCCTACAGTTTAATAGTTTTTTGGTCATAAATAAAGCCATTGGCTGCCGCTGCTGCTGCTGGATGCAGTCATTGGCTACTATCCAAAATAAAACTAAATATGACTTGCTGGCTACTGGGAGGAGTCTACCACATGTGGTGAGACATTTAAGTGCCTGTGTGTCTCCCCGAGTATAAACCTTCTTGTTTGAGGTACGGAAAGACTGACAGTGAAGTCCAGAATAGCCTGTGAGACATGTACTTTTAGCTGAACTCATTTACCACAGTTATGTTTCCCAACACTCAATCACATTGTGCCCTTGACTAAATGTACACTGCAGGTCTGATCAAACTCAAATGATAGATCTGATGACACAGTGTAGTACATGTGATGTATTAATGACAAACTGCACTGGATCTAAGATCTCAGGAGTCGTCTTCTCCCTTTCCTGCCCCAGATGGCTCCCATGTGTACAAATTATGCTGCACTACAAAGCCAGTGTCAATCACCCCTGGATTGTGTTTGTGATTTGTATCTGTTGTGCCTTGTGGAGCCTTATTATCACAGATAAACTGAGATGTCTAACCCCGATACCTCTAAGGACGTGTTAAAACATGATGCTGGTGGACATGTTGACATTGGCCACCTTTGTGTTGAGAGGTGCTTTGTTGCTTTTCAAAAACCCACTCCGATCTGATATCTTCTCATCTTGCCTTCTCAGGCTATAAAACATGCTACGCATGATGAGACAAAGCCACAGTCTGAAATTTGGTAGTCTTAGCTTACACAGGGCTTATTGTCTGCCTGTCTGTTAAATGGGGACTCAGGTGGGGAGATGTGGTTAAAAGCTAAGTTCAGACTAATGTGTTCACATGAGGATAATACCAAATTGGATTAGAGCCACATAACCTGATTAGTACGATTTAAATTAGCTACCCATGACCTCTCTTTAGATAGCAGGCATTAAGGATGTTTTTCTTGGCAAAGGCAGAGAGTGAAAGCAAATCAAATGAATCATATGGGCTCTATTGTCTCCACTCTATTGTAACACCTGGACATCTAATAAAGCAGATACAATCAAACTAGACTCCAATGAAACAGGCTTGCAGCTTTCTCTCCCAGACTCATTGACATCATGGAACTTTATTTGCCTCTGATGTCACCCATGACAAAAATGTTGTTTTCAGTTCAGCCGGCAGGGCTTTCAGGGTGGCTTCTGGCGCTTGTCTGAACATGTCCTTTTGGAACCAACTCCCTAAAAAGCTGATAATTGTTTGACAATGACTAGACTCACTGGCTTTTGTTGATCTTTCATAATGGAGGTGGATGTGTGGGAGCTTGTGTGCGTGAGTGTACGTACCTGTGGTACTGGGGGCTTCCAGCGCATGTTCTTGAGCGGGGCGGGGGTGAAGCCTGTAGTGCCTGTAGGCCTTTTCTTAAGGAGGAGAACCACACCTTTAGGGTCCTCCCTCAGTTTCACAACCAGGTTTTTCAGCTGCCAGCCCACCTGATTCACAGGATAGGAAAAACAGTATTCTATCAATAACTCAAGATGTTCTGATACTGACACCATGTTCAGTCAAACAAAGATTAAATCTTACCACTGTCTGGTGGTTGACCTGGATCACCTCGTCACCGGCATGAATCTTTCTGCTCAGGTCTGCAGGTGACTAGAGAACAAAAAGAGTAAAGCATTAAGTTAGATAAACCACTTTTTTAAAACAGCAACTGTTCCTCTACCTCTGTCTGATTTCTGCTTTTGACATTTTCAACTTAAAAACAAACACTCCAAGCTTAAATCGTGAGAAGTGCGTATATGAATATCCGTAAAAATGTTTTGTGTGTCACACGGATGATGAACAGGATAAACCCGTCATTATTGGTGATGATTCAGGTCCTGATTCACATCAAAGACCGGAGGCGAGGACACGTCGGTGACAATGATGCTGGTGTATTAGTCATTGACTGACTGTGTGTCTCAGTGTCGGGAAGGTAGGACGTCTTTTTTGTGGAGGCTGTTTGTGATATTTACTGGTTACTTGAGCTCAGAAACAAACAATTCCTGTAACTCTGAACTTTTTCAGAGAACTCTTTGTGCCCTCTGTGTGAAGCCGATGAGGAGGGTGAGAATGAGGAGTTTTCAAAACTATTAATCAGATGTTTGTTCTTCAAAACTAAGTGCAAATCAAACTTCAGTTAACCCTCACATACTGTTTGGGTCAAATTTGACCCGTTTTGACTTTTAACAGCAGTAAAAAATACCCTAAACATCATTTTTTAAGCCTGAAACTTGATGACTTTTCCTGAAGTTGCCCAAAATACATGAAATTAATTTAAAAATAATCATGTGTATTTTTGTTTACGTGCTACAAATGTTTCCCCTTTAAGGCTGTTACAGGTCAAATTTGACCCGTATCTATTTAGATGGATTTTAGATCTAGCAGTGTGGGACAAGTGACAAACAGTAACAACCATGTTCAATATAAGGTTTGTTGTTCAAAAAGATATATTCAAATCATTATGAAACTATCATTACCTTGACAGAAACACACACACACACACGCACGCACACAGACATACACAAGACACACCTAGACAGAGGTCAAAATGACCTATTAGTCAAGAGAACTTCCTGTGACAGAAAGCTGCTCTTTGAACTCTTTGAAGGGGCAATTTTGATCCGGAGCATACTATGAGGGTACAGGATTTGAACAGTATGTGAGGGTTAAGAAAGAAGTAGCAACTAAAAAAGCATAAAAAAGAATAATAACCAGGACTGCAAATGGCTATCTGCACCACAAACAGTCCTTTGCAGAAGGGGAAGGGGCAGATTGCATTCTTGTGGTCAGCATATTGTCATACTCACATGCTCTGTGGTTCCTGTGATGACGTGCAGCCCATCATATGTTGACTTGATGTACATCCCCTGGGAGAAAATAAAAGGACTTTATTAAATAGTCGCAGTAAAAAAACAAATTCCCAAAGGGAGAAAGATATACAAAAATTATCTAGAGGCCACATTGCACGGATTCCTGGCCTTAAAGATCACAGCTTTGGGGTTTTGGACTGATGGATGACAAAAAAAATCCTCCCAGCATTCCTTACCAGCCCCTCTCCTGGTTTGATATTGGTCAGCTGGACTTCTTCCAAGCAGGCGGACTGGCTCATCAGGGGGTCAGAGGTGGTTCTCACGGTCTGATCACAGATGCTGTTCAAAATCCTAGACTGCAAAGGGAAAGGCACAACAGTATGTATTGATTATCAATATAGAAGCACAAGATTCTTATAAACTTGTAGTGTTTTTATTGCTCTAAAAAACCCTCTAACACTGGGGCGCGCAGATGACCGAGCGGGTTAGCGCACCCCATAGTGCAGGTTTGAGTCCATCCCTGACCATGTGCTGCATATTCTCCCCCCTCTCTTCATGTCTCCCTGTCCTGTCAACAAAGGCTAAAATCTCAAAAAAAAACTCTAACACTCAAGGTTTGTATGTTTTTGCAGTTAGCCTGCTACAAATGAACCTGGAATCAGATTTTTACAGCTGTGGTTCATTCCACTTCAAAGCTCAGTGGGCTTAAAGGTACAATTAGTGGGCCATTAACTGGACAAACCAGTTACACTAAAAACAACTTGCACACACCAATCTTCTATCTGCTTCTTCTTCTTCTGCTTGTTGCAGGAAAAAAAATCATCATTAAAGGGGACCGTTCTGGGACATGTATTTTATTCTAAACACATGGTGTGCGCACCATGAGAGGGTGAGCTTATGTTGACAGAAGACATAATGAGGGTCGTTAAGATGGAGTAGAGGAGAATCAAATATGGCACTCACAGAAAAGCAAAAAGAGGTGATGACAATGTGAGGAGAACATGAGAACACAGACAGGAGTTGGGGAATGCTAAGTTTGATTAAATAAAGAAATAAACAAAGATCCTTCGCTCCACTTTCCTGAAGGATGTCTGAGGGGGAGAGAGAGACAGTGCGAGAGGAAGCCCAGTGGGTCTGGAGAGTGTCAGCAACAGGAAACACTGATTGATGGCGGGGGCGTATTAGAGCCGCCCCCTCTGCTGGCAGTCCAATAGACCTGTCGGCTCTATTCACTCAGAGAACTGACCTTTCTGCTGCTAGCATGTCACACAATCGTTTTGAAAAAAAAAAGGCATTCACCTAAACGATAAAACAGACGTTTTACCTCCGTAAAGAAACCTCAGGGACTCATGTAGTTGACATGATTGGTAACAAAGAGAAGATATGCAGCGTACTCACCACTTCTAGGATCTTCTCTTCCATCTCGTAAACACTGCAGTCCTGTTATAGAGAAAACAGTGATGACAGATTAGGCTTGTGAGCAGTAAACAGCAGAGAGGAGGAGGAAGAAGTTTTTCAACGGTTAAAGACAGAAAAAGTATAGGGGTTTGGGAAATACGATATAATCAGCTTTCCAGATATAGAGCTGAGAAAAATGGAGAACGGCCACAAATAAACAGCTTTAGATTTCAAATTACCCTCCAGCTTTAATTCTGGGTAAGATATAACTGCATAATGATCTGTGTGGTTCAGCTGACTGTATCAAAAAGTAAATATCATACCAACACTCATACAGCAACAATGTGCAGATGACATGGTGTGGAACAACAGAGAAAAAAAAAAGAGCAATGATATTTAGAAAGCCCTCATCCAAGCAATGCTTCGGTTTTCACTGCATCAATGCTTCCCACAGTTTAAAGTGGGTGGGCTTGTGGGGAGACACAGTAGCTCTGACCTTGCTTGTCTGGGGGAAGGAACTCCTGATAGAATCTGCAAAGTCAGCTGGGAGACTGTCCACCGTCCCCTTCCAAGTGTCCAAACACAGCGCTCATAGACCGCAGCTGGACTGGACACAGCTGAGGCAACAGCCTCCCCTGACAACTGTGTTGCTGGTGGTGAAAGGGCCCCTGGTTAAGCAGGAGTAAGGGCCTCTTGTGCATTTAGGGGAGGGGGCTCGACTTGTTTACAGAAGTGACCCAATGCTGGCATTGCCCAAGGCACCTCATTTATCAAAACACAAATGAAATGCTTCTGTCAAAATTTCAGAGCTCTGAAAATCTTCTCCTGTGTGTCTCTTATTTCCACAAACCTTTTGATAGGAGAATAACACTTTGGTCCTGACAGTATTAGAGAAAAGCATAGGCATGTGCAGTGTACAAAGCCAGCTCTGTTACTCTTTGTAAACCCATTGTGTAGACAGCAAATGGGGGTCGAACAAGTTTTTCCATATTTCCATAGCTTGCACATTCCACTGGACTAAAGGGGAGTGTCTGTTTTCAAATGCACTTGGCTTGACATATTGTTGATTTGTATGCGTTGACAAGACTTTGCATGAATGTCCGGTGAAGTAAGAAATGGCTGGACACTAAAGCAGAACACATCACGTGCTCCTTTAATGTGACTTTATAGCCAAGCTTCAGAGCCTGTTTGTGCTGAGGTAAGGTACATGTGACTTTGCCACATGTTCCTTTTTTTTGGAAGGCCTAAAAGCCAATGGAAACAATATGCTGAAAAAGTAAGTTTCATTTATGGGTCCCAAAACCATCTTTCCATACAGCGAATTTTTCCTAAACTCAACTGGGAATATACAGAGGTTTAAGAAAGAATATAGCTGTGCTTGTAGACACATGCAACTGCATATTTCTTTCAGAGACGAGCCCATGTTTGGATGACTACGCTGTTGACTGAGCCAAGAAGGGGGAGCTAAAAATACATACATAGAAACAAAACAGCATCATTATGTACTGCTGACATGGCTTGGCACGTCTTATGTCAAGCTTGAAAAATTCTGGAACATTTCTGCTTTTTTCTAAGAAGGTACCACTGGGAACTACAAATATCATAGAGGATCATTTTAAGAAGGATTCCCCGTTCTTTGTCACAACCAAAGTCCCTCTCAGAAACAAGAGCTCGATCACAACCCTGAGAGAGAATGCAGGACAATTCCCTGGGTGTGCTGATCCCCCACATTATGGACCTGATCCCACAGTCAGTGTGGATCAGATGACTCTTGGTGTATTGCTCTCTGGGCTTTTGATCTGCCAACAGAGCAGATTTGCATGGTCAAGCAATGGAGTGGCCCAGAGAGAAAGAGGAACGCTGGCATTGTCTAAAAACCTCGAGGGTGGCTGCTTTCACACAGGCGTAAAATAAAGACGATGGACTACAAAGTTTAGACGTGTTCTCCAGACCGCCTGTAAATCATGAAGCCTAAACGTGTGATATCCATAGCTGATAAGTTAGAGCTGCTGTGTTGCTCAAAATAAAAAGAAATCAGCTTCACATCTTTTTCTCCAAAGCAGGAGTCAAAAGTGAGGAAAGAAAGACATGGTGGATCGATGAAAAATGCATTTGTTGAAAGAGACCGACCTCTAAATGGACAGGTCAGCCAAGATGGGTGATGCATTCACAGTTTATGGCTGTGTCCCATTGTGTGTGTACACACAAGCTTCATCCAGGCAGAACACATAAATTGTGTGATCTGAAAAGCCCTGATTCTTGGCTGTAGTTCATGAACGAGCTGGGCAAACCTCAGGCCGTCCTCCCCCATCATAAAACTAATCACTGTGGCAGACTGCTGTGTAACCTATTTTATTATTAACCAGTGGCTCATACTTTGGCCTGCATGTTATGAAAGAAATTTTGCAAAATGGTAATAAAATGATGGGATTAGCCCAAAATAAGGAGTTGTATCCACCACTGTTTGGTTCTTTGAAACTATTCTTTGCTTAAATGTTGGAGGAAACTAATGACTCCGGTCTTAAAAGACTCTTTCAGCACCTTTCAGGAGTGTATTCTACACCGTAAACTCCCAACTTCACATGGCAGTGTGAGAAATGTATACCCCCACTTCTCCTTGATGACCATGACCGAGACACCCACAGTAAATCACCAGAGGTGCTGAAATCCCAGACATTGGTGGGGAAATAGGCACTCTGGGAAAGGAATTTATTTTGATGCAATAACCCTCAAAAATGACACCTGCAGTCTCTGTGGCAACTTTCACGACCGGGGCAAGCAGAGCAGATTTCTATGCAAAGGTGAAACCTTTAATGAGGGACAAAATGTACATACAAGCTCATGGGTTTTATACCGAACAAAAGGCAGCTCACCATAAGCCTTTTTAAGACGGGTTTTACCATGAAATGGAAAGAGGCAGACACCCCATTATACTATGACGCAATGCCACAGCAATCCTTTGCAAAACAGTTGACAGCTATGGTGGGTTCTGAATCTCTGTTGGAGCTGTTACCCATCTATCTAGCGGTGTTCTAGACCTGCGCCTCATCCCTGCTTTTAACCAAAACTCAGGAAGTGCTTTCAGACAGTTTGGACTCTTGCTGCGAGCATCTTAGCGAAGCAAAAACAGAAACCACATGGCTGAGGAGTACAGCAGCACGCAGAGTGTTGGCAGCCACCTTTACAATAGTGCCAGTGGGTTTTATAAAACTGGAAACGCAGGGGCGAGGTTTACCATTAAAAGGGCCGGCACTAAAGGGGGTCTCCTCATTAGGTGGCAGGAGGAAAAAAAAAGGACCCCCAGAAAAACAACAGTGTTAGCAATAATATGCTCCGAATGTTGGCTGCAGGGTTGTGTCATGGTTGCCAGACCACATTTCCTATAACTCTTCTACTGTACTTTATCCTGGATGTCTGTGCCTCCTGGGGTTGGTATGTGCTCAGTGGAAAAAACTATTGTGTGTTTCTGTGTGTGTGTGTAGGTTTCCCATGGGCTTACTACACATGTGCTGTTGAACTAACTAGCGTGCAGACCTGTTGAACTGTGGTGGTGAGCTCCAGGCACAGCTGAATGATCTTGTTCTTGGTGGCAGTGAAGTCACTGATCCCTGTGAGAGGTGTTCTGCAGGCAGACAAAGAAGGAAAGGGAGAAGATTAGAATCCAGCAATGAGCTGCAAAGCTGCAGTGTTATCACATCTGCTTGGCTGCACAACTTCTAACATACAGAACTTGTACTATTCAAACAAAAACATGGGAAGCCACCACTGATCTAATGTGATACAAACAGCTTTGCCGTCAATTTCACCTGTTTTTAAAACATGATGTTCACCAGAGAAAACACTCTGTGTGGTGCCAATTAAACCACCTGTTGAAACACAGGTTGAAGTTTGCAGTGGTGTTAAAGTGAACTGGGTGTAATTGAGAAGTTTTTCCTCTTTTCATTATCTGATTAAAATGCAGTCCTTTAAAAACTATAGAGAATGTGATTGTGTCAGATGATACACAGTTTGTTCAACAGTGGCCCTGTATACATGGGTCCAAAAATCCTATTTACAATCAGATTGAAAGGTCAATCAGATTCAAAATGTCTCATATAAACACCTTAGCCAATCTGATTCACTGAATCTGATTGTATTTCGGGTTGGATTGTAAGAGATAGTCTACACCGGTTGATAATCCGCTCCATGCTCCATATATACGGCTGAGTGGAGCAGATTGGGTTTACAGAGAGGCTTGTTCGGTCTGCGCAGGTGCTCGGTAGTACGCAAGAGGCACGTAGTGACGTACGCAGAGCGCGCCCAGACGAAAACAAACATGGCAAACAAACAGAAAAACTGGACAGTGGAGTGTTAAAGTGTGTTGTTTCGTGCGACTGACGAAGCGTACACTTCTTGCTGTGTAACCCGGCTGGATTATACTTTTATTAAACTTCAACACACAGGGTTCCTTACTCTGCTCGGTCTGGTAACTACGGCGGTGACACACACAAACACGTCCGTGCGCAACTCTAAAACAGAACTAAAACAATGGTTCCTATTAACAATTCCCATTGATACAATACAATACAATTGGATTCAGCTGGGGCCATGAAAACACGGACTGAACGTGGATCTCTTTTCTTAAAGTTCATGTATACAGATGGAATCAGATTCACTTAATCCGATTGATTTCAATCAGATTGAGGAAAACTACCCATGTAAATGGGGCCAGTGTCTGCTAATGTTTGCATACCAAAACATGACAATGCAACCTCTGTGGGTGTGGGTTAAATTGGTGGAGAACACTCTCTTTGTGCTCAGCTCAATATCAGAACTCTAATCTGTACCATGATGTCAATATAATGTGATTTCAGCTTCAGAAACAAAGGCTTATTTTCAGCAGGGTTCCTACGCAAATTCAATAATTTTTTAGGTCTTCAAAAGTATGGAAAATGAAAAATAAGTATGGAAAAATATTCATGTTTTCAGACTATTACCACAGTTCTAAAATTCTGTTTTCTAAAACAGAGAAGTAGGTATTTCCAAAAATTATTCTAAAAATTACGGTATGGAAAGGTATGAAAATTCCAACTGTGTAGGAACCCTGTTACTAATAACCTATGTGACCTGCTAAACATGCTCTGCTTTTATGGGGTTTTGTGTTTTGGAGGAGGTCATCTGTGGGGCAGAGAGGAGCCTGCATTTCTGCTCAACAGTGTGCACAGCGTTTTCTCAGCCAGCAGCATGCATATGCGCAAACAACTTAAATTTCAGGCTTTTATTCTGATGTCTGATCCAGAGTGTGCACATTTGCAATCGTACCTGTCAAGCCAAGCCAGGAGGCTTTTAGCAGCACCGATCAGCTCCACCACAGAGGTAAGAAAGTCATTGGGTGGCTTGCGTGAAGTGCTGCCGTCATATTCAGGGCTCTTCCTACGATCAGATGTGGCCATGTGAAGACTGTTGGTAGCAGCTCTCATCCTCACAACCAGATTTTTCAAGTTATCTGTCTCAACCCCGTAGTTCTGGAAAAAAAAAATCCCGACAACTGAGTCAAACAAAGAATAAAAAAACAGACATTTATATTTGAGACAATGTCAGTCAAACTTCTTAACAAGTTGAACAACCTTTTTACATGATCTAGACATGGGAGGTACTTTTTACACAACAACAGAAACTCACTCCCCAAAAAGCAGGTTGAATCATGTACAATAACAGGCTGCAATCATTTCTTTGACGTATTTGATTGAAGTGCAGTTTCAGCATGAGAACTCCCCACTTGTCTCCAAGTTTGTCCCAGCATGTGCAGGAAGGGTGTGCATGTGCCATCACCTGATTCTAGTCAAGCGGAGCAAAGTCTGCATTCTTTAGGCTGGGTAGTTTCCTGCTTTTGCATTCCTTTGATTTATAGGTTATTGACATGCAGTCAAGCAAGTCAAGTATTATGTCTCTGAGGGTTACAAAGTACTGTGCAGACCAGCTATGAATTTAACTGCTGCAGGGTGCAGGGCAGCAACACCATGCGCAATTTTCTTCTTGGCTTGAAAAGTGGATGTCTGAGACTGAGGATAACCGCTTGACCAAGGGCTGTTTCGAACTTTTGAGCAATGTTTTGATTGAATAATGTGTTGGCTAAGGGTAAACAGAGAAAAAGCAGACTGGCTTCTGTCCTGGTAAATATCAGCTTACATGGTGTTGCATCGCTGCCAGTAATGTTGCTGCACGTGTGACAGGCCAGTAGCTAAATATGCTTTGCAAGGAGTAAACCAGCACGTGTTTGAGACACTATAAAGAAAATCTGCAAGTGGTTAAGGTCTGCTTTTATTCTACTAACTCTCCAACATGAGTTAAAAAACACACAGTTCAATGAAGTCTGGAAATACACAAAGTGGCCTAACATAAAATGAATTATTCAAACACCGTGAAGATAAGCAAGCACTCAGTCATTGAACAGATTAAAGAAATAAACCGTTTAACAGTTGTGTTTTTCCTTCACTCATTTACACAGTGAGAGTGGCATTTGAAAGCAGCGTGAGCCCTTTCCAGATCAAACGTCTCGCCTGGCTTTTTCATTAGCAGGCTGATCACACAGTCACAGCAGTTCGAACTGGCTCACAGATGTCCACAGAGCCTCTGTCCCACACAGCCAGCTGAGCTAAAAAACATGTCCGAGGCTAAAACCAGTGGTTCCAGTCACATCCAATTTTTCATTCTCATAACAGCATCTTGAGCCAAATTTACATTGTTTCAGTACCTTTTATAGACATTCAGTGAATCTAGAATCAAGATGTTTAGTTGAGGCTCTGTGAGGGGACTATATTCTGGTATAAGTGCCTTGAAGAGAAATGAAGAACGGCTATCACAACACAGCACTTCCTGTACTTGCCACAGGCATTACTTGGATCTAACTTTACTATAAAAGTTACACATGCCTGAAGGGTAGATATAGCGTGTGTGTGTGCATGTGTGTGTATTTTGTATCTATGCGTGTGTGACTGTGAGTTTAGTCTGTGTGCATTTGTCCCTTTAATGTGCCATCTGAGGTTAGAGTAACATAATATCTTGAGACATAATCATCCCTGGGCATTAGTAAAATACATTTCCAGCAGCTCTGCAGCTCATGATGAGGCCTGCAGATCGCTCATGTACTGCATGTTTTATGGCAGCTGCAGGCAGCCTGTGTGCACGGATGTCATGTGGTGCTGATCTTTGAGTGGGTCACTGGGGTCTGAGACCAACTAGAGAAGAGTTGAATTTCAACTTTGACTCTGCAGAAGACATCACGTCTCTGAGAAGTCCAATAAAATTAATTGAAATGTTCCCTTTTCGTCCCCAGACAGCAATTGGCTCTTGATAGCTTTTGGGAGAAGGAGAGGCACACGCATGGACGTTTTCTGGGGCTTTGGGGTTGTATAGTAGGCCATCATTCATCATGGCTTAGGGGTTGAGGCTGCACATACGGCTCAAATTCATGACATTCGATAGGTACAACCATAAAGCATAATCTTAAGTGCATTTGCAAGTGGTTTTACTCAGAAAATTATCAAACAGTGTGACAAAAAATGTTTCCGCACCAGCTGGAAGTGTCTGATCCAACAGTCAACAAAAAAAGAGGGAGGAAAGAGGGAGCTTGTGGGGGTTTTGGATGCCAGTGACCTGTGACCTGTTGGTAGCACTGACCTTGTCACAGTTAAAGCTAATTGAGTTGGGGGCCCTCACTTCCTGTCACCGGCCTGTTGAAGGCCATAGACTCATTCCTAACTAGAAAGACCCAGAACAATGGCTGATAGTCAACAACAACAAGGTAAAGTGAAGGAGGGTCATACATTGAGCCAAATCTTGATCTGCCTGAGACTTGAAGTGTATACAAACACACTGTATCACCAAGTTCCCATGCAGGGAAAGAGGTTCACTTAAATTACAGAACCATGCTGAGGAAGCACTCTGGAGGCCAAATTTATGAGACTGCTCAACAGGAAAACTACTTGAGATTTCACTGCCTTGATGTGAAGGTTCTAGGGGTGAACAAAAATCTGTGCCTGATTACTCTGATAGTGAAAGAGGTTCTGGAGCATTGAATGGACCATATGGCACATATTCTACCAACAGTAAATCTATCAAAACAAAACAAAAAAGGCAAATATGTGCCAAATGCTTCCAGGTGTCATTTTCTAGAGGCGATGCTTTTCAAATGTAGAGTTTAAACTGCTAATCTCTGTTTTTTGCTCAAGATTAAATAAATTACAAACTGTTTTACTTGGTGAAAGTTAAGCAGAATAGTGTCGCATCAGCACATCATGTGTTTGTCAGAAGTTACACTTTCCTGTCTCATGACAGCCAAAACCCAGCTCACATTACCTACACATGGTTAAACAAACTCACACTTTGAAAGGGATGAATTAATCATTAATGACAAAATTATTATTCAAGTTAAACCTGCAAACTGTCTGGCTAGATCTTTGGTTAAGATATCCCAGCTGAGGTTTCGAAGTTGAAGGTAAAGGCTAAGGATGGGAATTGAGAACCAGTTCTTGTTAAGAGAGGCCGGTTCCAAATGATTCAATCCATCAACATTGTTTACATTTTACCTTGAAAAACAGTCTCGCGAGAGCCAGTCTGCGCGAACGTGAACAGAGACTTTGAGGAAAAAAAGCAGTGTTGAGCAGTGATAACATACAAAGGTAGAAACCCCAGCAACACGCTTAAACATTTGTCAACAGGACACGGCATCAAATATAAAGAGTCACATGTATTCGATGCTCTCCGCCAGTCGTCAGCTGCTGCTGCTCCGTCTCAGCATGGCCTGTACGCATGTCCTGTATTAAAATAAGTACAATGCATGCCAGACCAAAAACCTATTGTGTATTTGACTTATTACAGACCACAGTAATGTTGTACAAAATGTTTGCCATTTTTAGACTCTCACTGAAGGTGATATCATATCAGCTTTTTGAATGTCATCCACATGTGCAAAATAGGCAAAGAACTGAGATGCAACCTCATTGATAAGTGTCTCTTGCATCTCATGGACTTTTAAAGAGGATGAAAGGAAAGTATCAAAAGTAGCTTCTTTGAGTAAAGATGGCAGATCAGTGTTGATGCAAACCCTTTGAACCTACAACCTGAACATGCAGTAAAGCCTCATTGTAGGGCAAAAAACCTGAAATTTATAGTTACTTAATGCAAGACTTTTAAAGACAGCGTGAAGTCTACAATGCTGACAGATGAAAACAAGGGGACCACAGTCTTAGCCTTTTATAGCACAGGAAGTGATAAAACTCTAAGATTGATCCCATCTGTCAGAAAACATGGTTCTCTTCAGTCGGAGCATGGACAGTTTTCATCACTCTTTCATGTTGACTAGTTGAAAGCAGAGACACTCTTGTTGGCTTCTGGGAGCTGTGATGATGGACAAAGGGTCGGCTGATTTGCTCCCAGAGTGACTAACAAGAGCCAAACAAGGTCAATAATTGAATTGGCTCAGGTGAGCAGACAGATCCAGCTGTAAGGGCCCAGACCCAAAAGACAAATATAGCTTATGTGTGAAGAAGAAGTAGCTTTCTTTTGATGTATCAAAGAGACCCAAAAACCACTGGTTGCTTTATGATAACCATCAACTGACCCTCATAGCCTCAAACTATCTCAACTGCTAAAACAACCATCAGGCCCCTCTGACTCCATCTCTGCTCGTTTCAGAGTGACATTGCTGTTCCCTAATATCCTGAGGCTGCTGCGTGTGTTGTGGTGCCTCCACACCCCACTGAGCTGTGTGGGAAATGATGAGCCTTTCTGCATCACTGGGCCCTTCAGCTGCCCAACCAGAAAGTACAGGCTGAGTTTTGAGTGATTGTGGACGCTGGCAGCAAAAGGGCGGAACAACGATCAGGACATCGCCTCTTCTTTGTCCAAATTCAAAATGTGTAAATTCAGTCTTCAGATACAGTCTTGTCCCATAACAGTGGTTTTAACTGTCACTGTACATGGACACAATTTATGTAAGCCACAAAAAGTTGCAGCACGGATCTACTGACCAGAGCACAGAGCAGATCGACGGCCTCAAGCACCAGTTCCTGATGTCCGATTCTAGCCACACCGAGCTCCTCCAGGTCTTGGTGTGTGATCTTAAGCAGCTGTTCCCCACTGATCTTCTCCCGCTCAAAGTTGCTGACGTACTGCTGCAAGCTGTCATCCAAACCTGGACACACAAGAGGACAAAAGGTTAACAGAAAGACTCAGACATTTTGAAAAGCTTCTTCCCTGAATAAAAAAAAAAACAGAAATATTTGGGTAATCAGTTAAACTGCTTGTGCTTTTTGGGGGAGGGGGGATTTCTGTCCTTGTATGTCCGCATGTGTGTGTGTGAGTGCATGAGTGTGTACATGTGTGTGTACAGTGCAGATAAAGAACAGGTGTGACTGCTGTATTTGCTAGACAAACACACCATAAACAGGAAAACGGTTGAAACCTTAAAGTCGGTTAGGCTGATTAAACAATGAATGGTTATATTTGTTAGTGAGTGGATGTGTATGTAAATGGGTGTGGGCTTTCTAATAAACGTGCCACTGTAAAGGATGTCCTCCTCGTATTACAAGAACACCACAAACAAATGAGAGGGGCTGTTACAATGCTCAGTACTCCATTCATTAGTCCTACCAGAATGTCACTCATATGAAGAAACTGCATACTGAAGAGGTACAGACCTTTCTGTTGCAAAAACCCCCACACAAATACCCCTCTTATACACGAGGGTGTCCCTCAGTGGAGCTTCAAGTCGTGTTGGTATGACATAGAGAATAATGAGTCTTTGTATGTGTCTGTGTGTTTGTGCACAGAGGCAAACGCCATCTTTCTCCCCATCAAAGAGCTCACAGAGAGGGGGCAGCTGCAGATACATGGCTCCGCGCCCTGTTTTTTCTAACGAACCTGTCAGCTGAGGGACACACTCACTTTAACTATATCAGCACCCCAGACACACACACTACACACTATGTAAGAAAACAACATACTTGTAACTGCAAATATTCAGTTTGATAGTGAATCAACAGAAAGTTTCCTTTGTTTTTTGGCCCACTGAACTTAATACCAAATCACTGCATCCAGATGAATGCAGGACATGTAGATAGGAGTGGGTGTGGGTTATGCCCACTGAGGTTTTTGTTATGAATTACACCTTGCATCTTCATGCTTCTGTGGCACAAAGTCTGTTGCTTATGTTGCAAAGAGTATGCATCAGAGAGGAGCGGATTTTGAATCGGTGTGTGTATTATTGTATTGACTTTGTGATAGGGCTGGGTGATATGGCCAATATCAATACCAATATCACAATATACTGAGCAGTTCACCTCAATAATGATAAATGGATGTTCACTACTCGCAAGGTGCTCACCCCCTCCCACATTAACTTCTTTAACTTCAGCTGCTACAACTTTTGAACCGTCCTCCATCTCCTCACCTGTCTTTCCCTCTTTGTTACAGACTGGATGGGGTGGAGTCACGTCTCTGATGTAGGACAGCGTCTTAAAGGGACATGAGACCATAGCCTCCCTACACACATCCACACATTTATTTTGACACCGAATATATTGACATGGGCGAAATTACGTTGGTTATTGACATAAAATTTGGGTTTCAGTAAATTTTCGGTTTATCACCCAGCCGTATTTTGTGACATAAAACTTGATAGGCAGTATGAATATGTGCACCTTATATTCAGCAACACATTGACACTTACTGAGATTTGTCATTCAGCAAACCTGAACGTCTAAGCTTTTATTTTGGAGAAACGAAGTTCACCCAATCAAGTAAATGTTGTTGAATTCAAATGGAATGATGGACAGCATACAAATGAGCTATGCAACTTGCTCTCTGACCTTGAGTACACTCTAGACACCAACATCACAATAATATTACCTGCAGGAATGTGCTGTATGGGAAGTCCCTGGGCCTCACTACCAACAGAGGACTTCCTTCAAGACCATTAAAATTCCATTATGTCATCAAAGTTCATTTTTAAATCCATAGGACAATAACAGTGAAAGCTTGACTCAACTCCACTGAATCAAAAGTGAAATTCCATCAGAACTTATTAACCATTAGCCTTCACACAAGTCAGGTCCATTTAGGCTCATTCGATTTTTTTTTTCATTCCCAGGAAGAAAAAAAAAGGCTTTAGAAAAATGTTAAGCTTAACCCATGACTGGCCAAAAGTCTGCAAGGAAATCCACTCCAAATTGTAAAACTGAGTTAGACTGAATACTGGCTTTAACCCAAACCTTAAAAAAAAAAAAAAACACAAGCCAATCACAAACAGCAGGCTGATCACTAAATACAATCAAATAAAAACAATGACACAAAGGGAGTGAAGTTTCCTCTTCCTGCAGTGTTAAGAAGGCATTTCCTGTGCTATGAGGCAGCTCTCTTGACCAACTAGAAGAAAAAAAGGACACAAGGGGATTTTGTAATTCCATTTACACATTGCTAAAGCTTTTTGGAGGGCTTAGTTGTTCTAATACCACACATTATCATCCATAAATCTGCATCCGCCACTTGATGAATGAGGGGTCTCCTTTTCTCTAAGTTGCTTTAACTTTCATTCATTCATTCAATAGCAAGTGTTTTCTCCCTACATTTCTATTCCTAGAAGTCACACTTCAGAGAGTTCAGAGGGTTCAATGTGATCTGCGTTGGCTTTGAACTGGAACAATTGTAACCGTGTTTCCATGTATCAAAGAAAAAGACCTACCCTTGATCCAAAATATACTAGAATTTCACTCTCACATTGAATTTAAGGGGTTGCAAGATGAAGGTCTGCAGCGATCAGTCCCTCTCAACACCTTCTGCGTGAAAGCAGGGTGTCCTTATAAAACATTTATTAGGCCTCAATCAATGGCTGCTGGGGTGTGTGGGACTATCAATTTTCATTAAAGCTAGAGTAACCAGTAAAAGGAGATAGAGTATCACATTACTGTGAATTGAGTGAAAGGGGAGGCACAAGAGAGGACCGTGTGAAGGCTTTTCAAGAGCTGTGCAGGATGAAACGCTTTGGAGTTTTATGGCCTTTGTGAACCACTTGGCAAATGTCCTTAAACCAGAGCGAGTGGGTGTTACTGTGTCGCACAGGCACAGACAGATACCCAGCACCAATGCATGCAAGATCTTTCAGAGCTAAGTTTCATTGTGATTAGAAGTTGACTGAAGTTGGATGACTGAGAGTAAGGGGTATTGATCAAGGTCAAAAGGTTACTTTTGTCTGTGTATACATGCATGCATATATATAAGATACGAGATAAAATAAGATATACCTTACTGGTCCCACAGGGAGAAATTCCAGAATATATGTGTGTTTATGTATACTAGGGATGGGCAATATGGGCTAAAAAAGTTTATCGTGATAAGTTTTGCCATTCTGCCGATAACGATAAAAGTCCTGATAACAAATATTTTAAATCATATCTATATTTCTGACTCATTCTGTCTTGAGGATACCAGTTGGCGTAGTCAAAAAAGATGCTTTACTTTAAGTTCTTCAAGTGGTAGGTAATAGAGAAAACTAGTGAAATGTGAAAACCCCAGTCTTGAAGTAAATCCTTCATGTGGAGCCTTGTGTAGCAACAACCTGCCCAGAAACATCTTCTTCACAACCTTCGGCCATGTTTGTTTGTTATTCTGCTCTGTGTGGGCTACGGCTGCGAGTACGTCGCGTGCGCTTACATCATCAACTTGCATTTTTCGATGTATCGCGTTTATTGTGAAACGCACATATATATATCGTGGAGGAATTTTCTGACGATAAATTGTGAACGATAATTTATCGCCCATCCCTAATGTATACGCCTCTGTATTAATGAGGCAAGCTTACAATCCACTACGCTGACTCGCACCTGTAGGTTTTCTTTCTTTTTACATTACTATCTTTCTAACATCGAAGCTCCACTGTCATCAGAAATTTAAGAGATCAGTAATTGTGCACACAAGAATTCTGGACGTATTTAACTTACAAATATTTTCAGTTATGTTATTTGGTTTTTAAAAGACAGGAAGCTATTCAAATACAATCTGCCAAAGTCTCAAATCAACGCACAAACTGAAAAGTAAGCACAAAGCATTTGTTATTCAGTACGTCCCGCTTTGTCACCTGCTGTTCAGTGTGGGGTCTAACTTACCACCCACTATCTTTTCTTCAACAAACACTGAATCTATGTAGAACAGGTTATCAACACAATGGTGTTGGGGTATAGGTGCACATGCAGGGATATTTTTGGACAGCTGGGAAAGCAACGACCCCTGGTACTCCAGTCTAGATGCAACAAGTGGAACCAGAACCTGTTGGAGGCCCAAGAGCTCTACAGCCTACTTAAAGGCTGTGTAAGCACACATTTTTGGCCATGTAAACAACAGAATTCTTTTGCTTGCAAATGGCTGAGCTATTCCTGTCATAATCTTAGCCCATCCTCACAGAGCAGATTGCGTTTGATGTTGTCTCGTACAAAAGAGCTCAGGACCCTTTTCTGTTTGTGTTGATGGAAAGGTCATGGGAACAGCAAACAGGTTTGTACATGACATCTTATAAAAGTTCAAAAAAGGTTGATCGATTGTAATCTGCAGAACTTTAAATGCAACCTTTGGTAGCCAACTTTTTGTTCTCAGGGGTTTGATTACACCAGACATGAGCGTACAGTCTTTCACCTCCTACAGAAAGAACCAAACAAGCTTCCTCCTCTTCACCTCCTGCATTTTCAACCCCTCCCTGTGCTCCCAGTGGGATTTGAGCTGCCCTGTAACATACACACAAACAAGGACAAACACACACACCACACAAAAACACAAACCAATATCCCCACTGGGGTGGCCAGTGGGAAAGCTACTGAGCGTAGAATAGCAGAGCCACTGTAACTCTGCTGTCTTTATTTGTCAAGCCAGCCTCTGAACCTGTGGGGAACGGTCAGGAATTTGACTCATTGTTCTCTGCTGAGCAGCTCCATTGTGGGAATTCACAGCACTCGGGCACAATGGTCTCTGGCTGGATCAGGCCATGCTGTAATTAGAAAGAAAGAAAGAAAAAGCTCCTCTCGGCAACTGCTAAAGCTATCTTCTAATGCATGACTTCACAGGACAACAACAAAGACTGTACACACACATGCACACACTGGGCTGGCCTTTCCAATGGGAACTGGGGGATTGGAGTTACACAATGGTGCTCTACATCTCTTCATTGAGCATGTTGTGTCTTCATCTGAGAACAGTGTACAATGTTATAGCTTTCTCTGACGATCCTTGATGGACAAAAACAAAAGATCTGTGTGCCGTGTTACGAGATACTGCAAAGATTTGACGTAGTTTTGATAGTCCTAAAAGTTCCTATCTCGATTGCTTTTCTGACATCTTAACTAGCTTTGACCCTGTGCATCTCCTGTTTTAATCTTATCACTGCTTCCTCCAGCAAACAAAGGGTGTTTCACTTCATGTACCTTCATCTTAAACACAGACAACTTACAAAATGGCACTAAGTGAGAAAAAACAGCTGAGGCTACTCCGTCCTCACACAGACAAAAGCAGCTCTGTCAGTAAGGAGTGATGGACGATGACTGATGACGGAAGAGGGGTCAAAGTTCGCCAAGATGTCGTTGGTTGAAGCTCATCTGCAACTACCAGTGCCAGCCCCTGGGCTCAGTTAATCCTCACATCCCCAGCAGTCAAGCAAAGTCACATTGTCAGATTTCAGAAGTCTGGGCTGTTGGAGCTCAGTTAATATTGACCAGGGAGAGGTGAGAGGTTGCATCTGGAGGCGTTGCAGGTCAGAGTACAGGGGGTTAAGAGAGGTATTTTGGCTGTCCCATGACCTGATACATGATGACCTCTGGCTACATTAGCAGATCAGAGGATTGAGGAACAACAAGCATAGAGCAAGAAGGATGTTTGAACACAGATAAAGTGGACTGCTGCAGGCACATAAGTCAGGGTCTTTGCAAATCTGCAGCAACCAAAACAGTTGTTTTTTACGCCAAGGGCGTGGAGACAAAAAAAAACAGAAAAACTGGTTGTCTGGGTCAACGAGTTTGTACCTGAAACTAAATTTATGTTCTCTTGTCAGAATTTCTTTGTGTGCAGTTGAAAATGCAGATGGTTATCTGCACTGTTTCTGGGATTTTTAGTTTGAGTACAGTTTTTTCACAAGGCTGCTGCTTCCCGGCACTTCTATATACCCTTAATATTGACATAACTTAGCTTGAGTAAAATGCTTACGAAAAGGAGAGCTTATATCTAGTTGGATACAAAATATTTAAAATGATAGTGTTACAGGTTCACTGCCAGAACAGACAAAACTATTTTTCCCGATATTTTTCAATATTTGAAACAAGCCTTTTCCTTTAACGCTCCACCAATGTATTCATACAATAGAGTCTGATTTATTCCTGGGGACACCAGGATGGTGATACTCAATATTAAGTTTAAACATACCTGGAAAACACATAAGCCCATGTTACTACCTGTTTGCACAGGTAGGTGTGACTGACCCTTGTGTGCTTGACAGGGACAGTAGCAGAGCTAGGAGCACTAACCTCTCAAAGCCAACATCAACACCATTTACTCTCCAGCTAGTGGACCCTGCGGCCATACTGTAGCTTCTTACCACATAGAACAGAAACACCCTCAAAAAAAAGAAACAAGGACCTCAGAAATGGATAGATCACCCCCTCCTCTTATTCTCTTGCGAGCACTGGTTGTGCTCCTCCACCCACCTCAATCTTTGTCTCTTCCTGGCTTCTCTCATCTTGATATTGTTGTGGTTCAAAAGTCCCATGATATTCACAGTCCTTGTGTTGTGAAAACACACAATACAATTGAGTGTTGCTTCAGGAATTCTGGGATCGTCTTGTTCTCTGGTTATTTTATCACAAGAGGTGTTTGTAAGCAATAAGAAAAAGCAAAAAGGACCCAAACTCTGTGTGGCCTCGGAGTCCTCACTGAGAAAGTTGTGTTTGCGGGTAAGACTGCTGTGTTTGTGTTATCAACAGGACTTTTAAATCGCTCACTTTACAACAATGTATACATCATATCCCTTGGAGAACTTTAATTAGAGACCGTGGCTCTTTGGAAAGACGCAGATAGACGGAGAGAGGCTTAAAAGTGTGGGAACAAAAGTCAGCGACTTAAAAACCAACAAGAGACAAAGAAGAAAATTACCCCTTTAAACAAGCAAAGTCTCCTTCTTAACCTTAACCCCTCTGTTCAAAGTCACAACCGCCGAGACACAAACAGACACACACTGTTTACTGCCCCTATTCCATCACTTGTATGCTGTATGATCAGGGTGGGCCTGCTTACTGATTACAGAGCAATTTACCAGCAACATAATAGCTGCCTATAGAAACCACAATAGAGATGAACAAAGTTTCTCGGAGGAAACATGTCCCACTCCTTTAGTTTGCCATGAGAAAAATGTGTTAGCACTGTGACTGTCAATGCACAAGGCCGATACATGCGTGCAGAGTCACATTTTGTATAATCATACTTCTATTGTCTCTGTCACTGGTATGATTGGGGGTTATGCTTGCTCTGTTTCAAGTATCCTTCAGCATCTAATTGATGTAAATTGCCCAAAGAGCAACCCCTGCAATGAATAAAAGCTTCACTACCAAGCCAATCAGAGGATTTCCTCAATCAAATCTGACAGCAGGTCCATTTCTGATCCTTGCACAGTTTGAGGCCGGTTCCTTCGCCTGGTTTCATCACGCAAATCCAGCTTGCCGCCTGCTTTCTTCCGGGGCTAAGGCCACTTTGCATTAGTAGCTCAAAGTGCTACCAGTGGTCAAACCCCCCCCCCCTTTTGTCACAATGAAGAGCTAAAGCATTGGCTTGCTCTGTAAATAAAAGCAGGGTTACTATGGAGACAGAGGAAGTGGGGGGAGGGTTGTGAGAGGAAGGGGGAACAGGGGGTTTGAGAAGGTTGGCGGAGACTAAAGAGGAGGAAAAGGAGAGTGTGACCAAAATCCAATGATTTACAACTGGCTTGTGCTCAGGTCAGGAGGGAAGAACACAGGGGTCAAAGGACTGAGAGCATCATCCTACCTCCTTGTACAGAACAGGCCTCTCAACTCCATTCAAAACCCTTCATTATCTTTTCCTGAAAGTTCTCCATGAATCACTCTCTTCTCTATGACAGTAAAGAGTGAATATGACAGACAGTTAAATCAATTATGCAGAGTAAGACATCACGAGGCAGCCTGCAGGCCATGGGCAGCTGATCCCATATTCCCCGTGGCGATGGGTGCGGGTGGATAAGCATGAGTCATCTTCAGTGTAAGGCAGCAGTTAGTGACAGTGTGTCACCTGCGGGCCATGACACAGCGCGTATGACGCATCTGTTTAGATACACATTCACACGCTGCGTGTTGAGTGTGAATGTTTGGTAACTCTGATTCTCTCTGTCTTTAGTGTTTCAGGATGAGTCTCTTGAAATTGTATTCATGCACTAATCCAGTGATGAAACACACAAAGCTGCACATGAGGAAAAACAGACTCCGCCTATTTGCAGGTGAGGTTTGTTTGTGCTCTTGATGGCACCTGTTGTGGGTCTCCCTCACTTTTGTGGCCAGTTGTCAAAGGAACAGTCTATAAATGATAAATGCACTGACCACTAGAAAGGTAGCCACATACAAACAAAGCCGGAGGGCATTTGAGAGAATTTTTTCCCAGGTGGCTGCAGCAACAGGAACAAAAGACAGGATCATGAGAATCTCCCATGATTGTTTCGTTTGGTCTGGAGAAGCCTCAAAGAGGAGGCACCACTCCCTGCTCAAACAAATTCACTATGACTTCGCTGAGAGCTTTGAGTAAACACAACATCTTATTTGGTTCAGTAGGTTAAGGCATTTCAAAACAGGCTCCAAAATGAAAAGGCTGGATCTTTCACGTTTGACCTGTTTGCTGATACATTATTGACATGTACATTTTAACTGGTGAGGAACAAAAAAGAAATAAGATTTTTAAAAGCAGGTTTCTGGAAAACATGGTGTACATTGTATCACTGCTCTGAGCTGGTGGGATTTTATGCAAACCTTCTTGGTGAAGTTTCATCTTTTTGAAGCAAATCTGATTGATTGGCATAGTTGCGTTTATATATCAGCATTATGAGTTCTCCATATGCACTTTTGTGTTGTACAGCTTCATGACAATACGGTTAAATTTTCACCAAGACAGACAGGTGTTCTTTAGTCTCCTGGTTAGAACAAACAAATGTTCCCGTCTATTCAGGGTTCATGATGGCGTGCTTATAACACATCTCTGGGCTCATCAATACATTGTCAATGCTGACAAAACAAAGGTTTACCCATCAGAGCTGTCTTTCTATCAGCACTAGGATGAGAACCAGAGTTGACACACCAAGACACGTCACAGCAAGTCAAAACAAGAGCACATGCACTCAGGTCTAAATACAATAATAACATGAATTCCTGATGTGCTACCTTCAGATTGCTCTCATGCAAATATAAATTGAACAGACTGCAAAAATGAGGTCAGGGCATTCTCTTAAGTAAGACTGTATTTCATGTAAGTAAATTACACTGTGATTGACAACAAATCAGTCAGTCAGTGTGGAAAACTGGGGGAATCTGGACTAGTCTGAACATGTTCTGAACAAGCGCTGATCTGGCTCCTGTTCAAGTGCCTGAACCAAAAGTAGAGATGGGATTTATGGCTCTTTGAAAGGAGCCGAATCTTGAGGAGTCATTCTTTTCAAAGAGCCGTTCAAAAGACTATATATATATATATATATATATATATATATATATATATATATATATATATATATAGAAGTCAACCACGGGTACACTTGGGTGGGGATTATTCTGAAACATTTGATCTTTATTTCATTCGGCTTGTGTTTTCATTGTAAACATTGCCTAAGGTGGTGCCATATCCCCATGCTTTGACAGTGAGATCACTATTTTGAATTTTTCCCTCACCTAAAAAACTTTGTGGTGCATAAAAAAAACTATGCAGGCTACAGATAACTGATAACTACCTGGTGTTTGGTTCACTTCGGTGACATGTGAAGGCAGCATGGGCAATTTGCATATGAGAACGGCTCGCAAACGACTGGCTTGTCACCTTGAACCGGTTCTCATCGTTAACCAAAAGAGCCGTTAAAACAACTGACTTGTTTGTGAATGTCACATCTCTTAACAAAACTAGGTAGCAGTTTGTAAAACTAAAGATCTCTCCATAATCACATTGGCAATATAGGTCACTCCAGTATAACAGTATGACAACTCGACGTTGTTTACTGTTTTAGATCTGCTGAAAGCAACTGGTGGCCCTCAATTTAACAAAAAGGGTGGGTGACCTGTTCTGGTAGCCTGTTGGCAGCAATGCTGGTTTGGTTTGGTATTGTAGGATAAACACAGAATTCCAGTCATGTTTTGAGGTTATTTGAGCATGAATGTATTAGCGGAGCTTGGATTGCACTGCCAGCAATGCCACTGACTGCTTTTTTTCCTCTGCACTAGTTTGAATCATCATACACGCAAAGCTCAAGATTAAAGAACTTGATTTGTCCCCAGTAAGGATGATTCAGCCTGCAAAAATGAAGGGAGCATAAGAAACATACAAGATCAAGCAATATCAGACTAATATATGGGCAAAAATTCAATTGCATGACTGTGCGAGTGAGCCCTCAGGCACAATAATCCAGTGAGAGCAACCAAGGACATGTACTTGACATCACTGCAGAAGAGGTCAGTCGGCATGTGATCCATGTTTGTCATTGCTGCTGTGCCACCTAAGGTTTGAGCTTTTATTCCCATGGCTTAAGTCTGGCACCTCACGAGTCAAGGCTCTTTGGGAGCACAGCCAAATAGCTTGCAGGTCCTGCTAAGCTGAGATCATCCAGGAGATTTGCAATGCACATTTTAGATTTGAATGAAAAGCAAACTGGTCTAATGCAGGTTGGCAGGCATACAGGGGGACACTTGGTCTTCTGTCCTTCCACTGAGAGAGGAGCAGTCAGAAATACACGAAAATGCAAACTGATTTTGGATTACTAAATAAAATCCTCACCCCAGTCAGTGAAGCTCTCGCATAACAGATCACTAGAGCCAGTACTAGCCAATCACTTTCTCAAAGCTGGAGCTTGAGAATATCTTAAGGGTTGAAGTGGGTGGCAACTCTCAAGCACAATGTGAAGACTTCTTAAAAAGATTAAAACATACACCTTGGTTTGTTTTTGTCTCCTCATCAATAGATTAGAACATAAACTATTGATGATTTCTCCAGGAGTCTCCATATGGTACAGCTCCCAAGGCTATGAGGCTTGGACTCCAGGCTGTGTGAGAAACAGGCCATGGAACCAAACCACACCAATCCCTTTCAGTTGCCTCTTCCCAGGGGGGAATCCTCTTACAGCACTTCTCCTGAACTCTAAAGGCCATTTCTATGGAAAGGTAACATGGTTATCAGCTTAATCAACTGGACACAATAGGTAGATTTCAAAAGCTAAATGACTGACAAAAACAGGATTTTTTCCTTCTAATAGGGGGCAAAGAAAGAATGGCTTTTGACTGAGTGATGATGTCCTGTAAACTGGCCACTTTCTGGGGCATACAGATTTCTGTTCGTCTCATGTTAGGATATTTACAGTCTACAACCACAGGTTAGTTAAAATAGATTAATGCAGCCTGTGGTAGAGGTGGGAAGAGGTGGCAAGAGCCTTAATTACAGTGAGGTGTCTGCACAACGTCTGTTCACACTCCAGTTAAGGAAGTCTCTGTTTCAGCTTGATAAGGATCACGGGCCATCATTGCCCACACCTCACTATCAGCTCCCAAGATAAGATTGCTGGGGGCATCCATAAGTAGAGTCATTTAGCATGTGTTGACTCAGTTATAAGGACGTTATTTTTTCTAGCACACACTTGTTCAAAGACAAAAGCACATTACGCACATCTGTGCCAAATCTCTAACGGACCAATTACCATCTTGGCACTGTGGTGCTATTTCAAAACAATGCTAGGGCCGCACACCTTTGATGCTATTCCTGTATTTCCATACACATGACATCAAAACAATGGTTATAAAAAAATGTTTTCACCTACATTTGAACATTCAAATCAGAGATCTGGCTAAGGGAAATGTTCCCACTCAAGCACTTATGTGACACTGTATTGCCATCACCGATAAGCAAATAGAGCCAGTCCATGAATAGATGTGTGACCCAGTGGGCTTTTTTGGATCTGTGAATGGTGTGAGATTAATGCAGGTCACTTCAAGAGCATAATTCTTCCTCAAAATACACCCATCGTTCAAATACACACGGTAAATATATGCACAGATCCACAACTGCAAAATATGATAAGCCAGTATTTAAGTATAGAACTTGGGGACAGTCAGTGTGGACTGAATTGCAGCATTTGTTTAAGATTTGGAGGAAACCGCTCAGTAAGACAGTAGCAGTGCAGGACAGGTTTGCATTTCTGGGATTCCTTGTTAACCGTCTTTGTTGAAATAACTACAGAGTAGACCAGAATGAAAAACAAAACTATGTCTAGAAAATGAGGAAATATTCAGCTGAGTGAAAGCAAAACATCCTTGAACAGTGCCAACCCCTGTCAGCTGAGGGTTTGCCTATGTGGATTCCGGACTATATTTGGCAGCATATGACTTAATCTTTTGACTTTGCTAACATGGACATGTAGGTCACTAAGTTATCACTGCCGGATAAAGTTCTTCAATTCAACCATAATTTAGTTTGAAAGTGTTCAACCAGACAAGGAGAGAATTCAGGGGTTTAAAGGACACTATACTGGGACATCAGTGCTGTTGTGAGAAAAATGCACGGATCCCCCACAATAAGCAGTCCCCCACATGATGTATGGAATACCAATCACGTGAAACAAGGCCCAGCTGGAAGATCAGAGCTTGTAGGGGAAGGAAATGCACCTCAGGGCATCTGTAGTCCCCAAACAAAACACAACAGTGTTTAAACTGAAAGAACCAAATGCCCTTTCACTGGCAATAAACAGCCACCAACCACTGCTTGATCTCATTTAACAATACAAGTCATTAACAACTGCTTCAATACACAAAACAGTCCCTGTCTTTTTCTGAGGACAACAACCTGAAGGAAAGGGGAGCAAAGGCTCTCTAAAGGTGCTTTTTGGGAGAAATTTTGACTTGTCACACAGGTGCAACAACTTTGGAAACATTTGTGCTTGTAACCAGTGTGAACAGGCCAACATAGGGCTATGACCCTATTCTTGCTGGTTGTCTTTTACAGAGAAGAATTACACAGGCAGTGGTTGTACTGTAGTAACTTGATGTAAAGCATTAGGAATCGGACATTTAACTTTGCATGAACACTGTTGACAACTTCAAGCCCTCCCTTGGCTACTTTCTAGTACTTTACTGCTCTTTAAAAAAAAGGATATGCAACACAATTGCGGGGCATAGACTGATAATGAGACAGAAACCATATTCAGTCTGTTAAGGACAAAAATAATTATTTTGAGTTTGGATTAAGTTCCATCCTGGGATTACTCAGACCACAATCAGTTTGTGGAGACTAAACAAATCAGGGATCTGGAGAAAGTTTGTCTCTCTTATCACAAAAAGGCCGATCCAATTCAGTCTAAGTTATGTTTGTCTAAACCTTGTTAAAATACAATCTCTGAGCAATCAAATTTCTATTTAGCCCGGTAAAACCACATTGAGAGAAGTTCGATTTGTAAATAACTTCAAAAGGCTTCATCATATGTTGTCAATGCTGTCAAACAATAAATAGATGACCTGATGTTTGCTGTCATTCCTTGCCTGTGCACGTTTTTTATGTGAAAAGGTTCTCTAAAGTCTTCCCATGAATGGCCTGTTTTCATTGTCATTGCAGTCAGTCAGTTCAGTTCAACCATGTCTGTCGGGAGGTCTGCAAATCCACTTGTTAAGACCTACAGAGACAACCGCTGAGTCAGATTTGTACAAGACTGACAGCAAGGGGGCCTGTGTAGACAACTAATCCTCCATCCATGCGTGCCCTGGCTGGGCCCTTTTCACTGGACACACTAAAAACTAAACCCCACAATCCCCTTTAGCTTCCAACTATGAATGTGCTATGGCAGGCATGCCTCAATCAGCAGTAACTACAGAGCCACATCACTTTGAAAACAGCTTGTCCCTGGATCTGAAATGTGGTAAAATGAAAAATAAAAAAAGTCATACATTGCCAAAGGAAGCTTCCAAATCATGTGGAAAGCAAAGGTAAACAACTTCGCCTCATATCCGACAATATGAACAGCCTGTGACTCTTACATACACACACTTTACTTTTTAAGTGTTGGGAATGATAGCAGGCTGAATGTTCCATTCATAGTTGACATACCACTTGGCGTCCCTCAGTGGAAATACCAACGCTGTGACTGATTCTAAGTTAATGATGGCATTACCATAGCGAGAATTCCTCTCAGTGTCTGAAATAGGCAAGGTTTTTTATTGGTGTCAGAACAAAGCACTGAAATGATTGATAGGGCCCCAAAATATTTAAAATAAACAGTGATTTTAAACATGTACTTTACATCAGACTGGTCACACATCAGTATCAATTAAAGTGTACAATGATTCAGTGCATGGATTTGTAAAAGTAGTCACTCAGGGGTTAGAAAGCTTCTTTATTTTTTAAACTTAAAAGTAAAGGTCCATTCCGTTCGCCTCTAATTGGATATTGCCATAAAGCCAACCTGCTCCCTGTCACACCAAGTAAGTAAGATCATTCAAAAGTTGGTTAAGCTGCAGTCCAGCACGTGAATCAAAGAGCGGCTTTCCATCAGCTCGAGTAAATTAAATAGCTTAACTTCTTAACATCTGTTCAGTGAGAGGAAAGAAATGCAGTCCTATTGTTCAGCGCTGCAGCGGAGGTATGTTGACACACAGGAGCAGTTTCTACGAAACTAACCCGGGATAACTGAGCTGCGAGTCAAAGTGCGGGCGCAACAACTTCAGAAAAGAGACTGTCATTAATAGACTTTTCCTTCTGTTAGAAAACTTTATAAACTAAACACACAAAATGCTCCCCCGGACTTACCTTTCATCCAGTCGAAAACTTGCTTCGGCGTCCACTTTGTTATCGGCTCCATGACTTCTTTAGCACAAACAAAGACAGGGAAATGTACCAAAGATCCGATGAGTTTCAAAAAATAAGATTCTGTAAATGTACTGTCACATTCTTCACAACAGGTCAGTACGGTTCGTCTGTTTGGGTCCGCTCACGACACAACTCTGTACACGCGTGGCTGGAGGCTGGACTGAAATCTCGCACAACTCCTCTCCGCACGGGCTCCAACTCATGATGCGTTCAGGTTCTACATAGAATGCAGGAAAAACACAGATTCCCTGCAATACAGAAACCCAAGGAGCCACAAGACAACCTGCTTGTTATAGACAGGATTCAGATAGATGTCGTCCTTGGATAAAAATGTCCATTTATGTATGTCTTTTTTCTTTTTGATCATTCATTTTTATCTGAAGTTTTATGTCCACGTGTAAAAAAAAAGTGATTATACATGGAGTAAAAAAAAATCTAAAGTCACCCCAATGTTTGTCTGTGTAATTCTCGTAAATGTTAACTTCTGATAGTCAATTCTAATTCATATCATAAAAATAATCTCATTTACACCCAACAGTGTGCGCATTGTTGGGGCACCATGTAAATACTTCGGAGGGCCCTGAATGCAGCGTAAGCAACAACGTTGGTAAACTCGGTGTTTTCACCGACCTCTTCTCAAATTAAAGGTATGCACTTGCCAACTAGTGTGTTTTCCCAAAAAAAGTGTGCAACTACACACGTGAAACTTTACCTTTATGACGCTAATGGCGAATTTTAGGGATGGAGTCTCTTCATTGGAAAACTTTTGCAAAAAATACCCACTGAACTTATCCTAAAAACAATGATGGCATTAAACTGATCCTTCCTGTCTGACATGATAATTAGTTTTCAATGTGGCATTAAGTGACTTTCTCCAGTCTGAATTTAATTAATCAGGATTAAATAGCAAACAAAACATTCTGAACAGCAGGTTTTGTCTTCAGTCTGCTTGATACAAATATGACTCACTGTTGCTCTCTGTTGGTCATTTTCCTCTTTGCAAAATGTGATATGTGATAAACCGAGCAGACTGCCAAATAATTCACCTTCTACATGCTTATAAGAGTGCTTCACAATGTACCAGGAACTCATTTGAAGAACATTATCAAATTTAATAATAAGAGGAAATTGAATTGTAGTTCAAAAGGGAGACGGAAAACTGACCCAGCTGCAGGATAACGTCAGTTCACAGCAATGAGGAGATGCTTTACATTACCTGTAGTTGTCCCTATGTATATTTTATTTTAGTTTCAGAATGAACAAAAAAAAAGTTTGATTTTACAATATTTTTTAATATTACAATATACACTTTTAATATACATTTTTTAATTACCATTATAAAAACTAGAAGAAATATGTTTATTTGGGCTACAAATGTACATCCACACACATACATACATACATACATACATACATACACACTCAGTACATACATACATACATACATACATACATACACACACTCAGCACATACATGCATACATACATACACACTCAGTACATACATACATACATACATACACACTCAGTACATACATACATACATACATACATACATACATACACACACACTCAGTACATACATACATTACGCAACCTTACAAACAATATGAAACACACCTTGCGTGGGAAAATCCCTGCCAGTCCAATTACTCCATCACTGTACGGCTGGGAGCTGTGGTGCACAGCACTGTAATCAGCTGATCAGCTTCAGATTAAAGTTGAGCTATTATTAAACCCGGGTGCACATCAATTTACTATCAGACAAAAGACACATTATTTCTTTATTCCACCTTAGTCAAGTAATTTTAGCGGGGAGTGGCATTTTTTGTATTTTAAATGACAAAAATAAGCTTTTCAGATATTAACAGCAAGCTGACATGATGAGCGTGATATATACAAAAGAGACAAAAGAGAAAAATGTCTTAACCTTTTTGAAATTTTGTTGAAATCAAAACAAATCCTGCAGATTTAAGTGACAATTAGCTTGTCAGCATAGATACTTTGAATCTCCAAGATACATAGGTTATTGGTGTATAGCGTAGTGTTGCCAGGCATCACAAACATTTCTGACTACTGCTAATGGGAGAGCCAGAACGGGGAGAGTTCTCGTGGGAGCAGGTTGGATTGAAAGGGATTTTGGGTGGTGAGGAATTCAGGGGAGGTCCTCAATGATAGGATTAAATGAATCATGGGATTGTTGTCGAGGTGAGGTGGAGGGATGAAAGGAGTGTTTGGTCTGTTGAGAAAAAGAGGGTCCAAGATTTCAGGCAAAGAGAAGAAGCCCTATGCAAAACTGTGAGACTGGCACTGATTATTTATACCGTCTTCAAATAGAACTACAGAAAACATTACACTTCCTTGTGCAAAAAACCAACTTCAATAATCCCAGAATTAAAGCATCAGAGCAAGACCAATCTCTAAATCCACATCAACACAAATACACTTAGAGACAAGCAAACTCTGCATGACAATTTATTTCAGCAGTAAAATACAGGAAGTCCACTTTTGGCACTGTATGTTATTCTGGGATCTACGTTCAATAACTGGCTTATAATGTCATACAAACAAAGGCAGGCACGTGAAACATTAGCACAGGAAGTTATCCACTTCATTCTGTGAGATGACAGGATATGAAAGGCTAAAGGTGTAGTTAGTTCTCAAATAAACTCACATCCTGCTGCTGACAAGTTTGCTCTATTAACACTGAACAGATTTGCGGCAGGAGAGGAAATGTCACATTCCCTTTAGGTAAAACACACAGTGGGAAAACAGACTCCGGTGTGTTGCTCCTCTGCATAAAACGTTTTTGTACAACCTCGTAAATAGACATAAGTTATATAATTATTCAACAAAATGAAAGTTTAAGGATTGTGGTTGACCATTAGCATGTTTCTAAGGCTTTCTAACCAGCAAATTTTTCCTCAAGACAACCTATTTTCCTTCTCTTTGAGGCACCAAATCTAGGACATTTGCATTGCCACTATAGCATCCTCGCAGTGTAAATGAGGGGTTAAGGCTGATATAAAGAGGGCAGTGTGGTTTAAAGCTACAAAGAAGATCCTGTGTCTAGTTTTTGTTGCTGGAGAGGAAAGAGAGTGACGCTTCTGAGAATCCAAGTCTCTTAAAAATTCACAAACGCTTGAGCCATCAATATGTCTCCATCAGCACTCTGTCAATGTATACTCTGTTTTTCCTTTTGTTTTTGCAGTTGACTAAAGATGAGGGTAGAACATTTTACAAAGTCTTCTTTCAGTCTGTAAAAGAACAGCATGAAATGTTTACGCAGAAATATTCAAAGAGAAAAAAAAAGATGTAAATTGGTGCTGTTTTTTTAAGGGACAGTCTGTGTGTTTGAAGCCACATTTGGTCTGGCATTGAGGTACTCCAGAACAAAGACCTGCAGGATTTTGTTGAGATTCTGAATGGTGGAGCGATCCAGGTTCTGCTCATTGTCATCAAATGTGTGCCACACAGATGGGAAGGGATAGGGGATTAGATGGAGGATACGTACACCTGAGGGAGAGGCACAAAATAAGGATCATCTGGCAGGGAAGCTCTGTTAATTTTATGATATTTGCTGTGATTTGTTAGTTGTGCTCACCTCTGTTAAGGAATGGTACATGATCATCTTGTATGTGGGCAATGGGACGATCAGGCCAGAAATATTCCACACTGTTGGGATGATCAACTAGCTGGTTCATAGAGTGTAAGCGCTTTTCTGAGGAAAAAGGTGAGAGAAAAACTGATTTAAATCAGCGGATTTGCTTCATCAGGACCATGTGAGAGTAATCTAAAAACATGTATAGTCACTGCTGGCAAGATAAACAAACAACCCCACAGATGTCATCATGATTTTGATTCAAAAACAGTACATCCTGATTGGCGCACAGAAGCATGTGACAACAAAACAACATTGAATTATACATTGTGAAAATCCTACAAAGACACAAAAGGCAGATAAAATAGATTAGACTAACATGCTCCCTTGTTTACCTCTCTTGCTGGTGAAACAACAGTTCTCTTCTAGGACAAGAAGCCCCACTTATGTGTGATAAATGTGATCCCTCATTAATTTTTCCAGCAAAAACAGCTATTGGTATAATTTTTTTGAGTAAAATTACTCTCTTTTTCTTCTGCACTTTCCATCTTCCATGAGACCAACCACCCACCAAAACTGAAGTATGGTATGCGGTATGAAAAGTTATTCGTCCCAGTCCAGTTTTAAGAGCAAAGGTGACACAATGGCCTCCATAATGATAATGATAATCCAATGACTTGTAGTAACCCGTGTTTTATACAACTGACTGCTATCAAGTAATCAGACATGCATCATTTTATCAACGACACATATGATTATTTACCAATGTTCTGTAGTCTGGTAAGCCAGTGTGCTGTTGCGGGGAACTGGTTTCCAAAGCGAGGGCTAGGAGCCCCGATCAGGTCCAACAACACAAACAGATCCTGAAGAGAAAAAAAACACACAAAGAAGGAGGAATAAGAGTTATGCTATCATGAGAAACTCTCTACAGCTTTAAGATAAGTCCTGACCCTTCCCATAATGATCACTCACACCCCAGTGAGGCGTGGTGGTGTAACACAGTAACATCACTGCTTCACTCAATCTCTGCATTTGTGTGAACACACACTGTATTTTCTTAAGATACATTCCACCTTATCTCTGACTTTTTAACACAGGAATGTGTCGAAACAGAAATGTACAGCTAGGTTAAGGAAAAATGTACCAAACCATGCACCTCAACACTTTGTGGTGATTAAATGAGCTTTTAGATCTATTTAAAAAACACATTACTTAAAACAATGATGCCCCAGACTTCAGTCTGTGTGCGGTCTGTGAGTATAGGAGATGATGTGGGATCTCAAAGAGATTATTATCTCTTCAATTACAAGATTATGTTAATCACAGGTGGTTTGGTCAGACATGAGTAAGTAAACTGTGATGTACTATTCCATGTAGCTGGTTGGTGTCTGTGGCTCCAGTGGGATGAGGGGTGCTCTCCATCTTCTGAGCCAGGTGACGAGAGCCGTACAGGGAGTCTGTAGCGGACCACTGGAAGAGGGCCTCCTCCCCATCGAAGAAGATCAACTGTAGGGTTAGATCAGTACTGGAGTTCTGTTCAAAGGAAGTAAAATACAACCATGTGAAACAGCAGTTTGCATTTCTAGAGTTTTGCTGCCACCTAGTGGAAGTAACACTTTAATGACACATCCATTTATTCTCTCAGCTATTGTGTGGGACATACAGTATTTAGCTCAGTACTAGGCCTTGTAAACTTTCCTTCAACTATTCGTCTGTACGGCTTGACAATGTCTCTTATGGCATTTATCAACACCAGTGTTCATATTGGTTTTGTCGCGAAGGCAGCTGATGTATAAGGATTCCTTTTGTGTCATCTATTCCCATGGTGACCTTTTTGACAGCCAGCTGAGTCTGATAAACATGCCCCTTGGCTGATCTCTCCTTGTCACAGGCATTGTCACTGTCCACCCACTAGACATGTGTCTGAGCTCAACTATAAAATAGGAGAGGACAGAGAAGCAAGCTTTATGAATACTTTCCTCGTGACTGATTGGCTTTTGGAGCAATCAAACTTAGTTGTAAGAGTAATAATACAATGGAAAGGTACCAATAATTATATCACTTATACAGAGGGTGTTGTTGTTGTTGCCTAATATGAGTAACATTTGTTCACAGAAAACATTCTGGGAAAAAAATCTTAAATCTAATATATTTCAGACTCATTTCCTTCAGTGACTTTGCACATTTCTTGAATGCAAAATACTACATTTCAAACTAATTTCATTTTTAGCTGATGCCTCAATCAGAACGTACCTCTCAGATAAGGGCCCATATTTGTTTAACCATGTTAACATCTGCAAAAGTGTCCGCATGGAAGTCATTTATCCTTAAAGATGCACAGAAGTTTGATTACAGCACTCTTTACAGAGGAAACAAATGATCCATGTGTCAGAGTCATGGCATGATGGAAAGGAAAGATAAATGCTGTTTTTTTTAAAAATTTAATTTCATTGGCATTACTCTTTTAAGAGCTTCCTGCCGATGATGTTGCTGGTTGACTTACTTGTGACTCATGGTCACAACTAGCCAACCGCAGTGAGTAATAACACCTTCAACTGGCTTGTGTATAACTGTATTTGAGATAAACCCAAGGTACTTGTGCTTTTGGCTTTAGTATTGCTGAAAAGAAACTTAAACCTTTGACAGACCAACTGGTTGTGTCTGCACCCTTTTAAGTACTGTATTTTGGAGGTATAAGACACATGCCGGGTTACTACCTTCTGAGCTGTTAGTTCTTCATTCAGGGCTTGTGCTATCTCCAGAATCATCGCACAGGGTACAGCAGAGTCAGTGGCGCCTTGGAACTCCCTTCCATGCCACTGTGGAGGGTAATACTTGGAGTCGTAGTGACAGGCCAGGACAAGATGGCGCTTGGCTGAAGGGTTTAGGGTGGCGATTATGTTCGTGAAAGGCAAAGGGCCATAGGGTGTTTGTGACATAAATCTATCCTCTGTCACTTCCCAGCCTGCTCCAAGGGAACTGAGGGTTGTTTTTATATGCTGTAAGCACACACAAAGATGACCTGTTAGTATAATATAGGCTATAACTCTCTGATTTGACAAGTAACAAGTTGCTTCAAAAATCATTCACTGTTTAAAGATGTTTGGTTAGGATCTTAAAAATATGGTAGCAATAGCCTGGAAGACCTTCCTGAAAAGTTCAAACCATTATGACAGATGCTGTTAAAGCATTTAATTTTCATATAGTAACTAGGGACTTAGCCTGCTCCATACGTTCCACATTTTGTCAGTTTTCTATAATGACAACATTCATGGTTTTAAGAAGGTCACATGTATGTTACTATTAGTGTTTCTGTATTTAAAAATCACCTAGCCATTAAATCAAGCTCACCTCCTGCACGGCCTGGCTGCCTGGAGAGCCTGGGTACCTGGTAACCAGCAGTGGTCTCAGATCCCTCTGCCACATTTGCTCAAGGTCAGTGTGAGACAGCGCGGTCTGGACTTCATCTCGGGTTAGAGTAAGAGCTCTGTGATGGAACTGAACAGAACCAAAGGAAGCAAACTTAAATAACACAACTTGAAAGTGAAATATACTGTTGTCTTTTTATAATGAGGGAAGAATTAAGTATGGTTGAAAAGAATATTGCAAGCTTTATGGTATCAATTTCTTTGAAATAAACCCAAGAAAAAGTCACTTCTGTGATCAGACTGGACTTTTTTTAAAAGAAATGTTGCAAGATGACTACGTATATTAGTATGACACAACATTTTCCTCTACTTCCAGTTAGAGGAGGGCATAACACTACAATTTTAGGAGAAGTCAAACGGATGACAAACAGAATGCTAAGACAAAAGTAACTAGTTGATGTTGTGGTTTGGTTGAATCAAAAGTTATGCTTCAGGCCAGCTGTGAATCTCATTCTGCTCCCTCCTCAGAGACAGAAACAAAACATAGACTGGTGTGAATAGATATTGATTGAATACCTTAAACACAAGGGCTTTTTAGGCAAAGCAGGGATTGAATGAAAAGTGAAGCGTACTTGTTAACATGCCATCAAGCTTACTCGCAGTAGAAAGTACACATCTGTAAAAAAACAACCCATCAACTGAATTGGATTTGGATTCAGGTTTCAGTATATGAATACTGCCTCAATGTCTGCTTGAGTAAAGTCATTGTTTAACATAAAATATTGATCCCCTTGTTTTCCCGACTCCATTTTGTCTGTTTCGTCTCAAAGTTCACCTGGAGAGTGGTTGTCCTGGAAACAAAGTGAGCTGAGAGGACAGACAGAGACCAGGAGAGAAAGAGCTGATAGTGAATATCAGAGCAGTGTCTCTGAGTAGTTTATGTGACACACTGCTCAAACCTCTCCAGTCAAAGCCCTTAAATTTGATGCCATTAAGAGGAATCATTTAATTACCAAAACATAGTGCCTTCATAATCATTTACTGTTTGAGTTAGTAAATAAATAATTTGGTCTTAAAATGTCAAAAGATTGTAAAATGGCACTTAAATAAACCTCAGACACAAACTAACAGACGCTATTTTAACAGTATGAAACTCAAAGATCTACAACTGTCAGCTGAATTATACACGTCTCGTTTCTATCATTTTTGTTTCTTGTATACTTTAATTTGCTCACAGATGACATGTTATCATCATTCTATTTGAGCTGACTGTTATTGAATTTGTAACAAACCGTGTTCAAACATTCACCCTATTTACTGTGAGTTTGGTCCACACTGACTGACTGACTGACTGACTGGTAGCTATATCAGCCTTGTAAACACAGTGTACAGTACAAAGGGTATAATTAACTGACAACCTACACTGAATGTAGTCAGCAGAAGAGCTGGGGTGCACAAGACTCACAGAGGGTTAAAGGGGGGTCCACTTAGGGTCTATAAATACCAAGACCTGCAATTGGAGGATCAATGACATGACTGTGCTACCATAGCAACCAGGGAAAGAGGGGAAGGGAAGAACAACATAGATGGGGAATATGAATGGCCAGGCATAACCAGGTGCATCTCAGGAGAATTACACAACAGTGCCTAGGAACACTACAGAGGATTATAGGAACAATGATAGCAATAATAATAATAATAATGATATGCAAATCTAACTGAATTTAAGATCTTGTGTTTCTCTTCTCTCATTTGAATATTGAAAGTTCCAGTAATCCCTAATTTGAGATGGCTAAAGAAAAGACCCAAACATAAACATTTCTAATGGATCTAAATTCTTTATCAAAAGATTTTCTAGATAGACAACCGATGCTTTAGAAAAATCATCGAGTAAACATGGCGTTGCAGAATAAATAGCAGTTTCAAACCTTTTTTCCAGACTGCTGAACACAACACAACAGAATTCTTTAAAAGGATGTCTGCACATGCAGTTATGACTTTGTGGTCATGCTCGTGTTAAACAAAATGTAAAAATTGTTCCTCTTGATCAACTTACCTTTTCTTGTGTCCAAGGAATTCCACATGAGCAGTGGATAATTGTCATCCAGACAGCCACGGAGTAAAGTAAACGCATTATAGAAACACCGCGACTCCGCTCAGCCAACGCTGTTGACGCTCCTCTCCACATTCCTGTCTCTTCTCTATGAAAGCTTAGAGATCATGTGAAGAGCAGGAGGGAGGACCCTAGGCTCACAACCGCAAACAGCCCATGCAGTTCCGCCTGTTAAATCACATTGAGTCACTGTAGTGGTGTGTGCTCGTATGTGTATGTACGTGCGTGTTTGCGTGTACGTGGGTGCTCGTAGGATAAAGGTCACGTGATAGTTACCGGGGTATTTCTTTTACTCTAACCCTCAGAGCATTTTTGGTGTAAAAGAGGTCTAATAGAGGTCTAAATGTAGCCCAGACAACTGGTCTAAAATTGAGAGTTTTTTAGACGTCCAAATTTAGACCAAGTTTAGATCAAGTCTAAACCTGGGCTATATCTATACTACACTGTATATTGCTCAACAGCTATCATAATTATTTTAGTTAAGTACTTGAAGATCAGTTATTCAACTCACGTCCAGAGCCGGTCCAGGGCATAAGGAACTAAGCGCCTGCTTAGGGCCGCGTGGCCAGTAGGGGGCAATCAAAATAATAATAAAAAAATATTTTTATGTTTATTTTTTGCATGTATGATGTATGAGTGATGCCTTCTGTATGATCAAATATATATTATTGTAAAAAGAAGATAAAGTCAAAATATTTTAGTGCTGCTGCTGATGTAGGCCTCTTACTGCCGATGACACTTTTACAGTAAACACAATCCTTTATCACTTGGAATGTTAAAATCAACCCCAGGCCAATCTTGTACCTGAATGTGTTACATTTTGAGATTAAAAGCCATATGTGGCACCCTAAACATCATTCATCAGTCATTCATTGGTATTATTTATTATCTATGCCACCCTCTTAAATGTGTAAAGACATGTCAGTCGCGTTAAATTTATACTGAAGTAGGTGTGTGAATGATCAACAATCAATATTATTGGCAGAAATAGAGGGCCCCAAAATCAAATTTTGCCTAGGGCCCCATTGAGGCTTGGGCCGGCTCTGCGGGCATTTAGGTGGCTGCAAAAGAATCAAAACTGAAGCTGGATGAGGTTGTTGCACAAGCTTTTTAAACTGTGCAAGAACACCAAAAGAGAAGTCTAACACCATTCAGCTTTTTGTGCAAACACACTCCGCAACAAGGGCTTAAATATCGAGAGGAAGCCAGCTGCAGCGCAAAGATGGCGGACCCAAAGATGAAAAAACGCAATGAAAAAACGCAATAAATTTCTGCATTACCTCCGATTGGCGGACCCAAAACAATTACTTCCGGTGGATAGGCTTTCTCGTTGGCGGACTTCCGGTGCTGAAATGCTTCAGGTAGTCGGATTTAGTCAAGAGTACCCAACTGCAGCCCAAGATGGCGGACCCAAAAGATGAACTTCCGCGATGAACTTCCGCAATACTCACTCAGAATTACCTCCGATTGGCGGACCCAAAAGATGAACTTCCGCATTACCTCCGATTGGCGGACCCAAAAGATGAACTTCCGCAATTACCTCCGATAGGCTTTGCGATCCCAGAGTAGTAGGTGGCGGTATGCACCTAAACTTTCTTGCGGCAAAATTTACAGAAGAAGAAGAACTTTCAGGAAGTTTGAAAATAGCAAGCCGTCCGCATTCATTCAATCTCACCTCCGACCCACTCAAACTAACCCTAACCCTGCATTCCATTGTTTCCATCATGGGAAATCTAAGTGACGCTCTCAAATTAACAGGAACATTGCGCAGAAGATATGTCCTGGGCAATGGCCTGAGAAAACGGGCAGAGATTTAGAGGTATTTGTGCATGCTCTATATTACAGTTGAAAAGTGTATAACAGCTTTCCAATGCTGTTACTTGTGGCGAACACCTTTTTGCTTGAGTTGACGCGTGCCCGCAGGTGGAATAATGTCACATGTCACACCGTCCATATTTTCTGTTGTTTTGATTTATTTACTCATTCATCATTTTATGTAAGACAAAGACACAAGACCACTTCACACGGTCAAAAAACTGTTCGGCTTCCCAGGTGTGCGCACCTGTCCTAATCAACCCACCCATTAAATAGACAGGCACAATAGCACCATCTGCTGGCACAAAAAATACATAACAATAAACTGCAAAACCCCAATCTGGCTCCTACAAAGTGTATGTGACAAGATGATTAACGTTTGCTTTTGTTAAATCAGGGCTTCCCCAGCCAGGACTTCGGCTCAGACTGTGGCATATTCATGTTGATGGTAGGTCATAACGAGCTGTAATGCACAAATATTGTATCTAGAATAACTTTTCAACATGGACTTTTTTAAAGTTATCTCACATGTTGTCTCATAATTTTTTTTTTTAAAGTCTGCCATGTACATCGTTATGGAGTCACAGTTTGACTACTCAGTTGTAAGTACTTTTCAACACGCAGTGTCATCCTCAAGATTGTATTTTGTATTGTGCACTAAAATGAAATACAAACAACAATTTCAGCATGACATGCCTGTTTTGCGGCGATGGTGGTGCCTGTTGCTCCTGGAGAACAATTCTTTGAACAGGTAGACAGTTTAAGTAAACTAGATGTCCTAATTAACTGGAAGACAATCAATATATTGTACTTAAAGATATATTGTCATTACAGTTGTGGGAAAATCTTCGCCCACTGGACCAAAGAATGTCAAGAGCTCATTGCTGGAAAACATACTCCGGTCTTCAGTCTAAAGAGGAAGGCAGAGCAGCAGGACATAGAGGTTAGAAAATTGCCTTCTAAAAACAGTATTATCTCAGTGGGAGTCCTTCAAAATGCACACAGTTGTATGGATCAACATTGTCTCGATGTATTTGGTAATTGATGTTACTTTTCAAATTGCCTTGTTAAGGAAACCATGACGCAGACGGCATCGGATGTCCAAAGAATGTGCATGGCAGATTCAATGCAATTCTGTGTCTACCAGACATCGAACAACACAGGAGAGAGGTGTGTTGCAGACTCAATTTAATAAATGCAATTATCGGGGCCTATTCAGTGATTTTCCATGAAGTGACCACTTTTACATATAGTTTAAATGCACAAATCATGCGGGAAAATTATTTATACATTCAAATGTGCTGCAGAGGTATAATCAATTGGACAGCGTGTTTGTTTAATATTATGTTTGTCTCTCATTTGATCAGATTGCTTTACCCTGAGGTAAACTTCATGAAATGGGTCCAGTGCAAGACGTGCAGGGGCTGGCTGCATCAGGATTGTGCTGGGATTGAAATGGAGCCGTTTGACTGCGGGTGCGAGGACTCCATTGAGCATCCTCGGTATAACATAATTTATCAAGGAAACATAGTATCAGTCAAAAATACAAGGCTCAAAGGATGAAAAAATGAGGGCTTGCTCTTTTTCTTATTTCTCTGCAGGATCAAGGATGCTGTTGACAGTGGAGGAATTCATGCTGTCTTTTCTAAAACACAGATCAAGGTTGCTTTTGAATGCACTATCAGTTGTTAAAGCCACCGTTTCTTTTTCAGATGATTACATTTTTGTCTCTTGCTCTTTGGTTTCAGACATTACATGATGATCTACTCTCTGGAAAGATCCGCTCCAACAGAATGTTCCTTTGGAGGAATCCCGCCACCTCACTCCGACTAAAGCAGCATCTTAAGATAAGGACACTAAGTTGGAGTGAGCAGCGCGTAAGTAAAAATGCCATCCATCATGAGTATTTTTACTCTCAGGGGTGTTACATTTGAAAGGTGTTTACTTTCTGTGTTTTTCTTCAATAGATGTTCGAGCTCCTGCGGTTCATTGAGGAGGCAACAACCATTTCTGAAAAAATCAAGAGAGGCGAGATTCATCTGCTTGATTTTGTTTTTGATGTCATGCTCCCAGAGGTGAGTAGATCAAACTATATAGCTTGCTTTGAAAATTGATGATATTGTTAAGAGGTTGTTCTTATTCATTTGGAAAGCTCAAGAACAACAATTAACACATACTGCATAACTTCAATTGTTCACATTATTTGACTGTTTTTCAGCTTTTGATCAAAGCACTTCAGGAGCATGGCATCACCCGGTTCAGAGCGGAGCAGATGATGGCCTGTGGCAACATATTTTAAGCCCCCCACCACACCGACGGCAACGCTCTAAATTATGTATATACGATTATATATTTTTTTACTGTTCACAATGTATTTTTTGGAAAACATTAAAGAAATCTTTGAAGCAGTTGTATGACAATTTCCCATTTCTTTACACAGTCTGTAATGATATCGCTATTCAATTGTTTTTGCTATATGGCTCTTCTGAACCTTAAAGAGATCATGTGACTTGTGTCTCTACAACTATTGTATTCTTGGATTTTGCACAGTCAAGCAATCCTGAAGAGGTTCACCAGGAAGCACACCATTTCATAAATCATGTCCCTGGTTACACAATGTTACTAAAGGATGGGGGGGAAAATATGTGCAGCAACATAAGCACTCTCATAAAACATAATTATGAACAACAGAAAATATGTGAGGGTCAGGGCAACATTGTTGACATTAAACGAGGTCCTAATAGGAGTGGAGAAACAAGGTCACAGAGAAGTTAAGAAACATTCATGTGCTGTGTAATAAAGCTATTGGAGAGAGAAGTTAGAAAACACTCTTATATGATGTGTAACGAGAGGTTAAAACAGTCCATACTTGTAGCAAACTCTTACAAAAGAATTTGAGTAAGATGATAACCTCTACATACATTTACCTATTCTGACAAATTATCAGAATATGAGGACATCAGTCTATATATACATATTACTGTAAACTTCAGAATTAAATCAGAACAAAACAGTAGTCATAATTAATACATAAACGTTTTATTTTGATTTTTAGCTCAATAATAAATTTAATTCGATTCTTATGGAATGAACGGTGCAAAAAAAAAGGTTATCAAATAATGGATTAAATTGCAACATCTAAATTCTGTCTAAAAAAATCTAGACATCTAAAAGCCATCGATTGCTCAATGGAAACCCTGAACTCATCAAAATTGGCCTCCGTTCTGTAATGCCACATTTGAGCTATAGGTAGTCTTTTACTCTTGAAACAATAACAATTAAACAATTAAATTATTTTGTCGTCAATTGAATAACAACAAAATAATACTAACTTTAAAAAAGGGAATGACTTCTGACTGTAATAATAATCTCACTGGAACTTGTTGAGAACAAGGAAAAAAAGCAGCTAAAACACCAAACAAAAACGTTCAGATATAGGGGCACAAATGATCGATTTTCCCGATTTTTTCAGACTGTACATCTTTTTTGAAATTTATAGCAGTTGTTTTATTAGACGAATGAAATCCACAATGTTCATATCGAAGTAGTGGGCTACCGTGCAATTCATTTGATCGTTCGTATAGTTCTTTACATCCCTCCCAAATGTCTAAAGTTATGGTTTTTATTTATTATCGCCTGTTATTTTTGTGTGTGAAGCGACCTCTCTTCATTAACCACGTGTTGCATTATCACGTGTTTCATTATCACGTGGTCAACCCGGAAGTGTGTAATGTGTACTCGTGGGTTGGCTTCATCGTAGCTGAGTAGTCGCAGCACCTTTTTTGATAAACAAACTGTAAAAGCGTGTTTCTTTCTGGCTGCAGTCATGGCCCAGGATGTGTGCTTCTTGAAAGCACAACTTAAGGAGAAAGAGAAGGAGATTTCTGCCCTGAAGAATAAACTAGCACAACTGGAAAAGGTACAAAAGATCTAGAAAATGAATTTGAGATAGAGTTCGTTACACGTAAAATCCTTTTGTTTTCTCTATTTTGGAGGCTTGCTCAGAAATTAGTTCTGTTACAATGTCTTTACTTTTATCCTGTATCTAGAATGTATAATCCCAGCTTTTTGTGGTCCAAATGTAGCATCGGTGTAAATGTCACATAAGGTTAGCAAACGTAATCTGCAGTGTAAAATGAAAGTACGTTTATCATCTTATTAAGTTCTCAAAATGATCTCGGACTTCTTGAAAAGCTTTCTTGTTTTTTTAGGCTGTAGTGAGCAGCCTTAATGTCCCCTGTAATATGATGCACGGTTGAGGCAATTGAACATTCTCAAAACACAGAACTCATGTTAGTACGACCTTAACACTGCATTAAAAGAACAGCATCTGAAATGCATTCATACGTTCCCCCAAATTTTTACATTTAATATTAGAGTATATTCATTCACATTTAAATGCTCCAAGCCATAATGAAGACACACAGTATAGAAGATCCACTTCTTATAAATAGCTTTACACAAGTAGACCCCTTTTTTTTTCAAACAAATGTGTTACAGGTGCACAACAGGTTCGGATCCAGGCCCTACTCTTTTTAATCTTCATATGTTGCCTTTTTAATCTTTATATGTTTCCTTAAGGGAATGTCATCAGGAGGCACGGCATCAATTTCCACAGCTATGCTGACGACACACTTTATGTCGCCGTGTCTCCTGATGACACAGGGCCACTCAATGGCCTTTTTAACTGCATTTTAGACATTAAATAATGGATGGCAGAGAACTTTTTACGGCTCAACAAGGACAAAACTCAGGTTTTAGTCATTGGGACAGGGGACAAAAGAGAGAGAGGAACTGGTCAGCAAACTCAAAGCTTTATCCTATAATCCAAGTCAACAAGCTAAAAATTTAGGTGTATTATTTGATTCAGAACTGAGCTTTGAGCCTCAAATATGAGATACCACCAAGAAGGCATTTTATCATTTAAAAAACATAGCCCGAGTGCGACCAGTTCTCTCTCAAGCCAATGCAGAGACATTAATTCATGATATTATTACTTGTAGAATAGATTATTGTAATGCCCTCCTTTCTGGTCTCCCCAAAAAGAACATTTCACACCTGCAATTACTCCAAATTCAGCTGCACGGATGTTAACAAGGACCAGAAAAAGAGAGATCACATTACACCAATTTTAAGGTCTCTGCATTGGCTACCCGTTTCTTTTAGAACAGATTTTAAGGTTGCTTTATTGGTTTTTAAAGCTCTTAGTGGCTTTGGCCATTCTTATCTATCTGATCAGCTTTTACCTTATGAGCCAGATCAAGCCCTCAGGTCTTCAGGAAGTTCTCTGTTAACATTACTCAAAGTTAAAATCAAGATATACGATGGGACATCTTTTTATCACTATGCCCCCGTCTATAGAACAGCTTACCTGACGACCTGAGGACTGTGCCTAATCTTAATGATTTTAAAAGCAAACTGAAAATGTACCTTTTTAGTCTTGCTTTTAAACTAAATTTTATATCATTAACTCTGTTTAAGTGTTTTAGCATTTATCTCTTTCGAATTTTAATGACAGGATCGTCTTTTATTGAGCTATTTTTGAGCTCTTATTTTAGTATCTTTTACTTTTGTTTATTATTTCTTAAATTTCATTTTATGTTACTTTGTTTTTAGATTTTAACATAAAACTCCAGTGTTTCCTTATATTGAGTTATAAAATGGCGTTTCCTCAGTACGCACATTCCTGTTTCCACAAAATCAAGCCCTTTTTAAGTTTATGCATTTTTATACTGTTTCTGATTCATTTAGATCGTGGGGTGGGAATGAGGGGTTGGGTAGATTTGGGTATTCTTTGTTTCTTTTTTTTTTCCTTTTTCTGCGTGAATCACGTTGTGCTACATGGTTGTGTATGAAAAGTGCTATGTAAATAAAGACTGACTGATTGATTTATTGATAAGCAAAGATAAATAGCTTTAAACATTATTGAATGGGATAGTTGAAGGTTGTAATACCATGCTTCATGTATCACTTAGGTTTCTTTCAATCTTGTGCATTAAATCTCTCTAATGTGACAACCAGACCCATACCTCAGTATTGGAGCTTCAGGACAGAGTGACACCCCTGACACCACTGACAGCCAAAGCAGCCCTCAGCAACGAGGACATCATGCGGTACAGCAGGCAGCTCCTCCTGCCAGAGCTGGGTGTACAAGGTATGGCGAGTCTGATAAACAAATCAAGAGGCTTTAATCAAACAAGATTCATGGCTTTGTTGAACTACAGCAGAATGTATGTGGATGTCCACAGGCCAGCTAAACTTATCCAAGACCTCGGTTCTGGTTGTGGGCTGTGGAGGACTGGGCTGCCCCTTGGCACAGTATCTTGCTGCAGCAGGAATTGGCAAGTAATGTTCTTAAAAATGCTAATCATTTTCTTGTGTTGCAAAAAAATCAAAACATTAACCCTGTGGTCTGCTTTTGTATATAAAAAAATACAGTGAGTTAATATTTCTTAATATTGTGAAAAGAGTTTGCATGATTATTAATTTGAAATTCTCCTAGACATACATAACATTACAGTTCTTTAGCACTGTTTTATCAATTAAGTGTGATTTAAGCCTGACAAAGAGCACAGAGTTTATCCACACCCTCTATCAGATAAGCTACTTATCACATATCTATAGTTTCCTTAAAAAGTCAAACTGATGCCTTTTGGGTAAAATGAAGCTTAAACTACACTTAGACTAAGACAGCTTACCAGCTGAAACATACAAACTATAAATGTATACACTGCTTATAAGGCTTAATTATCAGTTGTTTGATGTCATCGTTAGGTTTTGACATTTACTTGTGAGCCTTTCGAACTTACTGGTCTATCTTTATGTCCTTGTAGGACGCGTGGGGCTTCTGGACTATGACGAGGTGGAGCTCAGTAACCTGCACAGACAGGTGCTTCATGGAGAGGAAAACGTTGGTCAGGCCAAGGCTCTTTCTGCTGCACATGCAGTTAAAAGGTATTGATTGATGTTGACCTAAACACGTGGGTCCAAAAATTCCCCAGTGTGATATAACGAGGTCAAAAGCGCAATTGTAACAGTAAACCCCAGTAGGGTAACAGTAAATACGAGTATTCAAGGCATTTTCCTCCGCATAAATAGACCTGGAGCGCAGTAGTTAGTATCCTGATATGATTAGTAAATGTTCTGTAACTATGATAATTGGGGTATTTCTGTGTGTTTTGGACCTTTCATTTGCTGTGAAATGTATGCTGGCGCTCTCCAGTCTCACCGCAGGATATATTTGGTTGTGTATATTACCCCCTTCTGCAAATATTATGTAAACATGTTATTTTAGAGGCAGCTGGTTTTTTTGTGCTTTTCCCCTTACTGTGGGCCTACTGTAGTCAATGCAAGTATTGATCAACAATGACCACATGAGGGCGCTATTTTTCTGACTAACAAATAACTTCAGTGTTACACACACACAACCCTGCTAGCAAAATTTGGTCATTAGTGCTTCTTTACTGCATGCATGATACCATTTGATATACAGGAGTCCTGTGAAAAATGACGTCTTTTAAGATAATTATACTTTAATAATACACAACTTTAGTGGATGCAGCTTGGTCTTGAGATGCAGAAACTGAGAACTGTAGTTACTTTTAAGAAAATCAGGCGTTTTTATGAAGTAGAGGGACCTCAGTTTGGAGATCAACCTTGTCCAAGGATCATTACCTGTGTATGAAGAGACACTTCTAGACTCTTGGGCTCTAAGATGATGTAGTTTTGAAGTCTGTGATTTTTTTACTGTATTATCCAACTGTCATCTACAGTAGAAATGGTTACTGGTGATGCCTATTTGTTGAAATTGTAGTCAAATGTATGACTATTTCTTTCTCCAGGTTGAACGCAGCAGTGGAGTGTATTCCCTACCACCTACAACTCTCTCCAGAGAACGCGTTGCAGCTCATTCAACAGTATCCTTTTGCAAACTACTCAAGCTACAGCTGTTACAAAGAGCTGACACAAGCGTTAATGTTTCAGCTAAAAGTCACATTCATGCTCATATGGCACTCCTATAGTGGAGACACCTTGACTTAGCTGACCTCATATATGACATTGTTGCTGATTGCTCAGACAATGTACCCACACGTTATCTGGTGAACGATGCCTGCGTGCTCAGTGGCAAACCTCTGGTGTCAGCAAGTGCCCTGAGAATGGAGGGGCAGGTAAAGTAGAGAGACCTCATTCTGTTTTATGTAATGTACCTCACCTTTACCTTGTAAAAGCTCTCTTCTTTGTGTATTTTTGTAGCTAACAGTATATAACTACTGTGGTGGTCCCTGCTATAGATGTCTGTATCCAGTACCCCCACCCCCAGAGACAGTTACCAACTGTTCTGATGGAGGCGTGCTAGGAGTGGGTGAGTCTTGTTTTCTTGTCTGTCCAGAAAGTTTTGACATTTGAATAGAAAAGTCTGTTTTTTTAAAGATAGTCTAAAAATTTGTGCCACTACTTTTAGTTCCAGGTGTTATGGGCTGCTTCCAAGCATTGGAGGTCCTCAAGATCGCTTCTGGACGAGGGTGTATCCTTTGTTTTTTTTAAATCTTGACTCCTATTTCACAAACAGTTCTTCCTTTGGTTATTTTGTTGTAGGAATTCAGGAATTTCTGCCAGGTCATCTGAATGAATCAACACAGAGCTGCTGAAAAGACTATCAAAGTAGCAATGTTAGGGATGGTAAGGGTGGTTTTGTTGACTAATACCATACGGCAAAAAAAAAAAAACCAAAAAGGCTACATTTTCTGGTCTCTGCTGACTCTGCATTTCCTTCCTATGAGAACCGAAATAAAGCTCCTCTGATAACAGTGTTTTCATGCTGATATCTAGACCCAGTTGATAGAGCAGATCTGCCTTATCCTGTCTTCTGTTTTACATTGTAATGGAGGTGTTAACACCTGGTTTGAATGTATCATACACGGAAGTGTTGTGTTGTTTTCCAACAAAAATGCCTGACTGATGTAAAACACACACAAAAGGGAGATGTGCCAGCGTATTCTCTTATTCAAGCACTATGGTTTTACTTTTCACAAAGCAGTCTTTTTCCTTTCCCTAACCCTACTGTGTCAGCTTCCTGCAGCCAACAGCTGATGATATTTGACGCTCAAGATGCCAGATTCAGGTCCATTAAGTTGCGCCCTAAAAAAGCTGGCTGTGCTGTGTGTGGAGAGAACCCCAGTGTGACCCAGCTGGAGGACTATGAGGCTTTCTGTGGGTCTGCTGCCACAGATAAGGTTGAATGAACAAGACTGATCTTACCTTATATCATGATTAAAGGAATGTTAAAGATGTTTGAAGTGAGGAGAGCAGTTTCTTATATCAGCTGAATTTCCTATTTTGCCAAAACGATAAAAGAAAACTCTGGTTGCCTGATTTTTCCTGTGTTTCAGTGCCGCAAACTTAACCTCCTCTCCAGAGATCAGAGGATTTCTGTACAGGTATGTAGAACATAAACTCCTACTATTGGCCCTTGCGTGACTTCCTGTATTTAGTACTGATTATTGTATGATTAGTCACAATTTTCCTTCTTTTTTTTCCTTGTGCATTTATAAACTGATTACATCTCAGCACTGACCCAGCCCAAATGGGAAATGAGTTGAAATGCGCCTGCAGTTTTCTATGGGAAAGAATAATATGTCCTATTTGGCACTGTGAGCAGTTGCAGTGGATTGCATCTGTTTATGTTTCTGCAGAATTGGTGCTTTCAAACCCGCTGAGTCATTAAGTACAGAGATGGGGATCATGATTGATTGGGTAGTAAGAGAGATTGTGCAAGGGGCTCCAGTTTGAAGCAGTTTTGTTTCCTGTGATTTAAGGAAAAGTACTTAAATGTTCATATTACCCCCCAACTACAAATAAAGGCAACATTTCAACATCATCCTGAGGGTCATTTTGGTTTCCCCTCTTCTCTGGAAATACAGTAAATTAATTCATATACTCTCCAACAGTGAAGACACACCTCTGTAATGATGAAATGATATGATTTTGTGTATTCAAGATTGTTACAATGTAATTACAGGATTATAAATTCATAACGGTCAACCAAGAGCCTCATCTCTTGTTGGATGTGCGCCCCCCTGTGGAGGTGGATATATGCCACTTACCTTTTTCCCTGAGTATCCTTTCAGTGATGGAGGCACCGCATCAGTCTCATTTTGTCATCATATGGCTCTGTCTGTCTAATGTGATGTTGCTTTCCATTTCATTATTATTGTTATACTTCTTATATGATTACCAGATATTCCCCTCTCAAGTTTAGAGGAGAAGAAGAGCGAACATATCCAGTTACTCCAAGAGAGAATCAGGGAATTGAAACAGCAGATGGCAGGTGACTGCTGGCCTCCAGGTAACATGTCAAAACACCATACAGGGTCCGTTTGAAATGACCAGGCACATAGAGCCACTCTTGAATATTCGCAGTCCACTGTGTACACTCATACTGCTGGACCGGGGGTTTGTTTTGGACAGCAAGTAGCACGCTGCAATGGTGTTGCTAAGTAACCCCTTTTCCAAAACAAGCCTGGTCGACCTGAGCAGCTGGGCTGGTTCAGAGAAATGAATATTCAAACTTTTATTTTGGTGATGTCCTGGATATTTATTGTGTTGTGTTCCTTTGTCTCTGAACTAAATTTAGCCTGTTGGAGCTTAAGTGCAGCATTTCATAAAGTCTTGGTTGTTTATTTTAGTTGATTGTTATCTCTTTTGAGAATCTTCGCATGATTCTACACAAATAATGTTCCTCTCTTAGGTAATCAATATTTAGTGTCATGAAGATAAGAAGTAGTTTAAATCTGATGCAGCTGTATTCATACTGATCACATGGTGCTATCGATCTTAAAGTTATGCCTCTGCTGTTTCTCTTTCAGTGTATGTGATCTGTAAGCTGGGTAATGACTCGCAGAAAGCAGTTCAAGTTTTGGAGAAGATGAGTGGATCAGACCTGGATAGTATCACAGTAAAAGACATCAGCGGGGGTCTCATGGCATGGGCAGTGAAAATAGACCCCACATTTCCTCAGTATTAATCATATTAAATGAGTTCTTCACATAATCTGTCAATGTTGTTTGTCATCTTCTTGGATTTATACTTACTGGTGTACATAATGAGGTGAACTGGTATAAACATTTGGACAGAATTGCAATAAAATGCCAGAGTGTGACAATAGACCAGTTCCTAAAATTCTGTTGTGTAATATTATGTGTGTCAGCTCATCAAGAACATCCAGTGGCGGTTAGATAACACACAAGCAGCCTGGCAAGATCACATTCCTCTTCCTGTTTTTTTTTTCTTCTTTCATTCCAAGAGATCCAGTAAACTGAAATTGATTCTGACATGACTGATTAAATTAACCCACAGCAATCATGTCAGAATCAGAATACTTTGTCAAAGTCTGAAGCACACGCATTGGCCATTAAGAGCCTTAGAATCTCAAATAAACTGTTTGAATAAAGACACTGCACAGGAGGGATTTGGAGTTGTGGCCAGAAATCGGTCAATTTTGTTGCTTTTGGAGCAGTGGAATAAATCCTTTCTTCATTCTGCTTAGAGGGTTACATGTAGGAATCCCTTCAATGGACCCCAGAGCTCTGGGAACACCAGTGCAATTCAAACCTATCCGGGTCGTGTTGTATAAAGTTTTTTTTTTTTCTTGGCACGACAAAGTTGAAATAACGGAAAAGAAAGGCACATGCGCATTGGTTTGAGCTCCAGCGGAGGCGCCATTGTTTTAGAGGGACTGTAGTTCAAGTTGTGCTCTCCTCACATGGAAACTCAGTTATGCGTAGATTGTAAAAAGACTCCAAGCCCCAGCGACGGTCGCTGCTCTTTTTCTCGTCGAGCAGGGGGAGTAGTCACAGCTGGAAGGATAATAAGATGCGCATGAATTTACAATCTGGAATATAAAATAAGAGAGAATAAATGGACCTCTTAGCAAGTTCGTGTGCGTCTGTGCGTAAAAGTTAAGTTACTTGTTGGATACGGGTTACGACGAGACGCTTTCGTGTGTGCTTTCATTTAAGTGCAGGATAACAAACTTCAGACTCCGCTGTCCTCAGTTGATGGAGTTACAAAGTTTCTTCAGTCCACTCACAATGGAAAGAAAAGCACCCTTCGATGACTGCAAAGGTAAAGTATCGTATCTCAAGTGTTTCAGGCGATGTTTTGTCGCCTACATTTTGTAAAGTTACATCCGAACAACAGCAAAGTTTCCTTTGAATGTGTATATTCGACTATTGTATAACTTGTTTTGCTGGCATTCAGTACTCGGGTTGTGTTCTGCCAGCAAGCCAATCGAAAGTGGGAGGGGTGCAGATGTTCAACAGCCTTGATTCCAGATGTTTAGTGGAGGTTGAAGTCTTGTAAACAGAAATGATATGCTTGATCAACCCTTACGCGTCTTTAAGTCATCACGTTTGCATTTTACGCACGTCCATAGTCCGGAGTTGTTTAAGTGATGTTTATCAAAAAGGCAAACTATTGTCCAAGCCAAGTAAAAAAACTTCCTGTAAGTTGTTGCTACTGTAGGTGCAATAGCTGCAATAAGGCTACACGAGTTTGCTAAGTCTAGCAATGGGGACTACTTAGAAACATCAAAGCAAGGCAGTACACGTCTTGTAGGTAAATAGAGTTTTCCTCCCCAACATAGGTTCATATTGATAAAGTCTTGATCTCAAGACAGATGTATCTCTTTCTGGAATTCGTTGGTGATAACATTTTGAGTGTATTATTTGCTGAGGAAGTTTGCCCAAAAGATAGCCTATTTGTTAATGTAACAGATGTACCAAATGTACCAACTTGGAAGAGAAGTAGTCATGTCATTCATTGGTAGGGGAGAGTGGGGTAAGTTGAACCAAAGGGGAAGTTGAGCCACCCCCTGTTGCTTTGAAATGGTAAAAGAAATTGATCATGTGACCAAATATTAAGGAGATGGGCATCAATTCATAGAGTCTGTGAAGGTAAGAAGCACACGGGTGAAGGGGTTAGACTTTTATTTACAAAAGAAAAACATTTTTCACTCTTGAAAGTGAATTTAGTCTGTCATAAGTTTAATTGGAATTGTGTTCAGACCAAAAAAAGATAATTTAAATTAGTTTTATACATCAATTGTGGTATCTATGAGCCACAACATGAGGTCAAAAACCTAGCATAAAAGTCCACCATTTTAGCTTAGAGGACTAATAAAGTCATCATAGTAGTTCAGGGGTAAGTTGAACCAGTGGTTTAACTGAGAAAGTAAAGGAGTCTGATGAGAGGATCAGAGTTTCAGCTCAGATTGTTAAAATGTGTTACTTTTTCTTTTCAAAAATACAGCTGTGAATGTTCTGAATCACTTAAAGACATTCTCATGTTAAAATGACTTTTTACAAAACAGCTTTTTAGCAGTTAAATGCATTAATAATAAAAAGAATTATTGTACCTGTTGAATAGTGTATAATAGATCAAAAATACACACGAATGTGAAGAAGTGACTGTAATTTAGGGAAAGAGAAGGTGAGGGAGGGCTGGGGTGGAGAGTGGGGGGCAGTAGGGATACAGCTCAACTTATCTCACTCCTATGGTCAACTTACCCCATACATGGGGTAAGTTGATCATAAGAGACCACTTTTTTTGGCATGCTATATTATCAAGACAGTTTTGTTTACACTCATTCTGTTGGTTTGCAGGGATGCACGACATCTTGAAATATATGCAGATACACTAGTTAGAGACAAAACTATGATTGTCTTGTAGTGATCCAAAATATGAAAAATGGCTCATCTTACCCCACTCTCCCCTATGTGATAATGTCCACCAAGTTTGCAAAGATGAATTCAACTACTCTTTTGTAGTAATAAAGCCCCGTGTGTTTTTCTTTCTGTGTTTGTGGTGACAGGTTTCCTGTGGTCGGAGTGGATTACTGACCCCAGAAAAGAGAAGGAGTACCACCCCAGGATATGAAGTTCATTGCAGTGATTTTACTGCAGAAGTCTGCAGATTGTTTTAGGATTGTTTTATCCATCATTTTATCCAGGTGGGCAGATCAGCTATTAACCTCCTAATTTATTAAAACCAGTTCTGATGTGTTAAAAGCACAGCTCTGACTCACCAAAACTGATGTGGACCAAATATCTGCCCATAACGGAGTCTACCCACGCCGTGCATTTTTCGGCAAACCTTAACTAAAACTTCCCTATTCAACATTTCTCGTTGCCATTGGAAGAAACCCAATGTCTGCCTCCTCTCCCCCATCTTTCCCTCGAGCCTTCCTCCACTCTCTCCATCCGCATCACCCATTCTCACCGACTGCCCCGTCCCCATCGCCAAGCCCACCTGGACCACTGTACACACGGCTGTCCAACGGCAGTCATAGTGTCCCAAGCCCCACAAACTCCCGCAGCTCTTTCCATGGGGTTTCCTTCCTGCTGCAAATTGGACTGACCAGAGAAACGGTGAACCTGGAAGCCAGCGACCTGTCACTGTCCTCAGTAAAGGACCTGGTGTGCTCCATAGTGGACCAGAAGGTAAGAGTTTGTCTTGTGGCACCTCTTGTGATTTATATACTGTTTTCTGTTTGAAAGGACAACTTATAATTTTTGGGTGTCCCCTGAAGAGAATATGTATTTTTTTTTCAGTAAACTACATAAAGCCACCGTAATTAGATTGTCTTTAAGCTGCAGTAGTCACACCGAATACGGCAGAGGGCTAACATGATGCACCAACATGTGTTTTGCCATCTTCTGCCTTATTCATCTGTTCTGGTTTTGTTTTCAAAAGCAGACATCTGGGCCTCGTGCCCTAAAATGAGTCAAACACCACAAAAGCATGCACACAACAGCACTGATGCTTTTCTAGTTACAGGGCATTGTCTGGTAGTGGCAGTTATTTAAACTGTGGCACAATATTGCTGGACAAAGGCAGTGCATGTGCATATATACATCCTCATGAACATACCAAGAACTCCCTGGTGGGTTCCCTCCGCCTGTGTGATGATTGAACCTTCTTTACTTTCCATGACATTGTTAATGTGTTGTAATGACACGGGAGTGTGGCCTCAGCTGGAGACGTGGCGCTAAGCTCAAGTTCAAGCTGCATAAATCCCTGTTTTGTTCAAATATTCTCATAAACTTCAAATTTTCTGTTCTCCTTTACTTGTGCTAAAGAGGTTTGACAATCCTGATCATTGTGTTTGCCTGCCATTGTGCAAGTGTAATTGTTTTTAACATGCAAAGTTAAGACATTTAAAATTCCCTGTATCTGATGAGGAAGCATATAATAATAATAATAACAATAATATTAATTATAGATTTTATTTGTAACGCACTTTACATTTGAAAACAAATCTCAAAGTGCACAAGGATAACAAAAAAAAGGCAACAATAACAACAAAATCAAGCAACAGAACAAAACAATAAAAGCAGTCAGCAGATAAAATCAGTCCGGATAGGCTTTCAGAAAAAGGAAGGTTTTGAGCCCTTTTTTAAAAGCATCCACCGACTGTGGAGCCCTGAGGTGGTCGGGGAGGGCGTTTCACAGACAGGGAGCAGCAGCCTCGAAGGCCCTGTTGCCCATGGTCTTGAGCCGAGTCCTGGGCGGGCGCAGACGGTGCAGTTGGCCTGACCGGGTTCTGGCCAACTGATGTGGACCAAATATCTGCCTATGGTAATTCATAGGGCAACAAACAACAACAAGCTTTGTAAAGTTACATTATTACAGCTGTAGTGATTTTTTTGGACAACAAAACTGTTCATTTCAAAAGGAAGAGCACAGATAAGCAGTAGTAGAAGGTAACAATGTAAATGTACTTAAGTAGTGTACTTAATTTTACTTTTTGATCTGTATCTGTACTTTACTTGAGTATTATTTTTGGAGACATTTTATAACTGAAATCTTCTGATACTTAAAAGACTTTAACCACACTACATTTCTATGTATGTTCTCATTACTTTTGCTCTGGAGTCAGCAGATGAATTTCTTCTATTTTCTAAAGTGTTGCCAGAAAGATAATCAAGTGGTTGGACATTAAACAAATGTAGGGCAAATATCACTCAGATAAGTTCATTTATTGGTGGTAATGATGGCTGCTGCAGACATAATGATTCTCCAGTTAAACACCCATGGCCCCTTTTTGGATATGAAAAGTGATGTGTGTGTTAATTCTTATTTATGCCTCGAAAGTCCTTGTGGTTTCCCTCATTTACAATGTTGTGAAATACAGAATTCCCATTAAACAGACAAAAAAGGAATATTTTTGCCACACCCAAACTTAATCATAAATTTGTAGTCCAGCTCTGGAAAAGCATGTTGAGATGTGTAGCTAAACATTTGTTTAATTCCAGATGAAACTTTTATACAAAGTTGTCTTTGCTTGGTTGGCTTCTTCTTTTATTATTTATCCCTTTATTTTGGAGCTGCAAATCTGCAGCAGTCTGTTCGAAAAAGTGCAAACACTTTTTTTCCAACAGTATTTTGAGATTTGTTTTGAAAATGTCTTATTCAAATCTTGAGCCTAAGACTAAAGCAAGTACTCCAGTACTTCAACTCAAGATGGAATTTATCTGAGCAACTTCCACTTTCAATGGCGTTATATTTGACCAGGAGTATCTATACAGTGGTTCCAGTAATGAAGTTGTGTCCACCACTGCAAATACGTGATGCAAATTAAAAAAGAGAAAGAGGGTATCTACTGTGATTTACTGTAAATACCAAAAAGACACATTTGTCAACATATGTAGGTGCTTACTCAGATATTATCTGCTTTGGGCTCATGGATGTGTCCCTCATGGATGTGTGGGATTAATGGTGTGCAAAGCCCACCAGACTAATGAAATGGCTCCTTTGTGCATCCACACATTGCTGTTTTTTTTAGCCTCCTGTGTGTAATGATGATTGCTCCATTTGTGTTTGTAATTATCATCTACTAAATCAAAAGGAGGATGATTACAGAAAACACTTTCATCAGCCACCAGGATCTGAACATTTAGGTCAGACTGAGCTATTTTTATATTGGAGATGCAGTTAATGGAAATAAGAAAAAAATAAATGGGGAACAAAGAAGAAGAAGATAGTGAAGCTATTTGTATTGCGTCTGTACTGTGTCCTTTGGTTCCATGCTGTCCAAGTTGACATTCCAGAGGAGCAGGGTAATGTTGTTGTTCTTTACGAGGTCTGTTGATTCTCTCTAGCTAGTTATGAACAGTTCTGGTCCGCAGAGCAGAAAATCTCATCACTGCGCATATTTACATGGGTCCTGTAACATATTGGCATGGCTGCAAGAATCTGTAACAGGAAAAGGGTGGGAATTACAAATCCTTGTTTACAGTCCTTACAGAAAATCAGTGCAGTATTTTCATTGAGTGAGTGGGTGCTGATTATTCACTAAGGGGAGATCAGGATCAGCTTTTCCTATGAACTATTTTATCACTTTATGTCACTTTCAAACTGCATAAGCTGCTGAAAGATAAAACAGGAAACTATCTGATTTATGGACAAATGTCATGGGAAGGCTGTGTATATAGCAAACTTCTGAAAATATTATACATTCTTTGCATCATGATATTCTGAACACAATCAGCATATAACATATCCAGCCTAGTCATCCACGCTATTGTGTACTTTGTCCATTAGACACTGCCAAAAAGTGACTGCCTCAAGTATTTCGTGAAAACCAGCCATATGGCTTTAATATCAATGGAAAATATGACTGTGGGCCTTCTGCACTCTCCAGGCCATCCCTGCCTCATTTCTTGCTCTAAAATATGCATGACAATGGTAAGCCTTTTACAAAGTCTGTTCATCCTGGCCAACTTTTCCAGCTGAGGATCTCTGACCCCGGCTTAGCTGTGGGGCCCTCAGGTGTCTGTCAGCAGAAGGAAGAGGGCTCTCGACTCCATGGAGTGGTATCTGCATGAAGATAGATTTTCGATAGGAGTGTAGTCCCCTCCTCATGCTGCTGTTTCCTCAACTGAGAGCTGGCCTGCTTTATAAGTGACTCACCACACAGCCATGCAACAAACAGGGATTCTTATCCCCACTCAAATCCATCCATTCATTGTCAAACTTTTCTGCTGTGTCAGCTGTTGTGAACTTTCACAGTGGGATTAAGTTTGTGTATAGACCATGATGTTAACCATATGGGCAATTTGGTAGCCTGTAGCCTTGTAGCTCAGCAATTTGTCCAACTCACTGCTGATTATGTGGGTCTGGGTCACTCTGTTGGCAGGGTGGGAACCCAGGTGCAGTTTTCTTACACATGCTGGAAGATGTAGCTCCCTCACTGTGTCCTTTCACTGCTCTGGATTATTTCATGTACAAGCAAACTACAACCCCTCTATGACATCATCAGACCGGTAAAGCTTATTGTACTGGTGAGTTCATGGGTTTATAAGAGATCTGCTTTAGAGAACTAAAGAAAAGATCTGGATTCATTCATAGTTGAATGTTAGGTGACGCCACCAAAGCATAGCTGTATAGACACATTGTGGCCCATGTTTTTCTTAGTAACAGTGTTAACAGGCTAGTGTGTTGAATACTCGATTCTGGTTGGTGGAAATCCAATAACACTGATGATTAATTCTCAACATTTAAATGAACAGCTTGAACCTACCTGTGTATACTTAGTGGCTATCAAAGAAACAGCAAAGAGAGGAAGAAAACAGTGCAGAAACGGCAATGGAGGTTACAAGACACGACATGAGACAAGACACTGAATGGAAGAGACATCTCCAGACAGATATGAAGCAAAACAAACAAACAAACAAAAAAAAGGACGGATTGAATGTAGAGATGTCACAATTTTGTCATCAGAATCTGAGGATATGAGTTTCTGTTGCTTAAGCTGTATGGATAAATAATTTTAAAGTAAATAAAATCAATTTTAAATCAGTAATGTGTGGCAACTTGTTGATGTCTAGTTCAAGGGTTGTGAGCAGAATGATGTATAAAGAGCAGGTGGTTGTGTGCATCAGAATACAGGATCATGATATTGATCATGAGCAACATACAGGGCGTTACATTGAGGAAATTGGATTAGTTTTTTCTCTCTTAGTTTTTCTTTGTGTAATAAAGACTACTACTTTACATTTGTTTTGCATCTATTGATACAGGATTAGCCACTGTTTTCAGGTTATGGATGAAAATGAAGAATCTCTGGACTCCTATTATCATTCACCTGCATTACGGCCAGCATTGGTCATATACATTTAAAAGGCTATGTCAAGTGCAAAAGAGGTGTAACACCTGTCGAGATTAATGCAGCACTTAGATGTCTTAGATGAGATGACTTCATAGTTAAACTATAGATGATGGTGATGCATGGCAGAGGAAGTTTTTGTTCTTTTATTGCCTACCAATGGCTTCACCACAGGAGTCTCAAATAGTGGCCCATTGGCTGAGTAATTACCCATACCATCGTCAGACCATAGTGCATGGGCTCTGAGATGGATCCCCAATTGCTATCATTGTGAATTGAACTTCCTTCATAGCCAATCACCATCAACAGTCTCAAACTGCCACAGGAAGACAAGAAACTCATGCTTGCTTACTTGACATGATACAAGCAGCATAGGTCTATAGATATGACATCTCAGCTGCACATGTGCAGTGTATCACTTTTAAGCTGCTTGTATTGGCAGTTTCATTTTCAAAGTTCGGGACCATGACCAAAAGTCAGTTTTCTGGTTTAGGGAATTTTTCACTTGTCGTCATGTCAGTTGCTTTTTTAGTTTCTTTTTTGTGCATGTAACTTTGTGGCTTTTTAAACTCTGGTGTGTTGGATCTTTACAAGACACCAAAATGACAGTCAGTTTCGAGTCCAGTTTTTTTTTGCTTAGTCTTGGCTCCTGAGGACACAAAGAAATCACTCCACATTAAATCCTGTTTGCCATATCAGATGCAGTTGAACAGCTGGGAAAAATTCTAGCTGCATACGCTACCATTCACTGTATATAATGTGTAATGGCTTCAAGGCTGACATTTCACATCATTGGTGAACCCTTTACTTTTCAATCCCCCTCATTGTTTGACAGGGAGTCGTGCACTCTGTTATAATAGCTGTGTATTGTATAGATTTCATATGGTCATTCCTCTTCCTGCTAAAGAGTCGACCACATGACTTGGCAAGCATCCAAAGTGTAGATCTGCTCACTGTGCTCTGATCTGAGGTTACTATTTGAGAATAGTGGTTTGGACCACTTTCACCAAGTTAAGTGGATAGGTTCAACTTTATTTCTGGGCAACCTGGTCTTGATTTGTTCAGTGTCAGCCCTGAGAGGAGTTATTGTGGTTACTGCTGCTGCAATCTACTTTCAAATATGTTTCAGTGTCTCTATTTGGCACAAGGATATCAACTCGAAGCCAGGCTCCTTGAGGACTGTGAGAAAGGATGAATGGAGCCAGCCAGTGGGTGGTGGAGACCCTCCCAGTCGGGTACCATCCAGCCAAGATCTAACCTATGATGGCCCTTGAACAGCCCCCCCAGTGGCTTTGTGTAACTCTGATTTGGGCCAGTCTTGTTTCGCTGGTCAGGTCTTGACTTTTCTGTCTGGTTTTGGAGGCTTGATGAATGGTGCTAGATAAACATCCATAGCTTCCACTTGTTGAGCACTTCCTGTTTGGTGTCGCCCAAGTCCTCTCGTGCAGCCAGCAAGGGAGCAGCGGCGGGACAAAAGTTCACGACTCCCAGAGAATGACTCCCAGTTAGCCAGCTGGTCAGCATGGATTGCCAGCCAGCCAGCGAGCCTGTTACAGAACATTCCTCTTCAGCCAGGCATTTTTGGAGGATGATGTGCTGTTGCTGGAGATGGGTGGGATTAGACTGCTAGGAAACTGAAATATTTCAAGCTAAACACTTGCTTTGGTTGTACTGAACATCTGACAGATTATGACAGATACTGTCATGAGAATGGTACAATAAAAACAGCTTCGATCTCAGGCTTTATAAGACCATTTTTAACTTACAACTAAGACATCTTCCACAAACCAAGAATGAACCATGTTATTTGGCATTATTTCAAGTTTTTCCTGCAATCAAAAGTGGTGCTAAGAGCTTCGCAGAAAGAAAACATTCAAAGAGCTTTGGGCATAGGTAATGGAAAAAACATTAAATCTCTGTTTTTATGAAAACTTACAGCATAGCATTTGTTTGTATGGTGTTGCTGCGTTTTCAATCCAGCTGGAAATGCTGTGAAAAGCAGCTGCCTCAGCCACAGGTCTCCCCACTGGTTTTGTCTGAGCTCTAACTCCCAGCTCTGGTTGAGATCTGTACAGCTGCCTCTGTAATTAGTGAGACAAAGGCTTTTGAGTCAGAAAGAGGCTACGTTAGGCTCCATACAGTAAAAGAAAAAAAAGCTGAATATGATAAAAACAAAAGGATTTGAGGTTTTGTTAATCTTTGGTTAATATCCGTCTGGTGATGCAAGGTAGCCTCGCACTTGGCAGAGGAAACAAAATCAGGTTAACATTCCTGCCTCGAGATTTATTACTCTGAGCTGCAAAAGCAGAGACACCTTTGTTAGTTTGCATTCACATATTCTCATGAGGATGTTGTATCAGCCTTCAGGTGCCATCAAGCAAAGGTTTATGTGTTTTATTCTTATCAAGATATTACGATTAGGCGTTAAGACTTTAATCCATGTATGACCGTCCTTAAGTCTGACTTAAAATGGGTTTGCTCTGAGAGAAAGTACCTTTAAAAGTGAGTAATGGAAAATAAAGTTATAAAGAGAAGAAACTAAAGCGTAAAAAGCAAGAAAGAGGAGTGCAGATGGAAAAAGTAGACTGCAGTTCACATGGACTAAAACTAACTGAAACTCACAGAGAAACATACGGGAAATAAATCACCGCCATCTCCCTCACTCCCTTCCTTCAACAGTATGAGCCCACATCTGCATGTTCCTATGGAGCTGGCAGACATATTTCACCCCAGAGGACTTCTCAACAGCACAGGACTTAATGTGTGATATCCATGAGGCCAGACATTTCCTGGAGAGCACATTCAGCTTCTTCTCAAAGAAAAACAGGTCACACTTGAGTCAGAATATTCTGTGTAAGTACGGGTTTTGACTGCACACTGTCATGGTTTTAGTCATTTTCCAAATTAGAAAGTCTTGATATTCATTTGTAGCCAGGCTGGTGTATTCCAAAACCATATAGTAGCCATATAGTCAAATGAACTCTTCCATACACAACTAAAAAGCCTACTAGCACAAGGAATCTATCAATTTCCCCAGTCTTGGAGTAATTTGTGGAAAAGGGAGAGAGAAGAAAAAGGGGGGAAAAAAATCTCTGATGTTAAGTGAGCTAAGTAATTTCTACCATCTGTAGTGCACATTTCTGCCGCCTTGCTCTCCTCTAAATGTAAAGTGGCAAGGCAGAACACAGGGCTCAGCCACAAAAGTGAGCCAATGACAGAGTGGAGAAGAGTGTGGTCCTCCCTGGGGAGGGGGGTAGGGGAGACTAGGATGGCTGTTTTGGCAGGCTTTGCATGGGGCACAGAGAAGGTTGTGGCCACTAATGTTAAAGCAGTGCCAGACCATCGACAGAAGGCCACTCCTGCCACTAAGTGTGCCTCTGCTTTGGGTCTATCCTGCAATTCTATGTTGCTTCAAACTGCCCTTCACCATACTTAACCTCCGCTGGTGATGGGAGATAATCTTGCATTACCCTGATCTCTGTTATTTCTGGCTGAATGGGCTTCGACTGTGATTATATTGAGGTGGTAGGCAGTGATAGTTATATGGAACCATTTCATCCTCAGGAATCCGGGTGTCTTTGTCCTCATGAAGCCAGCCACGTGTCGTGATTTATCAGTTACTTTCTGAGAGACTCTATTAGTTTTCATTCATTAATCTGTACCTGTAAAGTTCCCAAAAAGAGGACATGTCACTTCCTTTTTAATTTACTCATTAATGCTCCAGTTTCGCCTCTCCCTGGACTCGTGCACTTGCTGACAACCTCAGCACACTGACAGGACCTCAACCATGACAAAATGCTCAAGAGCAAGTTTGCGCTGACACTGACACTGCCCTTTTTTTTAGATGTTAACCTGTGTTTGTTTGACCTGGTTTATCTTTAACTTAAATTTCAGGGTTAGTCGAATGGATGTTATAATCATGACTTATGCCCAAACTGTGTGAAGTACCCTTCAATGAAGACCACATATTTTCTGTTCTAACTACACAGTCATATCAGCGTGGCAACATTTGATCTCTGCTGCAGGAGCAGGTTGCAGAATGTCTTACTTTTGGTTGTTGTCTCAGTACTGTTTGCCTTTCCTGCTTTTCAAAGTAGTGAGTGATCTGTCAACCTGATAGGAAGGTGGCAGGGGAAGTGCAATTACTTGTCAATACAACATGAATGCAACAAGAGGCTGATGTGTTGCAAAGGTCTAAAAAAGCACTTAAATGCAGCTCATTTTAGAAGCACAATTTTACCTCAAAAAAAGGCACTACAGGAGAATCGGAAAGATACGTACTTTTATTACAATCCTGCTTTTGTTTGTTGGAGCGTTTTGAAACCCAAGGGGGAACAGTTAGACACCCAGCATGACTCCTTTAGTCGCTGTGTGTCTTTCTCCAGGCATTCTTGCTGTTCTGTTCGTTCCCCTCAGAGCCGCTCCCTGTTTCCATATTCTCCCTCGCTCCCGCTCTCCAATCTGCTGTGGTTGGTGGAGCAGCACAGCTTGTTCAGTTTGTGTGCCTGCGTTCAAATGACTTTTTTTTCAGTATTGCACTTGCTATTATTTCAGTCTCTGCGCTTGCATTTCTGTCTATGTTTCAAAGGAAGGAAAGGAAGGCTGGTTTCGTTTTAATAGATTTTAATTTTAGTTTTAAATTCTTTCACACAATTACAGCCGTATTTCTCTGGAACTCCTTCAGCCTGTGTGAAGTAGGTTTGTATTATTTGTCACATAGAGAGGGGAAACCACAAGCAGTTAGTGCCTGCCCTCTTTCTGAAAACCCCACAGTAATTATTAATGTCTCTGTTGAGCAACAGCAGCATGTTCCAACATCCTGCTATTACCGCGCACCTTCTGACCTTCTGCCCCAACAGAACAAGAGAAAGTGCTGTCGCCATCAATCTCGCACGTTCCCCCCTGGTTCACCTGTTTATTTGCCCCGTGTGGAGGTGAATCTGGCGGCTGTTCCCTGCTTCTCCAAGCGAGGGAGGGGAGATGGAGTGTGTACTGCAGTATATCTGTAAGGCGGAGGTGCTGGCGGAGATCACAGCGGGGCTATAACTCATCAGTGGTGTGCGGGGGCCTGGCCAAGCATGTCTTAGATCACACTGCTCTCTTCCTGAGAGGCCTAAGATCCTGTGACTCAGCCTTCCTCTTCTCCGTTTGGCCTCTAGACACTGTCGATACATGCAAAACTCCTGCACTCATAGATGCATGTTAGCAGATGCCCACACATGTGCAGGACATCATCATTGTAGAAGGATGAGACAGTTTCTATCATGTATGTAAAAAATTGGTACAACAAGGCCAACAGCCACCTGGCTCTCATCGGTGATACAGTGGCTGGAAACCAAGCACTGACCTCATCACCATTTTCTCCATTTTTCTCCACAAGGCTTTTTGTTCTTCCAGCCAAATTATAACATCAGAGTTTTCTTCTCTGAATGTGAACAATCAAGCATCTAGAGAATTTGTGTGGGGTTTTCTTTGGAGGGTTTCAAACCAGGAAGAGATTTGGCTGCACACACACAGCACTGTTGTTGATGTAAATTTGGTAGGCAGTATAGCTTTGTTAAAGTCGCTTGATGATTAAAAGAGGTTTAGGATGACGTGTGTTTAGTCTAATTTTACGTTGTGGTCTGGTCAAAGTTCTGGACCTGGAATTGGTGGTAAGAGTTCTGATTTCACCTTGTCTGCAGCAGAAATGCAGAAACACACACACACACACACACACACACACACACACACACACACACACACACACACACACACACACACAAACTTGTACGCTTACAGCTGGAACGAAACAGAAGTGAATTAATTGCATATGAACACTTGGCACTTTTTCAGACTTTTGGGTTTTTCAGGCCGCTATATCTAAGTTTGGCTGCAGTGTTCACACGTCTTTGAAATCTGCAAAAGTAAGACAAGGACTGAGATGTTTTTAAGGGCTTTGAAAACAAGTCAATGCTGGTTTGTGCAAAAAGAAAAAAAAAAAACAGCTGCAGAAAGTAGGTAGAGTCACAGCTAAGTGATAGTGAAGATTCTCAGCTTTTGTGGTTGAAAGTTCTCTGTTACGGTTTGATGCACATTGAAATGCAACGGTGTATTTAAAGTTCAGCTTTATTCCATGCTTAGCTGAAACTTTGAACACTGAGGAGCATCAGATAAGAAAAACTTAATTGTGTCATTCAGACTGAACCTGTCATTTGGATGTTCCACACCAATACAGGCTCTTGCAGAAAAAACAGTGAATGAACCGTGAGCCTTATTCTGCCACATGGAAGGAAACAGGTTAGTCAGCCCGTAAAGTGAGACAGCCGCAGCTTCTCTTGCCGTTCTCCCACCAAATGAGTTTCCTTTCCGCTGCATGTGGCTGCTTTAGTCAGTTGCTCTGAGTGGAGTCTTTCCTTTTGCAGTGGAAAGAAGCTCACTTGTCTTCAGCAGGAGCACATGTTATGAACTTGCACAGGTTTTGGAGAGAGAAAGATTAGTTTGCTTGATCATGCTTGTCTTTCACTCAGCCCCCTCTAGTTCCTGGTGTGTTTTCTTGGCCTGGTCCTGCAAACAAAGTAGTAAATATGTAATGCACTGTTGAAATGAAGAATTCTCGCTTTTCCTTTTTCATGCACTGGCTACAAAATAGAAAAGAAGAACCTTCTATGCAGTTCAGGTAACACACTAATATGGAACAATATGTGCAAAACCACTAAAGCATCTTGCTTGATGAAAGGAAAGGTTAAATCATTAAATCTTTGTGTCTTATTAGCAGGAAAACCATCAACACATTCATGAAGTTGACATCCTTTTTGGGTGTTAAATAGTTACTACTTCCTGCTGCAGGGTGAGTTGCATGACATTTTTAATAGTAGAGACAAATTGGCCCACCTACTCCTGATGAACAGATGGATATCTAAAATTTGAAATACATGTAATGAAAATATTTTCCTTTTTTCAAGAGGGGTCAAACTTCTCTGACTCTGTATAACAACATAACAGACAGTTCATCGTAGTGATGGGAATTACGGCTCTTTTTAGTGAGCCAGATCATTTGGCTCAGCTCACCAAGAAGAGCCGGGTCTTTCGGCTCCCAAATAGGAGTGGGAGAAAAAATCAATACAGCATAGTACCGCAATGTTTTGTCTGGTGATATATTGTATTGTCTCATTTACCAAGTAACGATTTTTCAAATTAATTGCTAATATGAAGTCAAATCTATGATAATGGAAAAATAAAATCAACTGTTCATAGAGCAGGAGAAAGTTATTTCAATAAATATATATTAGGTTTGCAAGATGTGCTACATGAAAATGAAATACAGTGTACATAAGACAAACATAAAGGGAAGCCAAATGCTAAATTAGCTAAACAGCTGAAAAAACTGTTTAGATCGCAATATATTATATCGCAATACTCACTGTATTGCAAAATATAAAAAATCTCAATAATATCGTATCGTGGCCCAAGTATCGTGATAATATCGTATCATGGGGCCACTAGTGATTCCCACTTCTTGGTCCGTTCACAACCAACACATCATTAGTTCATTGTAATTTTTAGCCATTTTCTTGCGTGTTTTAGTCTGCTTTTTCAGTTTTCTCTCCCTCCCTACTGCTCATCTGGTAAAAGCTGCTCATTTGAATTTGTAAATCATCGAGGGGAAAAAGTACTTAAGTTGAAAAATGTTACCAAACATCCTGCCACACTTAATTTCATATTTTTCTGCTTCACTGCTCACTCTGGTTAAAGAGCAGTCTTGCAATAATACTGGTACAAAGTTGAATTAATTTCCTTAAAAAGAAGAGCCTTTTTGATGAACAGAGTAACAGTGGAAATTGCCTCACAGGGGGAAAAAGGACTATGTGAATCAAAGGAGAATTGTTTAAAACTAAGAATTATGGATCGGAAAGAACTCAAAGCTTTATTTTGAATTTTAAATGCCTAATTTGGTACAACAATGTTATAACTGAATGTATGGAGTCTTTGATAAAGATGTTAAGTAATTCAAATTTTGTAAAATATTCAAAAGCTTTAAATTGGTAAGATTATCCAACCTTTGTAGAAGTATTGATTACTGTACTGGTTTGGCAGTGACTCAGTTTCATTTGATTTTGTTCAGACATAAGGGATATTTAAACATTTGGGGAAATTTGCTTATTGATTTTATTACCAAGTTAAACCGTTTTTGGCAAAGCACAGTGACTTCCTATAGTCTTGTTGTCACTATGGAGTTGTTAGATAACCAGAACAGGAAGTTACTCCCAGCCAAGGAATACTCTGGCATGTAACCCATACTAAGACTGCAACTGTTCATTTGAACACTTCCCTTTTTGCACAAAACAAAGAAATGAACCAGCTGAAATTAGTGAGCTGTAGAGATGGGTGTAAGTGGAATTTTCTGTTAGTTTTGGAGGTTTTTTTTTAGGCCCTCCATTTTCCATTAAAACACCATTGTTACAGATCTAGTGATGCTGTCCTTTTTATCCCACATATTCATATTCCTATTTCAACAGCAGTGAGGACAAGTGATTTATCAAGCAGCAGGAACATCAAGCAGCCAAATTATATGGAAAATGTTAATAGAGGACCAGAAGCACTTAATGCTGAACAAAACATTGGAAAACCAAAGTGTTCCCAGTTTGCCCTCTTTTGATGCTGCTCTCCAGTTTACAAATGATTGACGTTGATGCCCTCTTTGAAATCATTGCACCATTTGTGCCATCTGTGGCTGTTTCCACGCTGTTATTGGAAAACTTTTGCTCGGTAATACTTACATAAAAGTAATGAAATCAAATACAATTCCACTGTTGACTTTGACACGCTTTTCCACAGCGTTTTTGATGTGACGTGAACAAAGTAATTGTGATTTTCCATCGTTGAAATTTCCAATGTGTGTTCTTGACAAGTTATTGAGGGGTATTTTCCTTTGTTGTGATCTTTAATGTACACCTCAAAATCAACCAATGGTTTTCTCCGTTTGCTTTTCCTGAAACCTTCAGGATAGCTAATTCAATCTTTTGGTAGTCAAGACTTCCAGGAGTTTTTCAGTTTTGCACATGTTTTTCATTACATTTGCCGTAAATTAGGTTACTTTTTATTTACTGTGTGCCATTTGATTCAAGATTTCTCTTATTTTGCTCCTTTGAGATGTTGTCAAGGACTCTCATTTTATCAAACAGGAAAACATCAAAACAACTGTGTTCATATCCTCTGTGTTTGTGCTCTATTATACAATTGTGGGGTTATCAGTCAATGGACTTACTTGTCTGGTGAGAAAAAAGGAACTTATATCATTCAGATCTTGTGACAGTGTTAATCTTGCCACCTCAAGCTAAATGAACAACTCCTTCTACCTCCTGACTGTGGCTCCATGTTTCATAAGGAGGCCAGTACCTTGATAAAAACTCCCTGCAGAGGTTTTCCCCCTGGAAGGGAGGTTGAATAATTTGCCCTTTTTCTTGTGATGATTCAGCAAGCTCATTCGATCCCATTTGTACTTTGTGACCCACCTAGGTGCCGGCTAAAGGGCAACTGTCAGAGGAAGGAAATGGAAAGTGCAAGACTTTCAAATTCACCTTTAACACCAAAGTCTATGTTTGTTTTGAACTGGTGTCAGGATGAAACATGTTCAGTGTTTTCAACTCATGCATGCATTTTAGGTCTGCTTGTCCAGGCACACTCACTGATTCAAAATACTTGGCAAATGTTATGCATAACAGGAGTAAATGTCACAGTTCTGTCTAGAAAAGAAAAAAAAAGTTTCTCAAGGACTTTAGTATATAAATCTTGGTCATAATAGTTGCATTTTATTGGGTAAGTGAAGTACACTAAATCTCAGAATTTCACTGACTAGAAATCTGTCCTGATGGTTGCCTAAGTCTTGTTACGAAACTGCCTCTGTTTCCCTTTTTCTCAGAGTAGCTCTCTATTATCACTTTTTTCTAGCTTGGGTTGTGAGTTCAACATGAAATGTATGTACAATGTGTGTCTTTGACCCACTCAGACATATGGGGGTCTGTGGAAAGGGATGGACAACTAGTTTTGAGACCTTTGTCTTGAATGAGGGAGCTGATAAACCCTCTTGTTTTCCTCTTTTTGTCCTTTAAATTGTCCTTTTCTTCCTCCTTTTCACCCTTTTCCTTGTCAAAATGTATAGCATTGAATTCCAGGTTTGTACAATGGGAGTCATGTCAGATTAGTTATTCAAAGGGTGAAAATAAAGGATGCATAGGCCATCATTATGAAAGCAAATCACATGACAGCATGCAGCCAGAGATCACATGACTATCATACAGAATTACAAAACTGGCATTTTCAAAAAAAGCAACCACTTTGAAGTGTCTTTGTGAATAGAGTCTTTGTTGGGGGTCCAAAACACTATGTAAGTGTGGATGAAAGGCTGACTCTGAATTCTAAGAAAAGGACAAGTTTTGGAAAGCTTGAGTGAACAGAGAAACCAATCAGCTAGTTAGGTTAATCAATTTTTTGGTCTAGAAAGAAACAATTCATGGCTGCTTTGATCATTTATTTTTAGGGAGGGATTATTATGCAGTATTTCTTATTTTAGGAAGTCACTTCACCAGGCTCAAGCTGTACATTTGAAATCATGGTGCTGCTACTTGACTTCGCATGCATGTAAACCTTTAACTCCGGCAGACTAATCTAGACCGGGACGTTTTGCTGTAACTGTCCACCTCATCTTTCTGGCCTGCTTCCAGACCGATAAAGGTGTGCGGCAGCCTGAGGTCAAGCAGCATACTTTTCTTTACTGTTATCACATGGCCATCTGTCAGAGCCTGCGCACTGCTCTCAACACTGCTTCCTTTTCACCACCCACCTCTGCTACACATCACAAATGCACAGAAACATAAACGTCTAACTACATACTCTAACCTATCATGTGGACACTGTTCTCTTAAGACTAAAATAGTTGTGACTAAGTGCCCTGAAACATTCATTTTTCTGTCATTTTCCAGTGATAGTGAAGAACGCTTGGCACAAACTCCAGCCTTGTTTTCAGTTTTTATGTCATAGTCATCATGAGAAGAACATGGATGAGTTACGACTTATGACTCATCTCCCTTATTTATCATTGTAAGCTTTTCAATCCAACCAACAGTGATAGCAGTGCAGGAAAACCATCAATATTGCTCAATGCCAAACGGCAAACTGGGTTATTCAAACCAGATCTTTTTTCATAGCTGTCTTGAGGTAATTTGTTTTAGCCTTGCCAAGAAATAGAACCATATTTCAGATCTGTCCAGCTCCCTGGCTCTCCCTACCCCGGTCATGTCTCTTTTTTCCTCATCTCTCTTTCCTCCAACTTTCTTCCCTTTTACAAGGATTTAGCATATCAATGGCAGATTAGTTCGTTTAACAAAAGCTTACTCCTGCAAAGCCCCTTTCCACTCGTCTCTCCAGCCTGACTTGTGGACCTCACACACAGCTCCTCTGCACTGGGGTCTTTGGTGTGCGTGTGTGGTCGCGGCTGCTTGGCTGAATGGATTTGTGTTTGAAGATGACATGCTTAGTCACTATGGGCTTCAGAGATGTATGCAGTAACATGTGTGGGAGATAATATGCAAAGATGCATAAGTGTACAGAGGGTTTATTTGTTATCATGCATACATGCTGGGATTTCAGGTTTAGGCCATCACTTTATCATTTTATCTCTATGATCTGGAGCTGTACTGTACAATGAGCCCAAACCTGCCAATCCATTGTTCTTGGACCTCTGGCTTCCTCTTGCTTTAATGGGGCACGGAAAAAAAGTATTGTCCTCTGCCCTTGAAGCCTTTGCGTGCCAACCTGCAGATGCTTTTGCTCTGGAATGAGACCCTGTCTGTAGGGTGGAAAGGGTTGTGCAGGGTGCCAAGAGGAGGTGACTCCAGCTGGCTAGATTTGGGTATCATCAAGTGAATTTTGAGTGTGTGTGGGAGGAAAACCCCACTGTGACACTGAACCCGGCTCAGGAAGGATGCCCCGCTGCCTGTGTTGGTGTAGGTTTGATCCACGTAGCATTAATCACCTCAAAGAGAGACAGCGTTTAGGATGTAGTTATGTCAGGAGGAGGGGGTGAGTTGGAAATGTTCCATTAGACAGGCACGTGCCTTGTATTGGACTCTGGATGTAGCTTAAAACATTAGGACTTGATTTTTCTCGATAATCTTAATGCCGTCGAAATGCAGGTATTTGTTCAACCACTGACCTCATTGAATTTCCCTTTGGGGATCAATATCTCATCTTATCTCATCTCACCATATTTTATCTAATCTCATCTCATCTTATTTCATCTCATCTCATCTTATCTTTTCTCATCTCATCATATTTTATCTTATAGTATCTCATCATATCTTGTTTCAACTTATCTAATCTCATCTCATCTTTTCCCATCTCATCTTATCTTTTTTCATGTCATCTTATTTCATCTTATCTCATCTTTTCTCATCTCATCTTCTTTTCTCATCTTATTTTATCTTCTCTCATTTTTTTCATCCCATCTCAACTTATCTTATCCTATCTTATCCCACCTCATATCATCTTACTTATCTTATCTCATCTCTTTTTATCTGACCCCACATCATATCATCTCATCTGATTTTAACTTGGTTGATAGGAGAACATCTCCAAACCATGAGGTCCAGACACTACAAAAGCCCATTGGTAGAAAGAAGTTGCATCTATTTTGACTATCTCTACAGGGATCATTTATCAGACTGCTTACATACACCCAGGCCTGCATGCATTTCTTGAAACTGAGATTCAAAAAAAGTGATAAACCTGCACAACTCTTGCAGCAGTATGAAGACACCATCAAAGCTTTCACTGAGCATATTATAGCATTGCCTCAAAAGTGTTTAAACCCTGGACTATTTTGCTGGAGGAAATGTTTTCTGGTTTTGTCAAAGAAAGGAACAAAGCAGCACTTGATTTAACGCTATGAGCTTTTACCTCACACAACCCCAGCACCCTGTTGTTTTGGAGTGACCGCTCAAGTTATTATTGGAGTAATTCTGAGATGGAAATGAAGCAGTAATTCTATGCTTCAATTTACTCGGATTTGAATTGCCATATTTACATGAAGGGTCACTTCACCTAAATTACATTAAATATATAGCAGTGCTAAGAGCTTTTGGTCTGGATGGATCTGCCAGGGAGTTTTTTACCCATTGCCCAATACACTGGAGGGGAATGTGATGGGTTTGGAGCCCTCCACAGCAGTGTAACAATACCTGGTTACTTGCTGATCTGTCAGTTATGGTTACAATACATCCCCAATTATTGGTTCATACACACTAAGGTACATTGATGCTTTGACTAAATATTTTCCCCCAGAGTTAACATGTACAAAGTTTGCCACTGCCATCCTGCACCCAGTGCCTGGTGAGTCCTTTCTAAGACTTAAAGATCTACAAAATGTAATATTTTTGGTATGATCAATAGTCGATACAAAATGTGGTCTAAGCATTTTCACTGCCTGGTTTCTGGAGTGGCGTTATGAAACCCGTTGATGGTGGTTGCCACATTGGAAATGCTGACACAGCCTCGGCAGAGAGATAGGGTCGAAGTGCACATAACCTCTACCTTAGTGTGTAAAAAATTTCACTTCATCTACATTGTGTGTGAATAGAGAAACAAGCTATTCAGACAAACGAACAAAAAAAAAGGTTTTGTTCCAGGCTGTTGGCTTGTTTATTTTTGTTATAAAGATTGTTTTTTACGTGGGTGCATCAGTGACCTCCAAGCCTCAAGTGGACAGTCAAGTAACTGCAGTTTGTAGCACTTCCCCTTTAGCTCCATTGCTTAGTAGCAGAGGTTTCTGCTTGGTAATGATGCATTTAATTAATCTGAGGAAAAACTGTTCTCTTCTATTACTAGATCAGATCAGAGGATGGAGCCATGAGGACCGGGATCTTTGTCGGATTGTGTCTCTCCATCCACTCGTCCACTTTGCTGTCTAAATGAACAGAAGAGCCCTCTTTGTAGTTATCAGTTTCTGTGTAGAATCACATTTTCGCCTTCTGACAGATCACTCTTCTGGCTTTGTTGACACCAGTCATCTGATACACCCATGTTTTCCTGAGCCATCAATCTGTCTCACTGTCTCTGGATCTGTGGTTCTTGGCAGCAGAAATGCTCCAGGTGTCTTGTGTGTCCCGTGCCCAGATGCTTTGCCAGCTCAGGCGCTCCTGGGCTGTAGTGGTATTGTTCTCTGTGGCCCACTGTGTGTGACCCTGGTTCAGGGGGAAGCAGCTGGTGGAATCCTTTAGTATCAGCCCGCCTGGCACTGAGAAGCAGCTCAACTGTGGGAGCATAGCTATGTCCTAATCTCACTTTAATTGATACAAACCATGAGGGATAACTTGAGACATCCATCAAATGTTGATCAGCTTCTTTTGTTGTTGGTTTTTATTTTTTTGCACAGTTCAACCCAGTAATGTGATGTAATGTGTTGGCATACAGTGCAAAGAATTACCTTTAAAAGAGAAGTCAGAAATGTGAGCTGGTTTGCCATGAATACATGTAGGTATGTTACGTGATTGTGTGCCTCCCGTCATGTACACCTCTCTTTAAAATGCGACGGGCTGCCCTCGGAACAGGAAGTGACTCAGTAATAACTGGTACTGCACTTCCTGCGAGCTGCCTCTCCTCAGCTCCTCTCAGGATGTGTACCTCCTCCTCCTTTTTCTGTCTCCTTCTACCACCACCCTCGTCACCGTCCCCTTCTGTGACCACATGACTTCACATCAGTATATTAAGCTCTGGGTCTGACCTGGCAGAGACTGCTTAGTTGCAGTTTTTGTGTGTAACTTGATTTCAGAGTAGTTTATAAAGATTTTTTCATGATTGCACTAAGAAATCACTGTGCCCATTGAAAAACTATGAATTAATGCATCAGATTTTATATAGCACTCTATCAGAGACCCTTAAAGCGCTTTACATTGGATATATCATTCATTCGCTCACACAGTCACACCCTGGTGGTGGTTAACTACCTTAGTAGTCACAGCTGCCCTGGGGTAGACTGACGGACAGTGGCTGCCATTTTGCACCTACCTACGGCCTCTCTGACCACCACCACACAACACTCACAATCGTACACCAGTGGAGGACAAACACTGGGAGCAAGTTGGATTAAGAGTCTTGCCCAAGGACACAACAGACAGATTAGGGATAGGGGGGAATCGAACTGTCAACCCTCCGGTTATTGGACGACCACACTACCTCTTGAGCTACTGCCAGCCCAAAATAAATAAAAGTCATTCATGAATCATGCAGTGACTCTTAATCGTATGAGTAACTTTTCATTGGTGTTGGTTTTTGCATCCTCTGTGAACAAAGCAGTACTTCCTATGCCTGCTGATTTTGCACTATAAATATCAAAGTATGTTTACATCTACTGACCTAATATAGTCAAATATATGACTTATTAAGAATCTGTGCTGTGGAAAAGATAAAAAGACGGTTTTGGGTGTGTGTTACTGATCTCATCTGACACCTACCCCCCAAATCATTTCCATGCTTTAAAAATAACTACAGAAATAATCAGTGTTGATGTTGCCGGTCTTGTTTGCTTTTGTGTGTCATGAAGAGGCAGAAGTAATAGTTTTACTCATAGGAGCTTTAAAGTAACAAAGTTAAATCACCTGTCCCTGTTGTCCCTTTGTTATCGTATCAGATGCAGACCCACCACAGTGCGCCACCCATCACTGTCCGTCTCTGTGCTTTTAGATGATCTCTATCATTGTTCATCAGGCTTGGAACAGTTGATATCTTTACTTTCTTTGCTCATATCTTCACTCAGTATCTCTCCACCTCTCTCCAGTTTCCAGAGTGCGGCTTCTTCGGCATGTACGACAAGATCCTGCTGTTTCGCCATGACTTGAATGACGAGAACATCCTGCAGAGGCTGACATCAGCTGAAGACATCCATGAAGGAGACCTTATTGAAGTGGTGCTCTCTGGTAAGTTCTGCAGTGAAACTCTACTGTGAAAAAAAGGCCCCATGTCTTGCCTTGAATGTGTTGAATGACCACTTTAAGTCTTTGTGAAGGAAAAGAAAACATGAACTGACAGACCTTTATAAACTGTTGCTCTTGGCAACAGTGACGAATGAATAAAAGGTTTAACCATCACACTTTTATGTGTGTATTTTGAATATTTTTTAAAAGCATATGAAAGATATCATGTAGCTCTTAATTTACTCTGTGTGTGCTTTAAATGTTGAAGTTTAAGGCTGTAATTGTTAGTGATGGTACAGAAACCCAACGAAAGTTTTTGGAGTAAAAGTAAAGCAAATGATCTCTTCTGCGGTTTTGATTTATTCGTGTTAGTTGAAATGTCACCAATGATTTGGATAGAGCAAATGTCCAAAGAAATTTGGTTTTTCTAGATTTCCAAAACAGGAGGAAAAGCTGTAAACTTCCATCAAGCAGTATAAACCAAGATTTTTAAAGTCAAAACAATGGACTCAAACTAATAAACCAAGAGAGCTTTGCTGTGTTCAATTTTTGGTGTCCTGTCCTACTTGACACCCCTTACAATAAACACAGCCTGTGCTGACGTGTTACAGCGTTACTAAATCACATCTGCTGAAACAAAATAGTCATTGTTCATTTTTTGAAAAAAGCTGTTGAATCAAGTGACTCACCCAACAACACACTAATTACATGTACCCCTGCTTTTCATTTTGTGATAAATAAGCTCTTTTTTTGAACCAAAAAAAAAGTTTCCATCCGATTTTTGCACCTTTCTGTCAGCTACACAGGTGCTTGGCTTTTCTTTGTCACTTCCTGTGATAAATGAATCAGCTTCCTCTGCAGCGCTGAGACCAACAAATGGCTTAGAGTATCTGTTCTGCACTAATCCATTCTCCTGCTCCATCTGTCTCCACTGGGAAGCACCTGACACCACCTGTGCTGAATATCTCCCCCTCTCTCCTGGGCTGGGAGCATTGTTTGCAGGGATTTATGCAGGGGATGATTGTATAGGTTCAGGATCTGAGGATACTTCAGGCAGTGGGGCTAAAGGAATGTAGACTAAAGACTGGAGAACTTCCTTCTTTTTGTTTCTCACTGTCTGTGTTTATCTTGTACTCTCTTTTGTGTCAGTCTGTTGCTCGCTCTCCCTTCTCGCTTTCTCTCATTGTAATCCCTCCTACCTCAACAAATCCACCTGCAGGTGTAAGCCTCTAGCATCGGAGCCTGACAATTTACAGCCTCCGATACACGCTAATGAAAGACGAGGAGTCCTCAGATTTGCTACATATTCAACACATGCTGTTTCTTTCATTTCATCTAACACTCAATAAACGGGGCCTACTATTTGAGTTGGGCTTTGCATGTCACACGCTTGATAACTGAGTAACAAGAGCTGAGAGTTTAACCTACACAAGCCTTTCATTTGGTGCAAAAGAAAACAAAATATGAAGCTATTCCACCCCACAATTTGTCTCCTGTCATCTTCCGCTCAGTTTTTCCCTCAACCAACCTGTTGTTGAATTCTGCGGCTGTGGGAGAGAGAAGAGCTGAGTTTCTCTCTTGTTGCGAGAAGGAGGCAGAAGTGGCTTTTTCTTGGCCGCCGTCTCAAAGAAGAGAGCTTGTTTTTCCTGCAGTAAGTGATTGTAGTAGACCCGCTGAGTGTAAACACACTCTGATGTGTGGGGCAGCCCTGAGCACAGCGGACACTGCGCAGGCCTTCTCTGCCCAGGAGGTTTGACCGATTGTCCCTTTGTTCTGTCTTTACACTCCCTTAAATTCCCACCCACTTTCACAAGCCTTGGAGAAATTGGTATTTCACCTTCTGTTTGTTATAAATATGGTTTTGTCAGCTGGAAACTTGTGGCCTTGAAATGGAAACTTAGCTCCTCAAAACAAACAGATACTGCATTCATGTAAGCCTCTCCACTCTACTTGTGTGAAGTGCTACAGAAAAGGCGCAGTAAGCTTATTTTTGGTGTTGATTAAAGCTACATTAGTTAGTAAAAAAAAGCATTAGATAACTTTGACTGCTAAGAAGTGTCAGGTTGTTTTGCAGATGTGTGTGAAAAAGCTCAGGAATGCAGCTTTTTATGTGTCACAGCTATGTTTGCTCCATGTGTCATGTGACCTGCTTTGGTTTTTCATCCATGCAGCCATTTACTCTGATGAAAATTAAATAAAACACTGAACAAATTATCTGAATAAATATGAATACCTCAGAGAATTTACTGGTAAGTGACTTAAAATTGAGGAAACTTGATTTTTCTTTCCCTAAGATGAGATAGATTCAGCTTGACAAGCTTTTTATTGACAACTCAGATTCATGTGAAAACTTAATAGAAACAAAATTCCAAATATTAAATGTTCTCAGGCTGAAATGAGATTTTGAAGCGTTTTTATAAAGAGCATGTGCAGATTCTTGATTTTTTTTTTCATGACAGGCCACGTGTCTGTTAATGATCCTGCACCTCATCACAGCTCCAACAGCTGAGAATGTCCTCAGCTGTCCCAAAGAAAGTGTGTTTGTTTGAATCACCTCATTGGAAAGGAAGTAACACATACACATGTACAATCACACACACAATGACATCACTGTCACCGCTCAGGTGCACAGGCTCTGCTGCTTAACTCGGTGTGTAAAGATTAACCGCCCCCTCGTCGGTCTCTGCGGCTGCATAAATGATTGCACAGGAACGGCGAGGAACGCTCTTCCAGTTTGAATTCAGAGAGGAGAAGCTTCAGTTCAGCAGTCACCTCCAATCTTACTCATCCTCACGTCTTTTGAGTGATTCACAACCATGACTAAACAACTCTTGCTTCCAACAATGAGCTCACTGTGTCCATTTGATTCAAAACAACAGACATGGAGGAACATCGGAGGGAGAAGACAGAGTCGCTGGATTTCTGCTGGCTTTGATGTTTGTACTTTTAATTGAATTGGCTGATATAACAGGGTCACTCTGAATTCATCTTTTGTTGTTTTGGGTGTGTCCTATCACTATCACACATTAAATGAAGAAATTGTTTCTGCTGATGTGGCGCCCTCTACTGAAGAGTTGTAAGCATAGCACTTACATAAAATCAGACTTGTTTCTATTGTAACAAAGAGAATCTCACCTCTTTTTTTCTCGAGTACAGCTTCAGGTAAAGTTTGACTAAATTCTCTTTCAGGTCTGTGAGAAAAATGTACAAAAACAAATCTTTAAAATGTGTTCCTTTCTCTTGTTCTTTTGGTTTCTCATCACTTTAATCCTCTTTCTTTTTCTACCTTTTCTTCTTTTTCATATAAACAAATTTTTGATTTCTTTTGCCCACTCACAGTTCTTGTCATACCACTTGTGTGTCCTTTCTAGCCCAAGCCACCGTTGAAGACTTCCAGATCCGACCTCATGCCCTTTATGTTCACTCCTACAAGGCCCCCACATTCTGTGACTACTGCGGGGAGATGTTGTGGGGTCTTGTCCGACAAGGACTCAAATGTGAAGGTCAGACACACTAGAGAGATTATTTCTTTATTTAACCCTTTTTTTTTGCCATTTGCAAGAGAGATCAGGCCAAAAGAGCTGTCATACAGACACATAAAATCTTTCACACACAACACAACCAACAAATCTAAAATATATGTTCAACAACAAATTAGGCTTTTGAGAAAAACAACCACACACTGCAACCATATTTCTAATAAAACTTTCACATTTACGAAGAGACATGAGGGTGTCCAATATTCCCCTTTTTTAAGATTATTCTATGACCATGGTGCATTATGGTATGATTTAAATAAAATCAAATAGATGAAAATACTTTAAAAATAAACTATGCCATGATTTGTTTTTCTGAGTTATTAAAATGGAGACCAAAATGGGTCCCAAGATCCCAGATGTTCCCCCTGTTGAACACCTTTAGTTATCCCAGGAAAATCTGATTTATGTCCTTTTGCAAAGACACTCTGAGCTCAATCTGCGAAATAATTTCTAAACCAGTTAACAGTCTTGAAACGTAAGCCGGCAGATTGAGGTTTGATCATTAGCAGTTCATGGTCCACCGAGTCAAATGCCTTAGACAGATCCACGAGTAACCAGAACTAAATCCAGACTGAAAATCACTTCAAATATTTTAATCTAGTGAAAACTGCTTCAACTGCAAATTCACAGATGCAGATTGCAAGTTCTCACAGTGGCAGGGTGATTACCTCCATAATACTTTACAACAACATCAACAAACAAGAAAAAACCCTGACAGAGGGACAACCTCCAGCCTCTCTCATTTCTCTGTCCTCGCTGGATTGATCTGAATCAAACTTATTTCATTTTGTCAAAAGTTTACAAGCAAATGTGTCTCTGAATTTGAACTTTGTTAAGTAGTAACATATAAGGACACAAATACTTTGTGCAGGCCTATGCTGAGGAGTAATTGGCATTTAGACTCTCAGAGATTTTGTAACTGATGTCTTGTGTTTTTATCACACTTTCAGGATGTGGGTTGAACTACCATAAGCGCTGCGCCTTTAAGATCCCCAATAACTGTACTGGAGTGAGGAAGAGGCGATTGTCAAATGTCTCTCTACCTGGACCCTCTCTTTCCGTGCCCCGGCCGGCGCCTGCAGAAAATGCTGTTGTGGTCCTGGAAGAGGTGAGTTCTGATCAGAGGAGGCTTTAGAGAATTCACTTTGACAGAAATCGAAAAAATGTGGAGTAACCAGTGAAAAGAAGAAAATGCATCAGGAGTTGCTTATCATCTGAGTGAAGGGCCATAAAGTAATGACAGTTTTTTTTTCCTCATGGATAAAGTGTCTGAAGTTGCAGATGTCATCATAATTCAGGCTGAAGCCAGGTGAACTGGCCAAGAATGTGAAGCAGCGAATTGCCATGCTGCTCACAAGCTTTGTCTCAACTGCTAAACTTGTCTAAACTTATCAAATTTGGCTCTCTTCCACGGGGCGACTCTCCTGGGCCCTGTTGTCGAACGGCACTGATGCAGAAAATTGAATTGAGCAGCACATCGCTCTATGGAGAGATTCTCAGCAAGCTCTTATGAAATTGTTTTTGCATAAGCCTGCGCTGGAATATTCTCCACTTGTCTGTGTCCCCACCAAAAGGTCATCAGGAAATGTAATTATGCTAATGACATTCAAAGTCCAAGTTTATGCATGGACTCACTTTTTGGCAAAAATGAAGAAAGTGTCCTTCTCATTTCTGTCAGAAGCTTCCAGACCGCCGGATTTATTCAAATAAATCCAGGCCTAAGTGTACATATGTGGTCAAATATGACAACTCCAATAACTGCTTTTTTACCTCTTGGATTGTGTTAAATACACAAAGTAATGCTAATTCAATATGACAGATTTCTAATTCCCTTTTCCACTCTCTTTATCTATTGCCATGTTATTATTCACCCTGTCTTCCCCTATCAATCAAAACACATTTTGAGGCTGTTTTTCCTCTTATATCCGATCCTCTTCCTTCTTGGGTATGTTTTTTTATTCTTCCTCATTTCCCCTGCCTATTCCATCCAGCAGCAGAGGTCCCATCAGGAAGCAGGGAAGAGGATCCTGTCTTGGAGTGGCAGGCCTATCTGGATGGAGAAGATGGTGTTGGGGCGGGTCAAGGTGCCACACACTTTCGCCATTCACACCTACACTCGTCCTACCATCTGCCAGTACTGCAAACGTCTGCTCAAGGGGCTCTTCCGCCAGGGCATGCAGTGTAAAGGTAAGAGATACTGCTTCATGGTACAACATTTTAATGAGACTTTACTATTTTGTTATCATTTGTCAGTTTTTTAATTTTATCTGTCAGATTGCAGATTCAACTGCCATAAGCGATGTGCGTCAAAGGTACCGAGAGACTGCTTAGGCGAGGTGGACTTCAATGGAGGTAAGTCTTCAGTCAGAGAAGTCAGGAGTCTGAATCACAACAGCATTTCAGTCATAGTTTGATGTGCTCTTACCAGCAAAACAGCCAAGCCAATTTTTGCACCTTGCTGTCTTTGCTTCTCAGAGTCTCTACTTTTCATGCCTATCTGACCTCGTTACCTAGGAGACCATAGAACTTAGGTCAATTACAACCTCTTCGCCAAACTTACCTTGATTTGTAATGTTGGGGACCTATGCTGCGTTTGAATTATCTCAGAGGTCAGATGTCTGAGCTGGGAATGACGTCACATCAGAGTTACAAGCGTTTCAGTGACCAAGTCGGAAAAAAGCTAAATAGAAAGTGGAAACAAGATGGCTACATCTACAAAAGTTATTTTAGCACTTTCCTTGTCCGTATAGAAGCAAGGACAAGGCAGGCGCTAAAATAACTTTCGTAGATGTAGCCATCTTGTTTCTGCCTTCAATTTTGCTTTTTTCCGACTTGGTAACTGAAACGCTGGTAACTCAGGTGTTCCAGCATTCCCAGCTTGGACATCTGACTTCTGAGGTAACTCGAATGCAGCATTAGACCATGTTATCCATAACTACACACTGTTATGCTCATACTCACACATATTCGATAAGTATACATGTATTTTGATGATAGATAAAGCTTGTACAATAAAATATTTCACAAATAAGTGTAAATTATGATTTTTTAAATATTTGCAATATTTTGGATCCCCATGAATAGAGCCAGCCAGCCCTGGACCAGACTCTGACACCACAATAGATACCATGGATACCATGGAAGTGGACAGTAGTGACATGGATGTGGGAAGAGGACTGGATGACCCAGAGGAACCCTCCACCCCGGATGAGAGGATGTTCGACATGGACTCTCCTTTCTTGGACAGAGAGAAAGATGAAGAGCCCATAAAGACAATTAGGTATACGGCGTGATTTCACTTTAGGTTCAGCATTGCTGTTTGTTTAGTACCATTGTAGCGTTTCTGTTGTTGAGGTGTAGGTGGCAGTATTTCCTTTGTTGTCATTTAGTTCATGTCTGTGTATTTTTTCATTTAGTAACAAAGAGCAATTGAGAGACAATATAGGGAAATGATTTCCACCAGAGACTGTGCATAACTTTATGCTTACAGTATTGTTAGCTCTGTTTCAAATACTTCCTGTGTCTGAATTCTGTCAGGAGAGATCTACATAACTTTGGGAACAAGACAGTAAATACCAGGGCTTTCACAAACTGATAATGTGTCGGCTCAAATGTGAACACAGAGAAACAAATTATCCTGATAATCAATGTCATGACATTCTGTGTTTGTTTAGCCCTTCTACTAGCAGCAACATCCCTCTGATGCGGGTGGTCCAGTCCATTAAACATACCAAGAGGCGAAGCTCAACTGTGGTGAAGGAGGGCTGGATGGTTCATTATACCAGCAGGGACAACCTGGTAAGACTAGTGATATCACCAAAAGCACCAAAACAGAGGACTCTAGTTAAATGGGCTGTGATCGGCCTGTATGCAGGGGGAAACTCTTACTCCAAAGCTGTTCACATGTGTTGAATTCAGCACAGAAGGTATTTTTCTCATGAAACAATGCTTGAAAGTGTAGTGATTTCTGTTGGTCTCGCATGCTCTGCCATTTGGGACTAATTTGTGTCTTTCTTCTCTCAACAGAGGAAAAGACATTACTGGAGGCTGGACAGCAAGAGTCTGAGTCTCTTCCAGAACGACACCGGAGCTAAGTTTTACAAAGTAAGCATAATGTCTCTGCCGTCTTGTAGGAACATTGTGTCTTTGTCTTCAGGCTCTAACAAATAATTGTGCTTTTTAAAGGGGTAGTTTGTATACTTTTGAAGTGGGTTTTTTACATGTTTGATGGTGTTCAGGCAACCCCATTCGAGGGAAAGCCAGTTATGACAGTGTTTGATTGGTTTTGCAGCTGTGCATGTGAATGTCACCAAAAAGGGGGTTCAATCCATAGACTGTATATAGAATGGACGCCGTCTGCCTCCACACTGGAAGCGCCGCGCGCGGAACAGAAGCGCCGCGCACAGAGTTTCGGATCGGCGCCCATGTTAACCTATGAGACTGTTCACACAGCACGCGCGCGGAAGTGCCGCGCGCGGAACGGCTCGCGCTCTGGAGCGCGGCTGCTCCGCTTCTCTCTATTTTCGGCGCGAGCCGCGCGCGCCGATGTAAAGCTGGACAGAGCAGATCGGACCAGACAGGAAGTCGGAACAGGAGATGCGAGAGAATCCGGTCAATTTTCAAAATAAAATAAATTTCAATAAATTAGAAAAAAGGATTTACGGTGTTGCTTGTCGGTCTATTTTTTACCGATGAACACACACCCACACCCACACACACACACACACACACACACACACACACACACACACACACGCGGAGGGAGAGCTGCAGAGATTCAGTGACATTATTGAGACAAAGGAGGGGGGCTTTATTACGATACAGTCAATAGCCTCGAGCTAACAAGGCTATACATACAACGGAGTCAACAGACTCCCCAATTTATTCGTTGTTTACCCCTATATAATAATTTAAAACAATACTTGAAGATGCTGTCAATATTTAATTTATGTATGACGAAATAAAAACGTAAATCGATAGTGATTTACCCATAATTAAAGCGCTCTTAAGTGTGGAAAACTGAGGGCAGACGGAAACGGCCGAGCACTACCCGGCTCAGTCGATGTCTGACCTGCATGTCAGAGCGCAGCAGAAAGCGCTTCCTGTGTGAACAGCCAAGCGCGAGCCGGCGCTGCGCGCTCGCGCGGCGCTTCCGTTCCGCGCGCGGCGCTTCCTGTGTGAACCAGGCGTGAAGCCACCCCAAGAACAGCACCCTCTGGTGACAGGCTGCAGTATAGGTCATAAATCCTGCCTCCTCCAGCAATCCCTATGGAGCTGTGGACAAACTTTAGAAGTTAATTACACAGAATATACATTTTTCTCCCCCCTGGTTGCGATGTTGACTTGTAGTTACTGTTAGACTGGTTTGTGCTCAAAAAAGTTATTAGGGGGTTCATGTTTTCTATGATTGACACTTGCCTATGGGCCTACGGGCCTAGAAAGATTGTGTAGCTCACCAGGGGAATACGCTGTTTGAGCCGAGTGCCATCACAGCGACTCTTGGTAACTCTCACGCTGAATGGTTACAACGCTACTGCGTAATGTTGGTTTCAGGAGGTGGAGAAAAAAACACGGAAATACTGAGAGCTCTTCGGCTTCAAATCCGCATACTGGCAAAAGGCGGAACCAAGTTGTCCATAGTATATACAGTCTATGGTTCAATCCCAGAGCTGTCCACATGTCAATGGCCCTTCGGCAAGATACTTAACCCCACCTGCCCCTGCTGGCTGTGCCAAGTGGTGTGTGATTGGGATTATCAAAAACTGATGCCTGCAAGATCCATTTAGGAAGTCTTCACTTGAATCAGGGTGCTTTCACACCTAATCTGTTGATTATCAGTTTGGTTATTACAACTTCTGATATTTTGTCTGGTGATAAATTGTATCGTCTCATTTACCAAGTATCAATTTTCCAAATTAATTGCTAATATGAAGTCAAATCTATGATAATGGAAAAATATTGCATGGTGGGGCTGCTAGTGATTCCCACTCCTCTCATTTTGCTTCTGTTCGGACCCTGGTGGGTTTGGGTTCTGTATGGTGAGAACATGACCGAGCCTTGATAAGACTGAACTTCAGGAAGCATTGTGCTTTTCTTAACAAGCTACATGGCCAGTCAAACACGGGTTAAAAGCCACAGGCCTAGCTATTTCAAGGATCTTCATAACTGATAGCACGTGTTGTTTATTGTCTTCCCCTCATCAGACACAAAGATAAAGCATTTCTCACGCATCACTCCCAGGTATATGATCTTAGTCAACTGAATGATTTCTTTTTGCCAGAAAGACGTGATCAGAGGATTTAAACACACACTGCTGCTCTCTCTCCTCACCGTGACAGACGCACTGTGCTGTGGAGCATGCTCATTTTGTCCCCCTTGTAAACAAACTGGTTGTTTTTGGATCTGTCCTTTTAGAAGTGTCATCTTCTGTTGTTGTTTTAGTTAAGTGCAGCTGTTTGCACAGGATGTCATTTGATATTCACATATTCACTTGGGTTTGAATCGTTTTGACTCACGGTAAATCATGAAATTTCCTCCTCTTGTTATTCTGCTGTACACTCAGAAAAATGAATTATGGCGTAGTTTATTTTGAAGTATTTGCATTTATTTGATTTGATTTAAATTATAATTGTTTTAGAATTGATCCATTCAAATTTCTTAAAATCAACATAAATCTGTTATTCTGAAACAATTTTATTTAATTAGTTAAAATGTATGAATTTATGTAAAATATAATGAGCATTGGATCAACCAAAGATTCATTCAGTTAAAATATATGAGACAGAAACAAATTCAAGTTATCAATGATAAAGACAATAAATCTTCATTATTTGTTTTAAACAGGTTGGATTTATTGGTTTCATTACATAAATTAGATTCTTAACTGTTTCATTTACAGTTGACTGCCAAGTACGCAGCACATAAAGTTTATTGGTCTGTTTATGTTAAATCTAATCATTTTGCATGCAATGAGGTCTTTATTCATACGGATCCCCATCAGCTGCCACCAGAGTAGCAGCTACTCTTCCTGGGGTCCACAAATAAAACAAACAATACAAAACAATACATAATGCAATAAAACATGTACACTCTTGCAAAAGGTCATTCAAGACAATAAATATCTAAATATTTCTGTGAGTGCAGTGTGATCAGTTCACTGATGGAGAGGGAGGAAATTTGAACAGATTTACAGTTTTATTTTCAGGAAACACAAATCAAGAAGATGATAGATCAGAATTAAGAATATGGTCAATAAACCTGCTGGATAAAGTCTTATGATTGTTTTCAAATATTTGGTGTGTTGCATATTCAAAGAACTTATTATGTAGCTGCAAAAGTCAAAAGGCTGAAGTTTAGTGATTTTATAAGGCAACTGTGTTTTAATTTGTTGGTCTGAAAGAGAAAAGAGTCTGTGGTCATAGTATTTGTATGTTAAAGGTGGGGTAGGCAGGATCTGAGGAAGTGGCATTTTTTCGGAGAAATCTAGAATGTAAACTCTACCCCTCCAAACCAGTTTTCCCCTCAGCTCCTCCTCTCCCCTCAAGCCCCGCCCACAAACAGACGCTCCTGCTCGCTCGTTCTATTTAAATTCAGATATAATGCAGATAAACACTTCAGATAATTACAAATGGGGCCAGTGAAAATGAAAGTAAAAAGCATTGGTGCTACTGTAGATGCCAACAGACTACCAGCAAACACAATGTTTGTAGGACTTCTACAACAAGCATAAAGTGACATAGTCCAGGACCCGAGGTAAACAGTTTAGCGGCGCTACAACACACAGCAGGTGTGTTTGACAAGAAACACTTCTGTTTCAGACACTTGGCTAACTTTGTTAAAGCAGTTTACCTGTCCAGCAGAAAGGTTACAGGGTCAATAAGTTCCCGAAGCGTCCCCCATCGTTTATGCCTCACTGATGTTGACCCGGCTTTTAAGCTCTTGTCTGAATGGTCTACCTCCTTTTTAAGCGTCCATTATTCTGCCAGAGTCTCCGGTATTTACTTTGTTTTCTTACTTGTGTTGGCAGTCGTGGCCAAAGGAGGATTCAGACAATTTTCCATACTTTCTGGTTGGTTTCTACTGTCTGATATTGTAGCACGCTAACTTTGTTTGGGCTTGTGAATGTAATTGGAGGACGTGGAGCATGCCCCCCAACATGAGGGAGCAGCGTCTGCCTCACAACCAATCAGGTCGGGGGAGGTGGAGAACGGCTTGGTTTACATTCAGAATGAGCGAGGCCATTCAAAAAATTTTAATTTTAAATGTTGACTCCACAGATGTAAGAGAACACAGTGACATTGTTATATTCTTAAACGTCATCAATAGCTAATAACTATTGACTGATATTAAAAGCTTTTTTTGTGCATACACCACAAAAAAAGATGCTTCTTTAACGGATTCCTGCCTACCCAACCTTTAATCGAAGATGAATTTGTGTGTCTGGTTTATCTAATATACATATTTATCTCGGCTCAAAGTAACAAAGTTTTCCCCCTGTGCAATTCTGACCAATTAGAGAGTACTTCTGACATACTTCATGTGAACAAAGACCAGACTTCTATGTTAGAAATCGTTTCATAACTCGGAGCAGAGAAAACCAGAAAACCCCTGTGAAAATCAACGCTCAGTCAACAACTCCCTGAGAAACTGTGGATTCCCAACAAAAAAGCCAGAAGCTTTTAAAGAAGTTGATTCTTTATTGTCAGTCCATCAAAAGATCAACATAGTGATGACATTTTCATATCTGTGTTGTGTGTTTCACCTATGAGAGGAGGTATGTAAATCAGCTCTAACCAGTGCGCTCTGTGTGACTCAGCCTGGGGACTGTTCTGCTCAAACTGTAAACTACATTAAGGTCACTCTGGTCCACTGAAACTTCCCCTGTGAATTTTTTTATGTAGCCGTGTCTCTTTTTTCTTCAAAGTGAGAAGTTTGTGTTACTTACACTCACACTCTCTAGCTAGAGTGTCTCAATTATAAAGGATATTTGAGGTAGTTTTGAGGGAAATCTGCTGGATCTCCAGGAGAGCCAGGAAAAAGACATTTTAAATTCTGAGCTCTTAGTGGAGTTTTTGACTTTTAGGTGAAATGTTGCATGTTTGGTGTGTAAAATCAGTTTGTGAAAGTGTTTGACACTTCCTGCTCAATGCCGGCTTCGTACACAGTCATTACACCGCCGCAGGATCTTAATAGCAGAGTAATTACACAGTGAAGACTGAGGGAGGGAACTGCAGCCTACAAGGTAAAGGCTTCCATGTGTGTGTGTGAGTAAGGTTTAGGGTGGGGGGTGTAATCCATTTTATTGTTCTTGTCACTGTGTGCGTTTTGAGACTGTAACACCTCCTTGAGCTGTGGTCAGAGTTGTGTTGCAGAGGGATGCTGTGTAGGATGTAGCAGAGTTTCCAGTGTGAGAATCCATTTGTTCACTCTGAGTGTATCTATGTCTCAAACAGGTGGTTTACATGCGCAGCTGTGTCTTCTCTCCTGCATGTGTTTTTCTCACTATCTCTTATGCTGGTTCTTACACAAGCTTGAAAAAAAAAAACTCCATGCACTCACTCTTCTCTCCCAATTATTCTGTCACACCCTGCATCCCCTGCCACTGGAGTCTTGCAAAAGAAACCTCAGCAGGGACGGAGTCCTCAGGGTATGTTTACTGGCAGCTTTATGTGGTTCTTTATTATCAACTTGGCACTTAGCAACGTTTAAGACCTTCTGGAGGCTAATTGAAGGCTAGCTGTAAATGCCGTCTTTTGAAATACAGAGATTTGTTCCACGCCTGTTTCTTCAGACTTTCAGATTTCTATATCCATGAAAGATAACTGTAGCTGGTTTCCTGCATATTTAATCAAAAATGTTTCTTTCAAAGGGGTTTTCTCTTCCAAACCACAGATTCTCCACATGCTCAATCTGTATCCGGGAAACCGTCTGTCTTGGGCATTTTCCTTTCATTTCTTGCCTGACGCTCATCAGCATGTGGCCACTGTCCTTCCCTCTCCTCTTTTCTTTATACCTCCAATCTGATTACTGGTGGTCGCGTGGTGGCCCACTTGCCAGGCATGGCAGCCATTTTCACCATTTGGAAGCCATAACGGCTTCTCGTTTGAAGACGAGACCCCTGTACTTGTGGCTTTCTCTGAAGACCCTTTTATGGGGTGAGGGGGCTTCTCTCTGTCTCCACTAGATCGAGTTCTGTCACACTCAAATGTTGCACCCAACCCCACACACACACACACACACACACACACACACACACACACTCACACTACAACCCTGCTGAGGAGCGGTAGCTGCCGTGTCTTTCGTCTCCTTTGCCTGCAGTTCGTGCTCAGATAGGGCCTCTGGCTGGCTCTGCCTTGTAATCAGGGAACTAGAGGACTTGAGCTGCCACAGGGCCTGCTCACGTGACCTGGCCCCCGCTAACCACAAGCACTTCATCCGATACTCTGCGGTGAGCCATGCGGCGGGGACAGCGTGTGCCTCTGTGAGCACCCATTGGCTGGAACTTCTTTGTGTTTTTAAATTGTTAGACCCTCCCTCCTCTCTTTGATTTGACAGGGACTGTAAAAGGGGAAGGGGGTTTTAAAACACACTCAAACCGTCTCCTCTGTATGTGTTCACAAAAAAGAGTAGAGTAAAAGAGAAAGTTAGATCTTGGACTATTTAATCATCAGCGGGAGTTCACCTAACAAGCTTGAAGACTTTGTGAGTGTGAGCTATACTGTTTGTACCGTTGTCTTTGATGAAAGGTGCAGTTTATCCTTGAGTTTGTGCTATTTTTAAATGTTGTTTTTTATACAAGATGAAAAACTTCCGATATAGTTGAATCTACTTTTAAAAACAAGTGGGGACATTTTGTATGTGTCATTTGATCATTTTACTTTTATTGTTTTCAGTCAAATTTTATTTAAGCATCAGTTTCAAATTAATTTTAAATCAGGAAAGAAGAATTACTTCATTCAACAAGAAATATATCTTCTGATTTATTCACCTCTCATCCTAAAATACGATGGTATGCATATAGAAATCAGGTTGTCTGTGTTTTCTTTATTTTCTTTTTTAATATTTTATTTGTTCACAATAAAATAACTTGTTTCCTCCACCGTTCCCACAGGAAATCCCTCTGTCCGAGATCCTGCAGGTTGAACAGTCCAGAGACTACAGTAATCTTGCCCAGGGCAGCAACCCACACTGCTTTGAAATCATCACTGCCACCATGGTCTACTATGTTGGGGAGAACAACTGCAGTCACTACCACAGCCCAGCTCTGGCTGCCTCAGGAGTGGGCATGGAAGTGGCTCAAGGCTGGGAGAAGGCCATCAGACAGGCCCTGATGCCCGTCACCCCTCAGCCCAGTGTGGCCAGTGCTGCTGGTCAGGGCAAAGATCACAGTAAGTGGAATATGACAGCTCTCTTGCCCTTGAAACATTTGATTGTGGATAAATTAATGACAAAGTTTGTAATTAAGATCAAGATTAAGGATGTTGGTTTTGAAAATGGCTTAAGTATTAGACAAGAGTTTGAGTTTCTCCTGTCAGTAATGACTTGAGGTTTTTCCTTGACTCAGTACAGGACTAAGACAGAAACTAAAATTTTTCTGCTTTGACTGGATGTGTTTAAAAAAAAATTAATCAGGGGGCTTAGGTGGTCAAAAAAGATAGAGTCAGTTTTGTGACGCCCCCGAAAGTTTTCAGCTGGCAGGAAAATCCCTGTAGTGGCGTTTATAGGCCAAAGGAAGTGAGGCTGTGAAGCAAGTCATTGTCTGGAGATGACAAATGAACGGACCTGACTGTGCAGAAACTGAGAGTAACTCACAGTATCAGCACAGAAGTGAGATTCTCACTGAGCAGGAACCCTGAACAAAAAAGACAGGGATTATTGAAGTTTTTGATTCAGGTCCTGTGGTTGAAAACTGATTAGTGGATCAGAGAGCCACTCAAGAGTCAATAATTTTTGCGGAAGACCATTATTTAAGTGTTGTTATGATAATCAAATAATGAGGAAGTCTCAAGAATGGATCTCCTCATGTGTAATATTCAGCTGCTTTCAATGGGTATGATGTGATGAAGTATAATTAATGAAAATATCTTACCACAGATATTAATGTTATTTATGCGGTTATTTCTCATTGAAATAGTTAACTAAATGATCTCATCATCATGCTTTCCTCTTGCTTTTATCTTTTGGCATTCTTCTTCATAAGCTAGTATTGTGGCTACTCCCAGTCCCCCTGTTATGAAATGCATTGAATACTTGCACCATTCAGTCATGCATAACTTCTCTGATCAGATTTATGGGCCAATTTATTTTGTAATGAAATGCCTGATCTGTGCGGCTGTGACTCATTCCATTCATTTGGGATAATCTTCGAGGTTGTGTAAAAGTATAATAGTGAGAATAATGGCCCTCACATTAGTATTACTTAAGGAGTCACTGGCTATGTAAGGCACTTATAAAACCTCATGTGTTTTTCTCTCCAGAAGAGCTTTCCATCAGCATATCTGTATCAAACAGCCAGATACAAGAGAATGTGGTGAGTCGGGTTTCTTTATTTGTGAATATGCTCTTGCATAATTTCCGGACACACACTTTAAATTCATGTTTCAAGAGCTAATAAAGTAGCTATTGTGGTAAAATCAGACACGGTATCCTACTGTTTCTTTACCAAAAAACCTGTGGAGAAACTTTCAAACAGAGTAAAAAAAGGGGAAGCTGCAGACCCAGTTTTTTGGTTAAGGGATGTTTGTCTCACTTTCATTTCTGCATTGAGTGAAAGTTAAATATAAAGAAATCTTTGGCAATACCAGAAAACATCCTGGAAGAGAAATACTGGCTCTGGGGTTTTGACTATGTAAATACGAACCCATTCTCAGCGCCAGGATGGAAAATTACACAAATGTTATAGCAGTAAAAGTTAAACACAACAGTGACCATGCACATTATCTCTGCGCAGGATATTGCCTCAGTTTACCAAATATTCTCTGATGAGGTTCTGGGATCGGGCCAGTTTGGCATCGTGTATGGTGGTATGTTTCCCTTTTTCATATGGAACCTCTTACATTTTATATCATGAAATCCTACAGTGGATTATGTTTAATCTGTTCCAGCCAACTTAAAGTTGCTCATATTCCCGTGTTCTTATAATGTTACAGGGAAACACAGAAAAAGTGGCAGAGATGTGGCCATCAAGGTTATTGATAAGATGAGATTCCCGACTAAGCAGGAGAGCCAGCTGAGGAATGAGGTGGCCATATTGCAGGTAATGAACAACTTTATCGTGAGATCAAATCACAGGATGATCTTAAAGTAGGGTGACCATACGCCCTCTTTTACCCGGACATGTCCTTTTTTGGGGGGGACTGTCTGGTCTTGTCCAGGGGGAGTTTGTAAAATCCTTCAAATGTCCGGGGTTCTGTATGAAAGTTTTGAGTTTTTAGTATGCATGTCCTCTTTTTGGGGATTCAGAATATGGTCACCCTACTTAAACACAGAACTTTTAGTCTGATGTAAAATACACGTTTTGTTACTGTTTTCCTCAAGCATCATCGTAGACTCAGCTTTCTGTGTCTTTTCTACAGAATCTGCATCATCCAGGTATTGTTAACTTGGAGTGTATGTTTGAGACTCCGGAGCGAGTGTTTGTCGTCATGGAAAAGCTGCATGGCGACATGCTGGAGATGATTCTGTCCAGTGAAAAGAGCAAACTGCCTGAACGGATCACCAAGTTCCTTGTCACTCAGGTGTGTTTTGTTGCAGAGAGACTTTTCCTCCTTTTGCTTTGTGTTGTCTATCTGTTTCATAAAGCAACAAACTTACACGAACTCAAACGGTATAACTTAACCTGGATCTGTATCAAGTGTAACATCACTTCCACACCAAGTATTTTAAACAACATATCTTCAAACTAGAACCTTTTGAATTTGACTTCATAGACCTGCTTTCTTTCTCTCTCTTGGCCTCATCCCTCTTTTTTGGGGGGTTTGCATGGGCCTCTTTTCCAGCTCTAGGGCCTGTTTATTCTTGTGGTAGGCTGATTGAGGAGAATTGTTTACGGCATCAGTCTGCATGGCATCACAGCCTCCTCCCTGGCTGTGGATTACAGCCCGTAGTGTGCTGGTGGCTTTGTGGCTTGATTAGAAGAGCAGCAAGCCCCTGAGCCGCTCTGGATCCCCTGTCCCAAACAGGAGCGGAGCCATTAACAAGAGCCCCATTAGCTGCGGCATGCCTGGCTCTGATGTGGCCAGGAGGACTTCTGTCAAATTTAGGGTCAGGATAAGGAAGCCAGGCTCACAGTGGTTTTGGTACAAGGCCATAGGCAGACATGCATGCAGTGTAAGCTTAAACCAGGCCCCATGAATGTAGATGGGATAGTGAGATCATGTGTCTTTATGCAAAGATAATGGTCAGGATGGATGCATTTAAGGGCATTTTTATACTTCTACTGTTGTTATTTTTCCATATGAGAGAACCATAAATTCTACTGCCTTAAATATACAAACATTAAGAGGTTTAGACCGCGCGCTATACCACTCACTCAGATCCCAGGGTTTCAAGTCTTTTCATGTGGAGTTTTTGAGCTGACTGTTGGATGACATTTTCTTTCAACAGATTCTGGTGGCTTTGAGACATCTACATTTCAAAAATATTGTTCACTGTGACTTAAAGCCTGAGAATGTTCTACTGGCTTCTGCAGAGCCCTTTCCTCAGGTAAAAAAAATAAAACACACAAATGTGTACACAAGTCTTTGTTTTGCTGTCTGTATAAACAATGAAAATATTTTCCATCTCCCTCCAGGTAAAGCTCTGTGACTTTGGCTTTGCTCGCATCATTGGAGAGAAGTCATTCCGGCGGTCTGTAGTGGGGACCCCAGCTTACCTTGCTCCAGAGGTGCTGCGAAGTAAAGGCTACAACCGCTCCTTAGATATGTGGTCAGTGGGAGTCATTGTCTACGTCAGCCTGAGTGGGACTTTTCCTTTTAATGAGGACGAGGACATTAATGACCAGATCCAGAACGCTGCCTTCATGTACCCCCCTACACCCTGGAAGGACATCTCTGCAGAGGGTAAGAAGAAGAAGTTTGTCAATGAGTCAACATGTAAATAATCCCCAGTGCTTGCCTGATGAGACTGTTGTTAGCACTACCTGCTGCTGAAGTTTGTCAAACTGATACTCAGACCTGTAGCCTCAGAACCTCCCTCCCCACCTACTTGTCTGGGTTGTCTGAACTTTATTCTGACTTTTCTTTTTCTGCGGTTGATATGAAACTTTTTCAAAACTGCCCAAGTGGCAACTCCTCCCACGTACAGTCTGAAAAGTATCACTAGATGAGGAACATAACAGAGGTGTTGATGCTAACGTTCGGTGAAGCTACTACAGTTGCCTCTGATATTGTTATGCACTGCTGATCTTTACTTTTTAGCACAATCAACTCTGGGTCTTCAAAGGTCACTTTTAAATGCCACATCCATCAGTATGCTGTCAGTACTAATGATGTATTACTTGGTTAATTGATGCAGCTATTATCTTTTTAACAGCCACAGATTTGATCAACAACCTTCTCCAAGTCAAGATGAGGAAGAGGTACAGCGTTGATAAGTGTCTCAGCCATCCTTGGTTACAGGTGAGAGTGCAGCATCATCATTTTTAAACAGTGATTAATATAAAATTGTGTGTAAAGAAACGACCATTTTGCAAATTGCTTATTGTAAAAGGTATTGATGGCAAAGTAAGACAGAACATCAGTAAATATAGGAAATAAAAAGTATTCAGTGTCTCCCACCTTTTCAAAGTGATTGAAATATAAGATCCAAAATTGAGTTCATTATTTCCTAAGACATAAGTTAGAAGAACAATCAGGCTTATTGAATTACCTTCGCTTAAACTGTGCTCTGATAACAGTCCTTCATTCCTACAAGCACATATGTTGCTGTATAAACACTTTAAACTTAAGAGCATGTGTTTCTTCACATCATATAAACCCTAAACTTAATTTTTTTAAAATTGAACATGGTAATACATGAGCTGTATCAGGGTATCAGCTTGTCTTTTTCTGAATTCCAGTAATTTGAATTTAAGGCCTTAAAAAGAAGTGATTAGGAAAAAAGCTGTTAAGACAGTAAATGATCCCTCTCACCCACTGTACAGTGAGTTCCTTATACTTCGTTCAGGCGGACGTTATCAAGTACCTCAGGCAAATCATAACCTCTTCAAAAACTCATTCATTCCTAACGCCATCAGGGCACCGAATGATAGTAGGCCTATGTCTCGTTAGATCTGCCTGTTATGTACAGTACATGCCACTGTTGTCCTCCCTCTTTTGCTGCCAAGATGATTTGTGTGTATTTGTTATGTGTCTGTTGCTGCTGTCCTTGTTGCTGTTGATCTGTTTTTTGAACACGATGAGAATTTCCACTTGTCGACAATAAATGAACAAACGAACGAAATGTCTAAAAATTATCTTGAAATCGAATAAAATGTCTAAAATAAAAATTGAAAAGGTCTTAAAACTGCATTAACTTTGCTTACAAATAAATAATGTACCATACAATTTTAAGTAATGTAAAATGATTCGATTTCCTTTCATGTCTTTTGTACTTTTTGGCCAGTATAGATGTAAAATGAGTCTTAAATTGCATTTATTACGGTCTCATGAAAGTTTAAAAAAGTCTCAATTTGACTTGTTGAAACCTTCAAATGTATACTAAAGTCTATACATACATAAATCTATCATACTATCGTTGAAAAGAGCTTATAGTTAAACCTTGAATGACTTACAAGCTGAGTGTGTATGTCTGTTCCTCTCAGGACTATCAAACCTGGTTGGACCTCCGAGAGTTTGAGACACGTCGAGGCGAGCGCTACATCACCCACGAGAGCGACGATGCGCGTTGGGAGGAGTTTGCAGATGAGCACAGTCTTGTTTACCCCAAACACTTCATCATGGCTCCCAACTTAGACGACATGGAAGAGGACCCCTAGTGGCTCAGGGATCTTACTACACCCCATGTGTCAAAGACAAGAACTGAAGCTTTGAATGTTCCATCCTGAACTGTTTTGTTGTGGGAACAGAGGAGGAATCCAATCAGGTGGAGAAAAACTCTCCTAATGCTTCAATAGGGGAGGAAACCAGACAGAAACTGTAGTATGATCCCCTGCTATAAGAAGCATGCTAGAGGAGGTGTGTTCAGAGACACGTGTCGAGGAGCTGTCTGCGGAGAAGAGTGTTCATCTGCTTTTTGCACAATATCCAAACATTCCATGGATTATCATTTCCGAGAACAATTGCAAACCAAAATATGCAAAGCAAACTTGATAGCTTAGTTACTGAACATGCATTTTGGTAATAATATGACTCCTCCCCAAGTGAGGAAGGAGACGAGAGAGAGCTTACCCCAGGAGTAAAGGGCACTTTTCACAAGGGATTTACAGCCTGAGAATTGAAAACATGAGTTTTGTTCTCATTTCTGAACTGTTTGTGAGATTGTCCTTTGGCATGAAACTGGAACCATCACATTTATTTGGATGTTTTTATGTTTTATGTAATTGTGGTAGGTCTTTGCACTATATTACCTTGGAGACATAGCAATGGAATAGAAACACTATTCACTGCTACAGAGAGAAAACACCTCTTCAGCATAAACTGGTGATATTCAGAAGAAAGCTGAAAAGTCAAACAGTGTTGGCGACTTTGTAATGGTAAAGGACCAAATATGTTCCCCGTGAAAATAATATTTTCTGTGTTTTCAATTCTTTATTAAAGAAAAGCTACAGGACCAAACTCATTAACTTTCAGTAAAAGCAATAATGGAGCCATTTCTCTCTGTTCAACATGAAGCTGAATCAGCAACGTCATGTTTCTGTGTATCTTTCTCTGTTTTCTTGTTGTAATGTGACTTTCTAAGCACAGTTTCTGGAATATGTGTTTTTGATGCTTTGATTATCTTAAGTGCTGTTTGACCAACTTTGGTTACATTGAACAAATATTTTGTTTCTCTCTTGGTTTTCTGGACCAAATCATCAGCGCTTTCATCCAGACTGAGTAAATTCAGTGCAATGACATTTTGGTTATATGGGAGTTGAAGTGCTACAGTCATGTTGGTGTGTTTTGGGAGTACGCTCCTGTGTCCTGTTGTCCTTTTCTCGTCTTTGTTGCCGCTGGATTGGCAGGTGTCAGTGTTTTGTATATTTCAGTACATACCAATGGAATAAAATCCCAATTTCTTAACTAGGAAGTTTTCTCTCTCTTTTTTTTGCTGACTTCAGTGACACATTTTGTTAGGGCTGTGTAGTCCTAGTCCACATATCAGTCCATACGTGCTTAGTCGACCAAAGTTCTGAATGGTCTCAGAACATCCCCCTTGTTTTCACCATTTTGGATTCGCCCAACCCACTGGAGAGTGGCTGGAGACAGAAAGACAGAAAAGCGGCCACGTTAATCAAAGTCCAGTGGTCTGTAGTGATGGGCACAGCAGTTCTTTTAGATTAACTGAATCGCTAGAATCAGTTCACTAAAAAAGATTCATTCACTAAATCACCAAATCATTCAGCGCTTGGTGGGAGGAGCCTGCAACTCCGACTTCCTGAACTTCCCTTGCAAACCGCTGCACTGATAGGGTGCTGCACTGGTTGTTACATGCTGTGTCCTATTGTATGCAAGTTGTTCTGGTGGCAATTTAGCAGTAAAAGAAAAAAAAAGGTTGTTTTGTCCAGCAAAAATGATTACAGAGAGTGTAGTTCAAAGCATGATTCGTTTACCAAGTTATTCAGGCGTCAGTGCATGCCATCCCTCATGTAATGCCGTGCTACAGCAGCTGCACTTCTGACAGCCCAACTGAAGTGAGAAACGAACAAATCACTTGAGGAAGAGATTCAGATCAGTATGTTCATTTAAATGATTTGATTCCTTTGAAGGAATCATTCGCGAACAACACAACACCAGTGGTTTGCTAAGTATATTTAGTTTTTTAAATTAAATACTGATTAGTTGATGTTTGGTCGAAAATTGCAGGGTTTTAGTCGACCAAAAATTTCATAGCTTGATTACAGCCCTACATTTTGTATTAGAATGCCTCATCATGCATGCAGCACATGGATTATTTGAAGTTTTAGCATGCATGAGCAGTGGCCTGTTGCTTTGTGCGTGTTGCATCATGATGTGTGAGTGAGTGAACGTGTGTGTGTTGTGGTTTCACATGTCAGATCCCATTTTTCAGCAGCTGGATGTGATTGTTGCACCACATCGAGCAGTTTGCAGAGCAAGTCGCTCACCACAACAGAGTAATGACATAGTTAAAGAGGGTGGTGGTGATGTGGGGTTAGTGAGAGACTTTGAAATGAATGGAAGATAAATGCTATCATGGACTCCACTAAAGTATCCAGCATGTGTTCAGTTTTGGGCACAAAAAAAAGAAAAGCCTTACTTTTGGACTGTAATCCAGAACCGGTCTATTGTTTAAAGACATCTACCAGTAAAAATAACAAACAGCTGCTGTTAATTTTCCTAAATCTTTGACTGATATCCTCCACCAATGGTTGTTGCAAATGTAGATGCTGGCTGACCACTGCTTGCAATCGTGGCTTGCATTATTGCAATGCTATCATCTAATGACCACAGTTTTGAAGTTGAAGTTACTCTTTCCCTCTCTAAATGATCTAAATGAGACTCACCAGTGCACTTGTGTTTCTGCTTCTTTAAATGATTTCAAGATGTGGATCTTATCTTCGGGCCAGATGACCCCGTTAACCTGTGTGTGTGAGCATGGAAAGAGTTCACTGAGTTAGTCCTCCTCACACAGTGACAAAGAAAACCCAAATTATTCTAGTCTGTGTGGCTAGTCTTTTTAGTATTTTAGAGTTGCTTTCAAATGAAAGGAGTTATGTGGAGAGGGCTTTAGTCATTTAGAAGACAGGAGGTTAGAGGGAAATGCAGTAGAAAATAAAGTGCAATGTCTCCCTCCTCTGGCTGCACAGAGATGCAGAAGTTTTAAAACCTCATGTTTTACTTTTAAGATTAGGAAATAGTTTACACTATTCAGATTATAACATAAAACACAGTTTTTCTGCCCCCCTCATATGTATAATTGAGGTCAGATTAAAATGGGAAAAACTATTATAACAAAAAAACAAGAGACTGATAAAATGGAAGTCAGTCACAGCTTTAATTGGGCTAAAATAGATGGTACGTTTACATAAGAAAGGGTGCTATGAATACAATTCACTGTATCCAAGCTTTAACACATAATGGCATAATAATAATAATGCATAAAATTTTTATAGCTCTTTATCAGAGACCCTAAATGTGTTTTACATTGGATACATCATTTATTTGCTCACACAGTCACACCCTGGTGGTGGTAAACTACCTTAGTAGTCACAGCTGTCCTGGGGCGGACTGACGGAAAAGTGGCTGCCAATTTGTGCCTACAGCTTCTCCGACCACCACCACACAACACTCACATGAATACACCAGTGGAGGACACACACTGGGAGCAAGGTGGGTTAAGTGTCTTGCCAAAGGAAACAACAAACAGACAAGGGATCAAACTGCCAACCCTCCAGACTGCCCTACCTCCTGAGCTACTGCCGCCCATGACGTGACATAGTTCTGTGACATGAAAGTCAAATGTAACAGAGCTATCAATGATGTAGGAAAAAGGGTGTTTCAACTCCTTTTGTAAACCTTAGTTGTTTTTTTTTTTGCCTGATTGTAGGTTATGGATTTTTTCAGTGATGGAATCAGTAGAATTTTCAGCAGTTGTGAAGCTTCATCTCAAGATATTTTTGAAGGTTAAACAAGCTCTTTAGATGTCTGAAAAAGACATGGATACTGGCTTTTTAATGAAAACACCAGGGTAATGTTAGGGCTATATTGTGATTTAGAAATAGATTGCATATATATAAAAATATTTAGGGATATAATAATCTCATATAATGACTCTATTTTGTCACACAGGATCAGTCATAAAGGTCTTCAGGTGTCAATCATTTGCATATACACAAATATATTCATACGTCATTTGAGGACAGTATTACTGCGTCTATTTTTCACCCATCAAGTATTTCTCTCTGCTACCAGAAGGTGTCACTCTCTGTGAGTTTATCTGGTTCTACTGTGATGGACAGACTGAATCTTTATGGGAAATTTGTGAAACAGGTTATGTGGTTAATGATTTGTAAGGTGAAGCGTCATTTTGCAGACACAGACATGCATTTTGAAATGGTTAAAGTATTTCTCATATATCAAATACCAACACTGAAAGATATTTCTTGAAGTGAACTCTTCAATTATTTGAAAGAAATGTCATGAATCAAGCCTGTGTTGTCAGAAATAGCATCTGGTGAGGGATCACAGACAGAGATCTGTCTTTGTTGCCCTGATCCTGCTGTTTGTGTGTATTTGTCGAGCAGCTTTGCCCGGTAACTTCTCTGCAGGTCTCTCGTCACCTCAAGGGGAGGTCTGTGTGTCACACATCCTCACCCCCCACCACCATCCCCACCGCACCTCTCCTCTCCTTTCCCCTACGTCTTCCATTCCTCTGCTTCTTCTCTCTACTCCATGCTGGGTATCCATGGGCTCCAGACCAAACAAGCAAACAAACAGAACAACAGAAAAACCCATCACCCAGACAAGCTCGGTCTGGGCTTGGAGGGGGGAGAGATGGGGAGAGATCTTGTTTGCTTTCTGGGCCAGTTCCATTTCACTGTGATGGCAGAGAGGGCCTCCCAGGACACAGCGACCCACACTTCTGTTTGACTTCCAGGGAGGGATCAAGGTGGTCCTCGGCGCTGACACATCACCTTCCGACCCAATACACAGCTGGCTGGAGGCACGGGCCTGTGGCCTTTACCTAAGCCGGCCCTGGATTCTTTACCTGAGGAGCATGTTGGTGTGGCATTAAGCTTGCTGGCCTTTAATCCCCACAATGCTCTGCTTCAATCATGACCAGCGACTCGTTTGATGACTTTGACTTGCTTTTTTAGCGTAGAGGGCATAATATTACATCACACTGATAACATGGCGAGACTGTTAATAGTTAAGTATTTCTGAGGATGTGCACACAACTCTGATGATCAAACCCCATACATTAACATACAACAGCTTGCATTATGCTTACTAAGTAAAGCTGGGACGATATGCTTTTCTCCTGTTTCGCTTTTGCCGATTTGATTTAAATTGCGATTCTACGATATTGTCTTTTTTCTCGATTTTTAGTTTGCATTTTTAACACTGGTGAAATGGTTGAATGATTATGATTGTTTACTGACTATTCCAGTAACCATATTTTCTCCCAAAATACACATCACATGTAAGTCAGTTTTAAAGATTTATTCTTAAATTTTAATAAAATCGATTTAAGAATTGTAAAACATAAATTTGCAATACTTATGTGAATCTGATTTTTCTCCCACCCCTATTACAATCTCTGCCTGGGAATGACTTAAACCCACACAGCAACCTGATATTCATTCTTTTGCTTCTTGTATTTTTTGATAAAGACCTATAGTCCTTTAACAATTCAATAAAATCACTGCAAGTTGACTTTTTTTCTTATTTGCTCTTTTCACATAGTGACCCAGGGAGAAAATGAATACAACTGTGGAGTGTTTATACCTTAGCATGTGTGTTTTGTAGACAAATGCATTCACAAAATAGCAAGTGATTGACAAGATCAACTCTCCCAGCAGTCTAAATCACAGCACTGTTTGAACATTAAGTGAATTTAGTAAATGTAAAATATGAAGTCAGAGTTTTATATTGTGTGCTTCAGAATGAACGGTCAGAGCTGCATGTGTGGTGATGTGTAGGGTCGTTAAGTCATTATTTTGTTGAAGAGAGAGGAAATGAACGCCAGAAATGACTTCCCTGTCTGGGAAAATGCAGATGAATGACATACGTATGTTTGATTTGCTGACTCCAGCTGTGCCCGGAGAATTCCCCTGACCCATCCTGTGCACCGGTTGCTGTGTGAGGCCACATGTACCCGACGCAATACACAACCCCCCCTTAAAAGGGCTGGCCATTGAACTCTCAGGCAAGTGGCAATATTTGCTCACCTGAAATACACACATCTTGCCAATTGGGGTCGGGGTGGGCTTGAGGACCGGGGACAGACCCCTTGATGCAGCTGTGGCCCCAGAGAAAGACCAGACCAGGAAGTTTTGTGGGTGGAGGAGGGTGGGGGCTCTCATGGCGGGGGGCTGTTTAGCGGTGGCGGCCCTTTTGTGTCTTTAA